AAACCTGAATTATTTAAAAGAACAAATGTAATGTAGCATGGTTTTTGTCGCGACTAAGTTCAGTGTTGGTTAACGATTTTCTGCCAAATAACATTTAAAAGCGGTAAATTTAAACTACACAAATAATAAACCATTTACGAACAATTGAATTGTTTTTAGTTAGACAATACTTTAAAACAACACCAGCTTTTAGCTATAAACACTACTCAGCTGTTAAAAGCAACTGGTTGCTAATCAAGTTGCACAATTTAATTACGCTAAAATAAATTAACATATCCAGTCTTTCGCCAGAAAACAGCAGGTTTACTTAAATAACACTTGTTTGATACAATATTTAAGAGTCCCCGAGAACACAACACACCTTTTTCAACGCAAATGCCGGCTGACACTGAATGGATTATTACTTCACAAGCCCAAAATATACTCGACTAGAGGCGCTGGCTTTCATTATCAGCCCCAAATGCATGTGTATTTCATTCAGAATGTATGTACAAACGCTATACCCGCACTATATACAAACTGATATGGACGCTGGATTTCAGATCGGGGAAAGTCAAGCGTGTCGCTCCGATAACGAATCAGTGTGTTTTGGACTCGGTTAATATAATTTTAGAGCATTTAGAGCGCTATATCGGCTAATCGGCTATTATCTATGGCGGTTTTGATAGTTGTACATAGTTTTCCCCCTTATTTACAAAACGGATTCATAATGCTACCTTTAAACGGAACACCTATGGGTGTATATTGCACTTTTGTCTTTTCCGATAATGTTGCTTGGTAACGATGATTCTGATTATTGAGTTGGGTAATAACGATCATTCTGATTAAACAATAAACAAATTATAAGAAGTCAGCATGAGTGGCCAAAATGAATATATAGTGGATGTATTTAAGGACTATTTAAATTAAGCTGTTTTAAATTGTTTTAGGATGGGAAAGGTTAATGCATTTTTCGATAGAAATACGATAAAAATCTTCTGTTATTCGATTTTTATTACATTTTATGACCGCCCTTTATGATATTCAAAAGTAGGTTCATACTAATTAATTGTCTTAAAACCCTTTTTGAGCTTACTACTAAATAAAAAATAATAGATAGATTGTTATAATTTTACATATCGGAATAATTCTTTGTGTCATAAATTAATATATTCTAAGTTATGTTTTAATCGAAAGATTTCCAAATAGTTGAATAATTCAAATTATTTAAGTTCCGCTGACAATATTATTATTACGGTAATACACCTTTTATTCTAGTTAATCACTTTGACTTACCTATGTTGATGACGGTAGTTATCGCTCGATCTCCTGCAGTTTTAATGGTAAATCAATAAAATCGGCCACTTCCGAATAAAAGGCATATAATGGCTTACCATTAGGTTGAGCTCCATTGGTCTCCGGATATGGTTTAATCGCATTGTCAAACATTATTGCGCGTTTAATGGCGGTTCTTTGATTAAAATTAGTTTGTTTAGTACACTTTTAATAGCCGAAAATCTGGCGTAGTTCCCATAAAAGTAAGGTAATAAATGTCAACTGTAAAAGTGGCAAATATTCGAACGAGCTTAAGAGCTGTGCAAACTCAAATGGGCAAACCAAATCGGCAAAACACTATTATATAACAATGTCAAGTTGTCCTCGTGGGAAAATCAATTAAATTCCCAGGTGCAATACTGCTTAAAAAATCCTTATTCTCTTATAGGTAAAGTAATTAAATTTTCTTTTCAAAACAGCTTTGTTTTATTAATGTTATGGGAATGTCTACCCAAACATCTATTTAGGTGGCAAACAATATTTTTTGTGTTTATCTAACAAGGTTATTATTATTACTTTTATCGATTTAAAGGTAGTTCTTAAAACAATCATATATTCCTATATATCAAAGCGATAAATTAGATTAAAAAACTAATATCAAATAAAAGTACTTTGTAGTTAACAGAGGTAAAAAAAATGTTTTCCTGGAACTCTTTTTAAATAAAAATTGAGCTGGTTATGTTTCTTGACTTTGAGTGCGTGTTATAACAGCTACAAAATTAAAGCGTCAAACCGAAATAAAGATGTTTTAAGTTTGTACAAATTGAACTTTAAATAATTTTAATAATAATAATAATTTATTTCATATGTTAGAGCTGTGAAAAGCTTTTATTTTTCAGCTAACGAATGGTAGATAAAAGGTGAACAAAAGTCTAGTTGGCATCCAAGTGCAGTGGCACTCCATAATCAGTTTCAAGTTCAACCGCCTGCGGACACTGCGCGTCATGCAAATACGACTGTTGCCCAACACTCGATGAGTTAATACGAATTGATTAGCACAGTGGATAGTGATTTTTTTTTTTTGACGGTACGGGGATCACGTTTCTGTATGACAACATATTCAGCATTCGGCATTAATCATGTAACTGGATTCGGTTTGCTTTGGCTTTTGGCTCCAGTTTCACTTTCATTCCATTGCAGCATCTGGGCCGACTAATTGTCAACGCGCGTTGGCTAATCGCTTAGATTAAATAACCGCTGTCCGGTACTTTGGGTTGGGTTTGAATGGTGCTTGAGTCTAACCAAATCTGCGCGCGATAACGGCCGAAAGCCAACTGATTTGAGCGGCCGAGCACAGCGAAATGGTGGCCAATTGGCTGTTGACCACCACCTAAGGTATCTGGTGGCAGACCGATGCACTCGAGCAGCGTTCGGCTGGAGCGGCTTACATCGATCGAATCGGGCCGCTTTACTTACACTCCGCGCTGGTCTAATTTGTATGCGTCGCCCGCACCGCAACTCGAAAAACAAAGCTAAAAAACAATTCAAAAGCGTATTGAACACGCACTGGACACTCGAAATCGAATGGACTCTCGGATTCACCTGACGCCACCGCGTTCGAAACACGTCTAAGCCCGGCTTATAACCCGAACTTGGCCCGTACCCGCCGTTCCGTCGACGCTTTTCCAGTTTCAGTTTTCTTTTCGGTCTTGTTTACACTCTGCTTTTCGAATTTCGATTTGAATTTTTTTGACGGGGTCTTCGTTAGTAATCTCGGATAGCAGATGCACACGCATTCTTGGCCCAAAGTCACCAGATAATGGAGATTGATGACAGCTAATGAAAATGCGTGGAAGTACAGTCCGGCTTCGGTAGCTTGAACCTGCGATCAAAAATACTTGTCTGATTGCAAAAACGAGTGGCACAAATTACTAAACTGGAACCACCAACTGCCAATTAAGAAACTGGACTTGGAAGTACTCATTTTTTATCGAGTTAAGCAAACCTTTTTGATAGTTGCTCACATAAATTAATTGATATTGTCAAGTGCTCTAAATATTTATAGTTTGGAAAATATTTGTGATATGGTTAGATTTGAAAATATGTGAAATGTGTCTGAGTTAAGAGTTTAAGTTCATTTAAAAAAAAGAGAAAAAAAATATATTTCTTTAAAAAGTAAATCATTTGGGTAATATAAGAGAACTATAAAGATTCAAATAAATCTTTTTCTTAGCAAGGCTAAAACTTTATAAAAGTGATCAGAAATTCGTGACAAACCAAAAACAGAAGAGTATAGCCTTGATAATTAAATTTCCTAGTGAGATATATAATTTTAATTACACTCTTTATTTAATTATGAGATATGTTTTTTACATACATGAACTTTTAACATTTGATTCACTTTAAAGACGTTTTGTGAATTAGATTCACAGCCGACTATTTATCAGCCGTTGCTCTAGCCAAATAGGAATAGTGCGAGACAGGCTAAAGATCGTCCCGTAGAAAACAAATTGTTTACCTGCTATAATGCCCGGGGAACAGCTGTTTGCGGGAGAAGCCAACAAGTGGGCAAATAAATAACCGGTTATTGGAAATAATTTTTATTTATATTTCAGTTTTATTTAGCATCACATCACATCACTTCACATCGCACCGAGCCCTGACCATGAAAGCCAGACAAGCCCTCAGTGTGAGACCTCGTCTGCTGGAGATCAAATCGCAATTAAGTAAACACATCGCGTGGGCCTCCGTTTACTCCAGTAAACTTGCAAATTGGTATAATCGGGCGCTACATCAGCCTGGATTCTATTGGCTTAATTACCCGTTCTCGCCACTGAAATTAGCGGGTAATGGATCTGGACTTTGGCTCGGATTTACTCAACTTTACGACCAGACCAGCAAACAATTGTAAAAGTTATTTCGAATGGTAGTATTTGCACACAGAGCCAACGCAATTTTTTAAGTCACGCAATAGATACGATCTGAAATAATAATAATCCCACCTTTATGAGTTCGCTTTGGCTGTGGCTTCATAAAAGTCTAATTATGTCCAGAGTACTTAGCGATTCCTTTTGTTATTCTAATGGTCTCTCTGTACATTTTCGACAATACCCGAAACTCGTTTGCGTCTTATGTGGCTCTATGGAGATGGATAGTAGATATATGTAGCCTTGACCCAGGTTCCGGGTGTACGTGAAGGCATCACCCATTAAAAAAGACAATTAACGATGCTTAATTTGTAGAATTAGATATTTCCAATTAGCTGGACACCCATGAGTACTTTGTATCATTATATCGAATCCTACAGATTTCAGAAATTTCAAATGTTAAGTATCTACATTACGAAATTCCTATGTAAATCTTCTGATATTAGAAATAAATTAAAATGCCTTTATATCTTAGAGGAAGGGACTATAAGTTTATGGGCATGTTAAAACATTATATAAGATATTCTTTATGAGTAGCAGATCCATAAAAAGGTAATAAACATAAGCTAGTATTAGTTTATAAGTTACTATTTCTGGAAAATTATACTTTGAATGTAATTACAGATCAAAGTCGTAAGCCATTAAACGAGTTTCCATGCAAATATTAACTTGTTAAATGATCGTTATTATCCAAAGTCAGAGCTTTTGAGACTTAAGAGGCACAAGCTCTATCCGAAAGATACAATAGCCTACCATTAGGCTCGACCTGTGGAACTTCCAAAGAGAACCCAAGATACCAAAGTATAAGAGCCAACAATGTCCACAATTATTAGTGTATAATTTATTATTAAATATGTTATAAAATTTGTTTATCGTATAAAATATACTCTTACTCTTGTCTCGTCAAGTCCACATCTATGTATGTATATATATATTTGGGTATATAAATATGTATGTGTATGCATGTATATAGAAAAATGCCAGACCACGAATTAGTAAGTAACGCCGTGGTCGGCGCTTGTTTCCGATTTTCTCGCCATTTTCACTATTAGACAATTACAATTTTAAACTGCAACTCGTTATTGAATTTGTCGCTTGATTTGGTAGATTTGGTAGATCTTTAGATTTATCGCCATATGACTTAATTAGCTGCTTATTGGTGGGTGTACCTAGTACCCGCACGCCCCTACATATATGTATGTATGTACGCTGTATGCTTGTATGCTTGTATGCTGAGAGGGTGAGAATGTATGAGAAAAGTGGGCATATGCATATACTCGTACATATGCATAGGAATATGCCAAAAGTGATCTCCCCTTAACGATCGCAAAGCAAATCATATTTGAAGATTAATAGGGGTAAGGAGGGATTTTGGTAATTTGGTAATTTTGGTAATCGTTTGCCCTAGATATATAGTATATGGGGGTTAGTCTATGTTTAAGTAACTATGTATGTATGCGACTATGCTTATAAGTGCGGTTAGTATGCTGGCTATTTCGATGAATCCTCTCCACTCGATCGTGATCGTGACCATGATCATGATCCTCTATGAATATATGCAGTATTTGCTATGCGAAACCAGTAGCTGGCCTATCAATATTTTATATGCTGATCCATGTATCTATGTATCTTTTTGTTGTAACTTAAGCTGTGTTCGCGTGTGTGTGTTTATCTGTGTCGTCTGATCTGGCTTAAAATTTAAATTTGTACTCGTTTTGTACTCAATTGCTCCATAATTATTACATATGTTAGTACGTGTATGTATGTATGCGTATGTTTATGTTTATGTATATAATTTCCAAATGAGAAATATTTTCAAATTTAGTTACAATCTTGGGGATGTCGTTAGAAACTAACTAAGCTAAATGATCGCGACAAAACATATATGTATGTATGTATGTATGCGTTATGTATAATTTTAAAGATCGTTTATAGGTAATGAAATCATTTCTCTGTGCTTGCCGAGAATTGCTTTTGCATTTGTCATTAAAAGTTTTACTCAAAATTGTATTTTGATATAAGAGTTCATCATTCCGTTTTGTTTTAGCATCGTCAATCGATTTGTTATAAAATGTTGCTTAGTAAATATGTATGTGGGTTTTGCAATGATCGTTTATTTTTTTTTTTATTAATTTTATTTTTGAAAATCATTCACATGATGATTTTTAGTCATTAAGTTTGCCGTTCTTCCGTCGCTTCCCATTTTTGTTTTACCTTTTTGCTTAAATACTAAGTACGTAATACGAAAAAAATTTGAATACCTGATTTAAGTTTTGGATTCGTTTAGTGTTGTTTTTCTTTTGTTTTAGTTTATTAGCTACGTGTATATGAGCATTTTGTTTGCTTTAGAATTAATCGTAGGTGTATTTTGGGCAACGTGTTTTTGGAATATTCGGTTGTTTGAAAAAATACCTGCTTGGATTTTATTAAGTATTTTTGGTATGTATTTTGTAAAAACTTGAATTAACTATCTGTTTGAATGTGTTTGTGTCTCTGTGTGTGTATATATATTGAGTGTAGTGTGTGTGTGTAAGTTATTGGTTTGCTTTCTCATTTTGATTCTTAAGCCTTTGGCAAATTGTTCAGTATCCTCATGACTTGTAGTAATTTGTTGTGTTTAACATACTTTAGTATTCTATAGATATATACGTTTAAATGCTTTTTATTTTGAATTATGGCATTCGGTATTCGCTTAAATCTCATTAATTGTCCTCCCTATTTGTTTTTGCTTGTAGTTATAATGTTTTTTAAATATTTTTTGTTTTGTTTGTTTTTTTTTTTTTTACACAATTTCTAAACTGTGGCTTTTAGAAAACGGCGCTCATTTGTAATGATATAAGTATTTAGTTCTTTAGTATTGGTTTAGTAAATCTCACACAAATATAAAATATGGCATTCTCTCAGATGTCGCTAGGCCCGATACGATGCGATATATATGATATATACATACGATATTTGTGGGGGATGCTCTGCGTGCGCTTTGTGTGCGAGTGTTTTGAATGATTCGATCTGGATCACAAGAAATGAACGGCGCTTCAAGGTGTTACGATTGGATAAAATGAGGTTACGAGTATGTTATGGCGATCGTGTGGTTCCCCGAGATTCTGAGACTCCCCGGGGGTTGGCTAAACTAAGTTAGGTGTAAAATAATTACGATATCTACTCTATATAGCTCTATATAGCTGTGGGTGGTTGCCCCCTGCCTTCTGCTTCCTGCCATCTGGTGTATATTACGTGTATATAAATATTGTATATGTTTTTGTTGCCACCGCTCTCGTAGAGTCTCAGGCATTTTTGCATCTTTTTTTAAGGTTAGTTTTAGTGTTTTTTAGATTTTAGATTTTAGGTTTTTGTTTTTGTTTTGTTTGTTTTGCGCATTTTATGCAATGTTGCTTTATTCGTGGAAGGAGTGTTAGCTATGTATCATCTCTCTCTCTCTCTATCGATCCGTTGAAGTCGGGTTTGAACACAAGTACAAAGAATAGAACGTCTCAAAACAGTAAGAACATAACGTAATCTAAGTAACTAAGTTTTCTAATACATTTTACATTTTTACGCCCGGTCTTTAGCCTAGAATCGGTCCTAGTCGGCTCTATATATATCTGTTTGAGTTTGTATATATTTGCTATTAAAAATCCATGTCCGTTCCACTCTTTAGACAGATAATTCAGCTAATCATCATGTGGGTTGCCCATGATTTCATTAAGTTTCATCGTTTTTTTTTTTTGTTTCATTTGTTTCGTTTGCGAGGAACATGTCACCTAAATGTGTATTCAATACGCCCATATATTGCTCTGGATTTTTCATACGTTTTCACTATGCCACGCCCGCTAAGTCTACTAAATGCTAATGAACACATTGAGTCAAAAATTATGATAATTTTTTCGTTATTTTTTTTTTAAGGTTTTGTTTGTTAAACTCCCCCCAACTCTCTAACTCCCCAACTCCTCTAATCATTTTAGCTAACCCCTCCTCCTTTCAACCTGCCGTGTATCCTGTGGGTAAAAATCCTTTCACAATTAATTACAAAGTAACGACACAAACCAAAGCCCTGTGATGCATGATCGGTGTGAATGAATGGATGGATTGATGGGTTAATGTGGATGAATGTCAGTTAAACTCGGTTTCAGCTATGCCCATGATGATTTGTGACTGGATGATCGGAACTATATATGATATCTGTATCGCTATATGTATGAAAGTGTGTATGCTAAGCTATGTTAAGTTACTTTACGTTATCAATGTCATTGCAATTTGAGTGTGTTGGTTTTATTCACTTATTTTGGCCTCACCATATATGGCTCCTTAGTTGGCTCCGAAATTGCGGTTTAGTTAATCAGTCTTTGTTAAAAGTTCAACCAAAAGTCAGCGGGTTTCATCAATATTTTCTGGTTTTTGTTTTGTTTCTTCGTTTTGTTTTGCTTTGCTTCCATTTACAAAGTTCGTGTTCTCACATGCTCAGTCTCAATTATAAGAAAATCATTAAAATTATGTCCCAAAAAAATTAATTTTAAAATAAACATTTAAAAAGAACTAAACAAACGAATTAAGAATATAATACAAACATTAATACCATTCCACAGTGTTTCTGCAAATCATGTTTAGTAACTCTTGTCGAATGTAGTTCCCTCATTCCGCTAAGCAACCCCATAAAAAACGCAATCCCCACCTTCTTGACCTCTCGTTCTATAAGCTAGCAAACTGCCTTTCAGTCTAACTAACAGGTAATAATATTTTCATCTAGTAAATGGTTGAGTTTCCCTCTTTGCTTTATCTTTTACTAGGTTCGGTAACTCTACTGAATGCTCACGGATCCTACATCTATATATATCTCCTATGTCCTACTACTCAACTGCCTTCCGTTTTAGTTTTCGTTTTCGTTTTAGTTTTAGTTTTAGTTCTAGTTGGTTGGTTGGGCTTGTATATTCGCTAGATATATGCATATGCAGATATAGATATAGATATCCATAGATACATATGTGTAATTCGTATTGTATTGTAAATTACCAAATCGTAACCATAACTCTTAAGCATTATCGAGGTAATCGTTGTAGCACTTAAGCTAAAAATTTTCGCTAATTTCCACGCACTCAATTCTGATTTTCCCTTATTATTTCGGTTTCGGCACCTGTTCTTTATCGTTCTGTTATTTGGGTCTCTACGCTAACGCTTAGCTCTTGTAAATGGTCAAAAAAGATCAGCACTCGTAGCCTAATTTAGAATACGTGCACAAACCGCTTATAAGGGTTAGACCCTTCCTTGGAGTCTGGCGACAGCTCAATGAGGAATACAATGCGACCATCTGGCATTATGGCCACATCGCAGGTGCGATCCTTCTCGTCTAGCGTGGGCGGCATCAAAGGATTGATGGAGGGTCGCACCTCGATCTATAAATGAAAAAAAAAAATATTTTATCAGTTTCATTTGAAACCTCAATCAATTCGATTTAAATTTGAAATTAAACTTTTACTCACATCCCACATAAAGTCCAGGTTCTGGTTGAAGACCAGGATGCGTTGATTCTTGGAATCAGCCACTATAATGCGGCCCTCGTCGTCACAGCACAGGCCCGAGGGCCGATTGAACTCGTGGAAGCCCGAACCCTCGTGTCCCTTCACGGAAAGAATCTGCAATGAATCCAAGAAAAAATTAAAATCTCTGGAATAACCTTCAGTAGGATATCACTCACATCGTTGATGTCTGGATCAATCAGGTAGAGGCAGTGGTTGTCAAAGTCAGACACTATGATGTTGCCCGTGGGTGTATAGCAAACGCCTCGTGGCGAGGCGATTCCTTTGGTTTGCCCATGGTTGTCGAACACTATCTGGCGAATGAATCGTCCCTCTGAGTCGAACTGCTGAATGCGATGATTGCGCGAGTCGGTGACCACTATTTGGCGGCGCGAGTTTACAGCTACATCCCACGGATACTGGAACTGACCATACTCTTTGCCGTAGCTACCGAACTTGAGTAGGAAGACGCCGCTGGCAGTGAAGATCTGCACACGATGATTGTCCTTGTCCACAACAATAATGCGATTATCCACATCCACACATATTCCAGCGGGAAGGTCAAACTCTCCATTGCCCACGCCCTTGCGGCCAAACTTAAATTTTAGGGAGCCATCGGGATTGAAGACCTGAACACGGTTGTTGCGGCGATCCGACACGAGAACATGGCCCATTTTATCCACGCATAGGCCCCACGGCCGGCTCACCTGTCCGTCTTCATGGCCCTCAGTGGCGAACGATAACGAGAGAGCATTTGAGTTCCGCACCTTGACCAAATCCATGCAACCCGGAATGGCCTGTGTGGTTCGTGGCGCACTAAAGTGTAGTCCTGGTGAGCTGCGCAGTCCGTTGAGTTCCCAGTCCAAAGCGGCGCTGGACATGCCGCTTGACATACCGCAGGCACTTCCTCCGCGCGGTTGCATGATAGGCGATGGAATCCGGAAGCTATTGTCTCGAAGCAGAGGTCGTCGAACACTCGAGGAGGCCACGCTCAATGGATTTGTGGCCATGTTCATGCCAAAAGCCATGTCCATGCCGTTGGACACACCAACGCCTCCGACTACTCCACCGACGCCTCCCACTCCAACTGCCACAGAGGCGGCGGCCACGGCACTCACACTAGGCACACTCGGCACAATTCCGTTGCTGCTCGAGACGATGGGCATGTTCTTGTCATCCACCAGGATTACACCACCCTGGTTGCGGATATCCTGTAGCAGGCTATAATCTGGTGGGGCGAAGGCAAAGACCTCCTGCTTAGGCTGCAGGTCCTTATAGATGCCCGCAAACTGCTCCATCTGCCTCTGTCCATTGGTCAGCTTCATGGCAATTTCAATCTGGTCCATGTTGCAAGCATTGTCCGCCACCTTGCTAAGCATATCGGAGGTTTCAGAAAGTCCAGCGAGAGCAGACTTCAAGCCAGCCATCTGATCATGCAGGATGGCCAGGCGACGCTGGCGGAGTTTTTCCACAAAATCCAAAAGGAAACGTTCACGGTCCTCGATGGCAATAATAAATTGGCGGAAGGCCTTGCGTATATTGTCACTTAGCTCGCTGCAGTTGCGCTCGATCAGCCGGATGAAGGCCAGCGCCTTGTCAATGCTGCTCTTTATGCAGCGCGTGCCCACCTGGCTGCTCTCGATGGCGCCATCAAGTTTTTCCTTGGAGCCCACCATGAAGCTCTGAATGGAAGCGTAGCTGTGCTCTTTGTGCTCGTGCAGGGTGCAGCACTGGCACACCAGTTTCCGACAATAGTCACATACGTAGCGCAACATTTCATTGTGTATGTCGCAGATAAAGTTGCCGCTAGGCGGAGTCTGAGCATTTACCGAGCTACCACCTGTGGGCGAGGCCCCAATGGGCGTAGGCAGGGACACGATCGAGTGGTTGGAGGACAATGGACTGTTACGGTGCTCCCTCAGGCAGTCGTTGCACATGAACTCGTTGCACTCCAAGCAGCGTATCGAAGCGCTCACCTCGCACCAGCCGCAACTGATGCTTGAATTATTTGAGGACTCTGGCGACATTTTAGGATTGCTGCGTGCTCCGCTGCCAATGGGTCCGATGCTGAAATCGCCATGCGTATCCAGGCCGCCTAGGAAGTTGTTAATGAAAAAGTCCGTACGTGGTGGAGAGCTAAATAAGTAAAATAAAGATTTTAGTTTTTGCTTTTCATGGGTTTTTTTTAATCCCATATCTAACTTACCTTTGACCCACATTGGGTAGCAGTCCGACGTTGAGATCCCAGGCGGGAAAGCTCTCGAGGATGCCCGCCAGCAGCCGCTCAGAGGAGTTGCTGGCATTGCTGCTTATACTGCCGCCGCCACTTCCGTTGGCCGTCGAAGAGTTGGCCACGCCGTTGGCGCTCGGCGCATTGCTGCTGGCCATTTGTTGCGGAACCGAATTGTTTGACAAAAGTTCCATCATAAGAGTGTTGAGATCACGTTTCTATAGCACAAGGCGGCAGTCGATGGAGAAGCGCTTTTCCGCTATAAATATTAGCGCGATTTGCGAAAACAAAATCGATATAAGTTTAAAAATTCTCGAAACGCGAAGGACTTGTTAAAGTCTATGTTTTGCTTTTTTTCTAAACTGCGTTTGGAACGCGCGGGACGTCGTCAGTTGCCGAAGGGTAGCAGCTAACTAAATTGGCCAAGGAAAAGGTGCTTCATTAAGTAGTCTAAGCAGGCAATTGCAGCTGCATCTACGCATCTTAGGTAGCGGGAAATACCCCGACCTCCTGCCATTTTTCTTATGCCCGATCTACGATCCCGGATCCCCGACCCTAGAATCCTTAAGCAGCCCCGTCCCGAATCCGAGAAACGCAATGCAACCCGAGAAAGGCAGCTGTGCGGCGCGAGCAGCAGCAGGTCAGATTTGTGTGTGTATCTTTGTATCTGTAAGATACTTGGTTGCATTCAAGCCATTGTCAAGTTATTTGAAATCCCGGAATTTCGGCATTAGCACGCATTCCTAAATTTATGACCCAAAATGGCGAGTTTTTCGCGCGCAATTCGGCGAACTGTCTGTACTCCATAGATACTTTCTGTAACCCAGATACTAGAGTCGGGAAAAACCCCGCAAAACAAACACAGGACAGGGATTAGAACCCACCCTCGCGATGCCCCACCTCAGCACTCCACCTTATCGCGTAGTTATAACATTTTCCTGTTTTTCACCCACCACCTTGCTTCGCCTGCAGTGCGCAAGCGACTTTTCCGAAGGGGAGTAGGAAGAATGGGGTGGAGGAGCAGTGGAAAACCCAAAGCGAAAACGTCATGAAACAACAGACGGAACTGGTTGCTATCTTCAAGACGAGCAACGTACGCCCAATCAAACGTCCGACTTTCATCCCCTCGCAATAGCAGGATTTTGCAGCGGCTTCCTTTACACTCTGAGGAAAACTAGACAACGGAACGTGTTTTTCCATCATTCTGATTTTGGGTGACTCGAGTTAATTTATAGCATTACTTCAAGGGTGGGCCCAAGCAAATCCAGTTAGCCTTCTAAGGTTAAGGTGGAAAAGGGTTCTTGGTTATGAGTGGGTTGGGGAATGGACTCCTGTTGTTTTCGCCAAGGTAAAAAGATAAAGTCAATCTATTTTTTCCAGACTCTTTCCAATATCAACAAAAAAAACATTAGTGATATTTATAACATTTTGAATAAAATAAGAGGTTAGGGTAAGGCTATGATTAACATCAAGTACCTATAAAATGAGAATGAATTAATATACAAATTTTGAGTTCATTTTAACCTATGTAAGTTATGGCAATTATATTTCTTTAGATTTAAATTAAGAAAGATTTTGAGGAAAATAATAATCGGAGATACTTTTGTTTGAGGATAATAATTCTGAAATGATTCTAATCATATTTATAATTTCAAATAAATAATAAATGATTATAATAATGTGAAAAAGGGAAACCTGATTTTCATAGGGTTAAAAACACAAATCAGTCTCCAAAATCGATTTGATCCTTTTTTTTTAAATAAACAAGACCTTCTATCCTTTCATCTATTAAAAATGAGAGTGTATGATACTCGAAATAAAAGGGGTTGCGATTGGGTTGGGTTGGCAAAGTTTTCATTGGAAGAATCAGGATGAAATCAATACACAAACTATGCTTTGATCCCCTTTTTCAGCTAAACAATGCAACGCCCTAGGAAAGGAATGCAGTTCTAGGATTATTTCGAGCCGTGTAGACAGCGGCAACAAAAACAAGGATAAGAAGAACAAGAGCAGGAAAAGGACGACGAGGAGGAGGAGAAGGAGGAGGAGGCAGCAGCGAAACTACCCTTGTCACCCTTGAACGTTTTCCATTGAAACGGGTCTGTCTCCGAGTCGCAGGACGTGGAAAAAAACACGACCAAGAAGTTAAAGTCCTTTCACAAACACATTGACATACACACAAACAGTGGTTCATCTGTGTACGTGCTGCGAGGATACGACGCAAAAACGTCGGGGGATGAGGACGAGGGTTGTATTTACACAAGTTTCTCTACATGTCCGTATGTAGGTGGTTTCTGCGCCGCAAATCGTCTATATATTTGTGTGTGTAAATTTTCCAAAAATGGAAAAACGTTGAGGGAAATCTTTGGGGAATCTTGGGAGTTGACTTGGGAGTCGAGAAAATCAATATTTGCATTTGGCCGTAATCTATTTATCATTTTCTGTTGATACAACTTGCACTGCCATAGCCCCTCTCATTTGCCCTTCACTTGCATCTCTTTTGCGTACACACCTTTTTTAGCAGCCGCATGCAAGCCGCTTGTTGTTGTTATTATCTTAAATATTGCTGTGTTGACCGTTTGTTTTTCGCTAATTGATTCAATGTTTGATTTGATGCGGATTCCGTTTCGAATTGGCTTGGCTTTGCCTTTTCAGCGGATTTTCGCGAGGCGAGATTTTAGATTCCAGAGAGTTCTTATGCGTAATCCGTTCGCTCCGACATTCGTGTATTCCTTACTTCGACTGAAGAAGATACATCCGAAACCGAAAACTGAAAACACAACATAACACTCGAATCGCTCGCTCTCTCTCTGTTGCTTTTGCCGCTCAACAACATCATCCTAAACAAAATATAAAAAAAGAAACAAACCCAAATGTATCTCACAGTTAGTTTTTTGATTTTGATGTGCGCGCGCGCGCTCCGAAAATGTCGTTCTCACTGTTTTAGACCGCTCTCACTCTCTCTCTCTTACTGCTTTCGCTCTCTATCTCTCCTTTGCAGGGGCACACACACACAGACACCCACATCCACAGTTTTATCTTCTATTTATTTTCACTTATGCCGCAAAGAACTGCATTTAAAACAGAGGGGCGATGCAAAACTTTGGTTAAAAGTACTGTTACTAACCTCAAACAATCGAATCGTCTGATTTTAAATAACGGCTAATAGGATCATGGCGTCCGTTTTCAGTGCAGGGTATTAGGGGTGTTCGGGTTCACCAACAACCAAGTCATTAACGGGGAAAAATCAACTGCATTTCAACCAGCGAACTTATTAAATATCCTAATTTCAACTTTTTCTATGTCTACTTTATGAAATGTACAAACTAATTAAACACTCACTTGTCAATATCATTCACTTTACGCGATTTAAGGGTATCCCATAGCCGTCACACTCCGTCAATTTTATTTAATCGTCCGTTCTTATTCGTTTATCATGCGAGAGTTTGATCGATGTAAAAATCTAACAAATTTTTCAGAAAACGCTTGTCGTTGTTGTGTTTACAAATTGTTTACATTTTCCAGGCGTTTTCGGGTTGAATCTATTTTACTCTTTGTACCACCCTCGTGTACTTTTCCTCCTGCAAGCGTATGAGAAATTTTTAAAAGCCGTCAACAATTGTTCTTATTGTGCGTGTGATTCTTCTTCTTTAAATTACTTTGGCGGCGTTTTGTAGCTGCACTTTTCGAGTGATTCTTATTTTTTGTTTGGCCTAATCGAACGGCTTCAATTCTGACCCACTTTTTGCGGTGGGGACTAGGACTCGAAATCTTCACTCCAACCTTCACGCACGCAAAAAATTCAATTGCCGTTCATGCGCTCGGCTTGCCTCTTCCTCTTCTAGCGTACTCTGCTCTCTTTTTTCGAGGCTGCCCTTCTGCTTGCTTGCTGTCGCTCTCAATTGCGCCCCTGTGCGTTAAGGGTATCGCTCGGAATCGGGCATAGCCGACCGGAAATATCTTTTTGTGGTTCCCGAACTCTGGCCACACTATTTTTATATCCGTTATATTTTTGCCGATTCTTTAAAATTATTTATTTTATTGCAGGTTATATCAGTAAATTTAAATATTACGTAAAATACTACAAAACAAACATCAATCGTTCATAGATAGTTGAGTTTTAAAATTCATGAAACTAAAAAAATAGTTCTTTGAACGTGACTCAATAGGAAACGGATGTGACTAATGATGAATTGGTGGCCAATGCAAAAGGGATTTATTATGATAAAAAAAATTGTGCATCATCTTATTAAAATATTTTAACGTGTTTAAAAAATAAATCATTTAAGTAAAATGAATAACATCCAAGTTAGATTTGATTTCACCGGAAAATCAACATTCAATTAGCTGAGTTTTGGTCAGAGAAAATTTTTATTCGCGGTTTGGTTATAAAACATGTATGCTAATAAATAAAATATTAATTTTAGCAAACACGAGTTTTTTAAAATTTTTGGCAATACATACTTTAAAGTTGTTCAATTAGCTTTGTTAATAAGAAATGTTAAATCATATTAACAAAGAAAATTATTCAAAGCATATATGCATGTACATAGTAATTTATTGAATAAAATATAAATGGCACAATTCGATTTATACTGAGATACATAAAAACTACTTTACGTATAGGGTGTTTTACTGCCGCCTAATTTACTCTGTCTATTTCATGCGGTGCGTAGCACACTGAGCGACCGAGAGATCCATGAGCAAGAGCGCTTAATACTAACGGCGCGTGTAGTTGTTTTTGTTGTTGTCGTGCGAACTACTCTCCGTTGTTGTTGCCGCATACACCACCCTTAAGAAACTTGTTTTGCACTGACAGAAATTACGGGCCACCCGTGGCTTGGAAAATGCGATTGCAACAGCCGTGGCCGTGGATAATTGGAAACTCAAAACGGCCGACGGGTGAGTGCAGGTAAAAGAAGCAGGTGCGCCGGAACAGACATTCAGGTAAAAGTAAGCGGTTATCCTGAAGAAGAAACAAGTAATTATGCTGGCGTGGTCGTCTATTTAAAACGTACAAATGTAAGTGTTGTAATGTAATATGGTATGTATGGAAGTGTGTTTGTATGAAGGAAGGCAGGCCGGAATACTGATTACATGCTACGTATGTAGGCAGATCCACAGAGTTAGTCAGTCGCGTTCTTATAATACTGTAAGCTAGGCTTATAAAGTACGTTTTCCCACATTCCCCCCGGAAATTTGAATTTTCAGCCGAACTCCAGTTCTTCAATTAGCACATTCTGCAGCTTCTGGCGCACGCGCAGCCGTCGACGGTTATCCAATCTTTGCAGGAAAGGCATTAGACTGAGTAGGAACATGCGATCAGCTTCGTCCTGCAGATCGCCACCCGTAGGATCCGTATTGGTAGCAGCATCCGTGCTGATGTACTTGAAGGGAAGATCGGAGGAGGGGGACTGCGAGTTGGAGAACACCTTAGCCTCCGGCTCGCTCTTCAGACTGTTACTGTGACTGCTATTGTTATTCTTGGCCTTGGTCACCGCCTGCTCCATTTCCTCATCGTCATCCAGTACTTCTATGGTGAATACCCCGGAACTTGCAGCTTCCCCTGGATTGCCGCGTTCCTCCTCCAAGTTCTCCGAAGCGGCATCTTCATCGAAGTCATCATCATCCTCCTCCTCGTCCTCCTCATCCCTCTGGTTGGGCTCCAACTTAAACCTTTTGGTGTCCGGAGGCTGGCAATCGCGGTCCTCGAAAAACGAGCTGATGTCCGAAAAGCTGGGCTGATGCAGCTCCGAGTCATAGCTATGGCTGAGCTCGCAAATGGGTTCCGTTGCCACAATTGGCATTGAGTCGTACTTGTCTGGTCCCAGTACATTATTATTTTCAGACCAGTGTCCGGGTGGATGCTTTTTGCTACTGCTTCGCGTCTGCCGCATGATGTTCTCATGAACGGCTGGCTCCATGAACCTCATGTCGTTGTAGAAACGCCATGACGAGGGCGTCTCATTGGACAAGTTATTGCGGATGTACACCTTTCGAAAGTTGTCCCTCAGGTGGCCCCACTTGATGCGGCAGATGTCGGCTGCAGAGAAGGGGGATTATGTTAGAGGGTAACACGAAGCAAATATAGTTGAAAAATAGTTACCAGGCAGATTCACATCCTGACCCACCTCGAACCAAACAGGCGTGATGTCGCTGCGTTTCTGTCCATTGGCATTGTTGCGCAGCCACAACATTGGTCGTCGTGAGACGGCAGCGATCAGGCGCTTCACTGTTTCAATGGGCAGTTTAGCGGTATTGGTAAAGGCGAAGGAAGCGGAGGCGGAGGCAGAGGCAACTGAGGCCGCCGACGATGACGCATTGTAGGCCAGCTCCATGTCCAGATCCGAGTGGCCAATTCCCGATAGCCAATTCCAATACCAGTTCCGATTCCGATTTTCCCGGCAAGCGACTCGCGCAGCTCAAGCGCTCAGGCAGCACTGAAAATACGAAAAATACGGGCACCACGAAGTGTACGGCCCAACCAGCAACAACCAGTTTACGTGCCTTTTGGCGGTGCCGAGAGAGAATCGTGAAAAGAGCGGACGGAGGCGGAGACGGAGGCAGTGGCAGTGGCGAAGGCGAAGGCGGAGAAGACGGAAAGGAGAGAGGCTTGAGCAACAGGCTTTGCCACGAACTGAAGTCGAAGAAGAAGAAGCAGGAGAAGAAGAAGAAGAAGCAGAAGCAGGCGAGGCAGCAGAACAACAACTGAACTGCCAGGCAATATTATCCGGATGTTAAGCTTCCGCTGGCCGCAACTCGCTGTGTCGTATTTGCGCTTTTTACGGTTGTTAACTTTGCCGTTGTGGGCCCGCCGTAACGAATCCAATATGCTCTGCACCAAAAAGAGGTAATAGCAATAGCATTCCACGCATCCATCGACTTGAGCGGACATGTTGCTGTCTGAAAAAAATCATTTCACAGATCTTGTTGAAACGCTCCTCGTCTGCCCACAAAAGAGATCCTTTTCCCAGGTGACTCTGCCCCAACGGCTAAAAATTCATAGTGTAGTGTATAGAGCGCGGTGTAGCGTACTTTGTTTATTTTTATCAAAACTGGATTTTACTACGGTCGGCTGGCTGGGCTGCTTGGGAATGGAAATGGAGCTGGAGCTGGAGTGAACGTACGAAATTCACGCCACGGCAGTGGAGTTACTACCACTACACACATACATATGTACATACATGTACAAACATACATACATATACATATAGGAGGGTGTGTGGGAACAAAAGCTCCAGCTGGAACGATCGTGAGCCTGGAACCGAAGACTGTATCCGTTGTCAGTATGTACATATGTATATATGTATGTTCACATACATTATTACGTATATACCTACGTACATACATATATTCTTTGCACGTTTTGCGCTTAGTTTCCTCTTCTCCAGACTGCGAAAATGCAAGTGAAGCAGACCGGGGTTATTTATCAGATCTGTAGCTTTGCGGTTGGGTTTCAGCTTGACATTTGATCCTCGCCGCAATTTGTATTCACATTGGACAACACACACAGGAAAACTTATACATCCATATTAAGAGGTACATATATACACGCATACATAGTTACATATATACGTGGACGGACAGCCGGCCAATAAGTGGGAATCCAACACCGTAATTGGCCATTTTCAAGAACATCTTGGAAAGAAAATTGGAGAAAAGATACATACGTACATACATACATACATATGTATGGTGTATACTGACTTAAGGACCGGTTCTTTGCTTTCAATCCGGTTAACTTATAAGGAACACGGAGATTTTATTTTGCATTTATCTCAGTTAAGAAGGAGGTGGTAAAATCCTTGAGTTTGCAAAAAAAAACATTATCCAAACTTTTGAAATGTTTAAATGCTGAAGCTCTAATAGTTTGAAACTTTTATTAAAATGCAGTACATATTTAAAGAAAAAAAAATTAATAGGCAAAACTTATAAATGTTTTTTAATAAAATTTTAATTTTAATAAATATTTTAAATCCCTATATTTTTATTATTTTAGAAAATTATTTCGAAAAATTTTAAAACTACTTCAAATTTAGTTTTTATGGCCAAGGTGTAACATTCGGTGTAACGTTAAAAAATGAAAGAAAATAAAATTAGTTAATATTAATAAACATCCTGCGCGATTCCTAATATAAAACTTTTTATGGAGACTAGCCTTTAAGACTAATTAAACTACTTCATAAGTAATATGTTTCCGATCGACTAAAGTATTTAAATTTATGTGGGACACAATTTAAAATTGGAAAACACGATCAAAACTTTACTTCACAAATTACATTTATTGACATTCAACGAAACTCAAGGATTGAGCGAAAATATATTGTATATATAAGCGATAAGTACTTGGTTCCGGAATCCACTCGCACACGTAACAAATAGACAAATCGCACACTTAACAATAGAGAAATTCTTTACGGGGTATGAGAGATGTCGATTTAAGAATCTGGAATATATATGTTTAGACATATGGTATATACTACACGTACAATATGTATATTTATAGTGAGTGGTAATGGTAATGAAGCGCCCTGCTAATACTTCGCCTGGCTTAACCGAATCGAAAGCGCCTGCGCTCGGTAGTGATAATGATGATGATGATAGGGGTGTCGTTTACACAGCGGCCAGGTTGGGTTCCTCGTCGACGTTATTATCCTCGTCTTCCAGTGGTACAGAAGCAGAACTGCCCCGCTTGCGGATACCTCCAGACGCATTTCCTGCCGCATGACTACCAGTCATAATGGAATAACTTTTCGAGGCGGGCTTACGCGGACAAGAGACGGCATCTTTCTCCAGGGCTGACATGTCACCATTACTATGACCATTGCTGCTGTGCGGGGAGCAGCTACCATTCCCATTTGCAGCTTCGCCTACTGCTCCAGCACCATTTCCATTACCACTTCCATTACCAGCACCCGCCTCGTTGATAAAGACGTCCATGTGATCGATGGTGTCGTTTAAAGCAAAGCTTTGATCGCGACGTTCGCTCTTCTTCCACAGGTAGTAGAACTGGACTAGCTCGCGCATGGTCCGGGTGCGCACCTGAAAGAGCCCAACGAGCCCACAGATTACTGGCTAGGGGCGATCGGAGGGCAAGGTACGATCCTTTACCTGGTTCTGTCGAATTTGATAGAAGTCCTTGCCAAATCGCTGGATGCCTTCCTCGAACTTCAGGCACTCGTCCTCAGACCAGCTGCTCATTGTGTCAGTCAAGGGCAGGACATTCATGCGCTTGCGCCGCAGGGCCTCCTTGAAATCGTAGCCGCACTGGACGAGTAGATGGAGCGCCTGTTCGTTGTCCTTGATCACCAGCTCCTGATCGCCAGTGGAACTGGGTGCAGGCGGCGCCTTTGAGGGCGTTGACGGAGCGGGAACAGGAGGCAGTGGTTCGGCAGAAGCACCTGTAGCTGCAGTCTCCTCAATGACTGCAGCTTCTTCTCCGCCTTCCGGTGGAACTATGGATCGTGTTTCCTGTATCTTTGCTAAGTATTCCTCCACCTCGCGCTCGCTGACTTGGCTGGGTTCCCAGATCAACTGATCCTCGTTCTCGTATGGCAATATGTCGCCATATTGCGAGAGTCCCTCGGGAATCTCAGCCTGATAGTCGTTGCCCACCATTATTATCTTTCTGGCATCATCCAACTCGGACTCGCTTTCCCCCTCCTCTTCCGCCTCCACTTCATCAAACAGAGTCTGCAGAGGAGTGACTATAAAAGGGTTACATAATGGGATTGATAATTAGTTTTTCAGATCCTCCACGTAAATACTCACATCTTTCGGTCTCGTCACCGCAGGTGGGCGTTAGACCAGTGAAGGATTCATCTGGATATAGGTCCAGCAAGTGGGACCGGTGTTGCTTATTTGAGCCTTCAGAAGGTGGTGCCTCCTCTGTATCCATGGATGAAGCTTCTCCCGACTCAAGAAGAGACGTCTGCTTGTCCGGCAAATCCTTTGGTTCCTCTTGTTCCAAGCTGTCGAGTTTTTCCAGTTGCGAGGCGCTGCTGGAAGTGGAGTTGGACATATGAGCCATCTCCGTGTCCAGTTCCTGATACTGACGCTTGGTGGCTCGACGAGCACGTCGCGAGCTACTACCAGAACGGTTGGAGCTACTGACCGCGGGTGAAGCAGCCGTTCCACCATACTTTGCCAGTAGCTCCTCGATGGGCATTTCGCTCTCCTCCCGCAGCGTAGCTATCTCGTCCTCGGCGCTATGCGCCTCCATATCCGCCAGAGCCTCCTCCTCGTTCAGCGTGGCTTCGTCGTCAAAATCGTTGACCATCATATCTATGGTGGGCTCAAAGGTAGTGTCCGCCACCGAGGATGAAGGTGACATGGGCGGTTGGACGCTAGTGCTGGTGTTGTCAGAACTGGTCGCCGGTGACTTACGTCGCTCTCGCTTGGTGGGCGTCACGGCCAGATCGCTATTGGCCAGGCTGCCGGAGTCCGCCGACGCCTCGGAGGCGCTGTGCTGGGAATGCTCCGACGATTTCCCGAACTCCATCATTTTCCGTACACACAGTGTGGCAGCGACCAGAGCGCCAAAATATCTGCAGTTTGTCAACGTGAATGCGCTAAAAAATGTCACAATTGGGGTATTCTTTTTGGTTAGGCAATTTCTTATATTTTCAAAAATTTTAATTGTTCTAGTATGTTCAGAATTCAAACTCAATAATTCAAAATCTCTTAAGAGAATACAAATGCATGGGTAATCGAAATTATTTTCCAAAATTTTAAGGAATATTATTAGAATAATACAAAAAAAAAACAATAAAGAATTAATATAAGTTATACTTACTTAGAAACGAAATAGATGAGCGATTGAATTTCGTTAGAAAAATATTGTAATAATCTAAATTCGCCAGTGTAACGGTTTATGGTATTTTAAATGCGTACTCATTTCTATATATAATTTATTTATTTATTTAACACAAAAATCAAAATCAAAACAAGAGGAAACGCTATAGTCGAGTGTCGCGACTATAAGATACCCGTTACTGTTTTACACAATTTTAAAATATTAATTTTGCTAGTGGAAATTCACAAGGCGCCACCTATTGTCAGAGGAAGTATGTTGAGTATGCTTATAGTGACGTCACTGCCCATGTGGAGCCTTATAACCTTAATTTCTTCATAAATAGCGAAATAATGTTCCGATTTGAAAAATCTCTTGTAAATCGATAGATATTAACAGAAATAAGTTACACAAGGTCAAACGAAGGAATTCATAATAATATTATAGACTCCACAGTTTTCCGCGAGTTGTGGGCGTTAGAGTGGGCGTGGCCGGATGCAACTTTGTGGCAAGTTGCAGAGGCATCTCCTAAATACGTGTTTCTAAGCAAAATTGTGTAGCTTTTATAGTTTTCGAAATTTTTGCATTTTCGGTTTTTCGGGTTTTGTGGGCGTTAGAGTGGGCGTGGCGTGATCGGAAAAAAACAATTCGCATTGGGAGCATCATAGAAACATACATGCTTGATCCGAACTTTCTATCTCTTATAGTTACCGAGATATCAGCTTTTCTAGAAAATCCGAAAACCGTCTTTTGAGCCTTGTGGGCGTATGGGTGGGTGTGGCTGCATAGTAGAACCACTATAAGATGCGCTAGCATCTAAAGATTATACTTTTTGAATTTCAACTTTCTAGCTCCAATAGTTCCTGAGATGTCAGCAGTTTTAGTTTTTTGCGATTTTTGGGCGTTATAGTGGGCGTGGCAGGATGCTGTAATAAACTTGCGCTGTCCCGGGACCTCAAGAATCTTCATGCTTAATCTCAGCTTTGTATCTGCTATAGTTCCTAAGATCTCAGCGTTCATACGGACGGACGGACGGACGGACAGACGGACATGGCTCAATCGACTTCGCTATTGATTCTGATCAAGAATATATATACTTTATAGGGTCGCAAAAGCTTCCTTCTATCTGTTACATACTTTTCAACGAATCTAGTATACCCTTTTACTCTACGAGTAACGGGTATAAATAGACCCGTATATTTCTTTAAAACCTAGATAAACAAATAAGAGTCACATGAATGGCAAAACATAGACAAATTTTATTGAACCTTTTTTGTAGATGCACTTAAAAATAGGAATGAATGAGTTTATGGTTTCAAATGACATAATTATAATAAAATTAACAAATGCGAATGGTGTTTTTCCCCATCACAACAATGGCACCTTCATCTTGTACCTCCTTCAGAGCATCCTCGAATTGCTCACGGGTGATCATCTAAAATTAAACAAATTAATTAAACAGTGATTTTTAAGTACTTAAATATATACTAACAATTTGAGACCCCTCCTTTATGTCGTTGAACAGTTTTTGGTAGGGAACAGTGAGGACCTTGCCCTTCTTCTTCAGGTTCTCCTTAATAGCCGCCACCAGATCGGCTCGCTTTTTACGAGCTGCTGTGGATAAACCGGTGGTGAGGATGCCCACGTCGATCTTGCCGGACAGGGGATCTGTGGCGGACTGCTTGAGAGCCTCACGATGTAGTCGCCAAGCCTCTTCTACGTCCAGCAATTCGACCTCGTTGCTGAGCCGTACCTTGGCGTGCGCCTCCGACAGCCGGATAAGGCTCTCCAGTTGACGCGGGTATGCTGAGATTTGGCCACGACCGGCACCCACTTTTCGCATGTCCACGTAGGCCTGGATAAGCCGCTGCTGCGCTTCATCCGAAAGCGTGGGCGACAGATGCTCGCGAGCATAGGCTATGTAGTCTCGTAGGACGCTCATGTCCTGAAAAATGAAAAAAAAAAACACACATTTATTAGTATTCTGTCGGAACAGCAAAAATAGCTGAAGGCCACTCACAAACATGGTATCCTCCTCCTCGTGACGAGTCACATAGTACAGTGAGACCAAATGGCTGGCCAGGCGCTTGTCGAAAATCTCATCCTGGGGATCCAAGACCAAGAATATCAAATCAAAGCGGGACAGTAGAGTGTGTGGAAGCTGCACATTATCAATGATATTTTTTCGCTTATTCCACTGCGACTCGGCAGGATTGGCGGCTGCTAGGATGGAGGTCCTTGCGTTAAGCTGACAGATGATTCCTGCCTTGGCAATACTAAGAGTTTGCTGCTCCATAACCTCGTGAAGTACGCTGCGGGTCGAGTCGTTCATCTTGTCGAACTCATCGATACAGCAGACACCATTGTCGGCCAAAACCAATGCACCCCTAAATTTCGTGAAATTTAATTAATAAATTAAATAAAAATCTAAAATCACACTTTTAGACTCACGTTTGCAGGACCAACTGGCGTGTCTCCGGGTCCTTAGTGACATAAGCAGTTAAACCGACAGCAGAAGAACCGCGACCTGATGTGTACTGTGATCTTGGCACCAGATTGAACACGTACTGCAGCATCTGGGACTTGGAAGTACCTGGATCACCGCACAACAGAAGGTGAATTTCCGATCTGAAGTTCTGACGACCAAGAGTGGCATGCTTCTTCTTAGTACCTCCAAAGAGCTGTAATAAGATGCCTTTTTTGATGTCATCATTCTCGTAAATTGATGGCGCAATAGCTCTAGCCAAGCGGTCATAGATGTCCGGCTTTTTAGCCAGCAACTGCAGAAGCTCAACGCGCTCCGGTGGGAAGATGTGATCCTTGCTGAAAAGAATTTAATATAAAGATTTCCTTTTCCAACAACTAATAGAATACCATTCTTACCCCTCTTCTTCTTCGTACAGCCGTTTGTTGTCCACCTTGCGGAAGTGAACTACATCGACGTGAGTTTTGTACACACTCTTCACTGATGAACTTAAACCACCGGTCTTAAGCGGCGTTGCTCGGTAGATGCCAGTAACTGTAACACGATCACCCGGCTGTACCTTGTCCACCAAATCGTTGTGGGCATAAAGCAGCACATTGTGAGGCGTCTGACCAGCAGCCATGTCATCCGGGGACTCCTGCAGCTTGACAAGTTGCTTGTCAGTGAACTCAGATCTGTTGTGGATTAGACGGAAGCAGTGGTTGGTGTTGCAGTTGGTACACAGCGTGGGCTGGTTGATCCGACCGCGATCTACTTCGACAGTGGTGCTGAAGGAGCAGATGTTGCAGCTGAAGAAGGCCTCACGCATTTCGGGAATAACGTTTGATGAACGGATGACCATTCCGCTGATGCTAATCAGCTGGTCCATGTCTTCGGGATTTAAGGAGCGCATATTGCGTGTCTTGTCGGCATTAAACGGACGCACTTGAATCTGGTGCTCTAGAAGGGCGGCTGGATATCGCTCGAAGAACATCTCATTTATGGCCATGTCAAAGCCAGGAATAACCTCCTGAGGATAACAGATCAACTGACGGTACAGATCCTGATCAAAGGTCTTAAGATGGGCACAGTTGAGATTAAGATACGGCTCCTCCAATGTGTGTATCTCCTCCAGCTTCTGCAGATATAGGGGCTGGTTAACATCGATGTTTTCGGAGATCTCATCCTGCTCGGCGCTTGGGTCGATGAAGCGCATTATGAACGACTTAAACTTTGACTTGCACTGGCTAACCACCACATTGGTGCCCCAGACGACAAGTTGCGGTGCCTGTGAGGATTCAGATACGGGATCCGTCGTCTCCGAGCCCTTTTCCGGAATAGGTTCCAGCTGCAAAATTTGCATATGTAAGCGATGGTTTAAGTAATTATTTGCCGGCTTCCACTTACACCCGATCCTCCGCCAATGGCTACCTGGCGGATGCGCTTATCCGTCCGAATATCAGGACGCGCTCTCAATGGAGTACCTCGTATTCCGGAGCGCGGAGTGCGAATGGACCCCATAGAGCTTGGAGTGCCATAGTTGAGTGGAGAGCTTAAATCGATCTCGCTCATGTTGGCACCCAACCCACGAGCTGGACTGGTAGCTGGCAAACTGATATTCCCCGGCGAAGTGGGCGGCAAACTGATGTTATCCGAGGGCCGAACACCGGCCCTGCCAGGACCCATACGCATGGGAGTCTCCACATCTTGGGTAGCAATTCCTGTAGGAAAAAAAACTAATGATATCCAAACTTATCAAGCGTTTTTCACTTCAATATTCACCTCTAGTTGGCGTGCGGGCTCCCTGTTTGGGCGTGGCAGCTCCGACACTGGGTGAACGAGCGGGACTTGACATTTCCTCAGAGCTGTATATTAAGTCTGTCCTGGACGAAAACTGGAGTTGTTGTGACCAAAATATAAACGATGCGATGCTGTGAATGAGTCCAAGTAAAAATTGGCGGGAAAATGCCAATTCCAGTGCGGAGAAATACTTGATGGTAAATTGCAGTGTTGTAAAACCCGCTGCTGGTAATTGGGCGCCAAATGTTTAAGGGTTTTTCTATGATTTTTTTGCTATAAGGAAATGTTTGATAACCTTTTAATAGCCAGTTTTGCAAAGCACTTTATCTTCTTCGATCGTTGTTTATTCTAAAAAAACCACCTGTTTTAACTTGGCCTAAACTGTGCACCCTTTGGCAACCCTGCCCTTTTGGCAACAACAAAATATCAGTCAGTCAGTCGGTGACAGAGACAGAAGTTTGTTTGTTTTTCTCACAGTTCGAAGTTGTGATCCTAAAATTACCAATGTTTTTGTAAATTTTAAATACTTATTTTAAGCTGTTTTGGAATGAAAATTTTAAGTTAACCACAATTAAGGCAACGAAAATGATCATTTGAAAAGGCTGCCACAGCCTGAAAAAAAGAATACGCAACCAAAACATAAAAGGGAATAAAGCTAACGGGATTTATGATCCCAACTCGTACTCACGCGGAGTAGGAAGAAGGAGAGAAGTGGACGGAGAAAGAGGAAGTAGAGGGGAGGAGCAAGTGGAACCATGTCTAGCGAGGAGATGCTATATGCGCAGGTATTACACAGTATATATTGATGCCCCACAAGTGCATCGTGGCAGATTGTGGCGGTGTCGGTGTCGTCTGCAAATGGTGCCAATATAAAATTGCACCCATAACGTGATTTCCCTGCCCAAAGTATTTGTTTGTGTGTGTGTGTGGGCCATTTTCCAGTTCTTGGCCCTGATTTGTTCCCATGGCAGGTGATTAGCGATTGATGACTGCATCGCAGCCCCCGAAAATGTTTGGGAATGAATCACTGTGGTGTCTTATCGGACGGGAATGGGTTGTGTGATAAGCTTAGTTGATAAGCAGCGCATTGGGTGTCGTCTCTGGAGGCGATTGGGGTTAAGTGCAGGTCGCGACTCCTAATAATCACGAATCATTCATATTTTTTTACTAGGGGTCCAAGATCTGGGTGCCCCATGCGGAACAAGTGTGGGAAAGTGCCACCTTGGAGGAGAGCTACCGAAAGGGCGCCGGATTCCTGAAGATCTGCACCGAATCCGGCAGTCTCAAGGAGGTCAAGCTTAAGGCAGATGGCAGCGACCTGCCACCGCTGCGGAATCCGGCCATACTGGTGGGACAAAACGATTTGACCACCTTGTCCTACCTGCATGAGCCGGGGGTGTTGCACAATCTGCGTGTCCGCTTCTGTGAGCGCCAGATTATCTACACTTATTGCGGCATCATTCTGGTGGCCATTAATCCGTATGCGGAAATGCCGCTTTATGGACCAAATATCATTCGGGCGTATCGGGGACATGCCATGGGCGATCTGGAGCCTCACATCTTTGCCCTGGCGGAGGAGGCGTACACGAAACTTGAGCGCGAGAACTGCAATCTGAGTATAATTGTCAGTGGAGAGTCGGGTGCGGGAAAAACGGTGTCCGCCAAGTACGCCATGAGGTATTTCGCCGCTGTCGGAGGCTCCGAGTCTGAGACTCAGGTCGAGCGCAAGGTGCTGGCATCTTCACCGATCATGGAGGCATTTGGCAATGCTAAGACGACCCGAAACGATAACAGCTCCCGCTTCGGAAAGTTCACGAAGCTGCTTTTCCGGAATCAGATGGGCGTGATGTACTTGCAGGGGGCCACCATGCACACCTATCTGTTGGAGAAGTCTCGGGTGGTGTACCAGGCGCAGGGAGAGCGGAACTATCATATATTCTATCAGCTGTGCGCTGCGAGATCGAAGTACCCGGAATTGGTTCTAGGTAAGCCGGAAGTCTATTTCGAATTTAGTTTAGTACATGGTTCAGTATCTGTTTTATTGCAGACCACCAGGACAAGTTCCAATTCCTAAACATGGGCGGTGCTCCGGATATAGATCGAGTTTCGGATGCAGACCAATTTAACGAAACCGTGCAGGCCATGACTGTTCTGGGCTTTTCCATTCAGCAAATAGCTGACATTGTTAAGATTCTGGCAGGTATTCTCCATTTGGGTAACATTCAGGTATCCAAAAAGTTCAACGAGGGCAGCGAAGAAGAGGACACTGATTCCTGCGAAATATTTGTAAGTCATAACATCCTGATTTCCGCTTATCTGATCTGTAAATGCAAACCTATTTATTTTGTAGCATAACGACATCCACCTGCAGATCACCGGCGATCTGCTACGGGTGAGCGCCGAGGATCTGCGTCGGTGGCTTTTGATGCGTAAGATAGAGTCGGTCAATGAATATGTGCTGATACCGAATAACATTGAGGCGGCACAGGCGGCGCGAGACGCCCTGGCCAAGCACATATATGCGAAGCTGTTCCAGTACATCGTTGGTGTGCTAAACAAGAGCCTCAACAACGGTAGCAAGCAGTGCAGCTTCATTGGCGTCCTCGATATCTACGGCTTCGAAACTTTCGAGGTGAACTCGTTCGAACAATTTTGCATAAACTATGCAAATGAAAAGCTCCAGCAACAGTTCAACCAGCATGTCTTTAAGTTGGAGCAGGAGGAGTATCTCAAGGAGGGCATTACCTGGACAATGATTGACTTTTATGACAATCAGCCGTGCATTGATCTTATTGAATCTCGACTGGGAGTGTTAGACCTACTCGATGAGGAGTGTAGAGTAAGATTTGGTTGACTGATTTAGTTTCAATATCGCTTTTTAAATGTGTGAATCTGCAGATGCCTAAAGGTTCGGATGAGAGCTGGGCTGGCAAGCTCATCGGAAAGTGTAGTAAATTTCCGCATTTCGAGAAGCCACGCTTTGGCACCACAAGTAAGTGAACTTTATATTCTCCAAATTGAGTTTCCTCGTCTAATATCCATTGAAATTCTGCTTTTAAGGCTTCTTTATCAAACATTTCTCGGACACGGTTGAGTATGACGTGAACGGATTCTTGGAAAAGAATCGTGACACAGTCTCCAAGGAGCTGACCCAAGTGCTAGGCGAATCCAATATGTCCCTGGTCAAGCAGGTTATGACCCTCGAGGAAATCGACACTTTGAGCGTGGATGCTGCCAAATCGTCTACTTTGGGCGGTCGTGTCGTGATCAGTGCTGGCCGCAAACAGGTTTGTGATTGTTTACCCACATGCGACATGGAGCTAATGAATCGAATTGCTTTGTATACTTCGTCCTCTTGTAATCGTTGTCTTATTGCTATTTGTATTTTACATACGCTTGTCGTTCGCTCAACGCCAACTCCCTCGGAATGCCCCTCAGCAAGGGAATGACACCCGTCGAAGAGTTAGTTATCAACTTATATAAATATACCACAAATGACTAACAAGAAAATCAAAAACCAATATATAATCACCTCCATGTTAATCTATTTAATAACATTTTAACATCTTTTCAACATTTAATTTTCTGATTTTACCTACATTGTATTTTTTAGAAGAAAATGTGTATATAAAAACTTTACTGTGTGTTTGATGATTTTCACAAGTCTGCCTACTAATTAAGTCTTTTACACATTACAAGGTGGTACCATCCAAGCAGCATAGAAAGACTGTGGGATCGCAGTTCCAGGAAAGTCTGTCCTCGTTGATCTCAACATTGCATGCTACAACGCCGCACTATGTGCGCTGCATAAAGGTAAGGAGTAAAACATACAAATAAAAAATCATGCCATAATTTTTTTTTCGCTTAGCCCAACGATGACAAGATTGCCTTTAAATGGGAAACGGCCAAGATCATCCAGCAGCTGAGAGCCTGCGGCGTCTTGGAAACGGTTCGCATTTCGGCGGCGGGATTCCCTTCGAGGTGGCTCTATCCCGACTTCTACATGCGGTACCAGCTACTGGTATACCGTTCTAAGCTCGACAAAAACGACATGAAGCAGTCATGCCGCAACATTGTGATGAAGTGGATCCAGGACGAGGATAAGTACCGATTTGGCAACACGCAGATCTTCTTTCGCGCCGGCCAAGTGGCTTTTCTTGAACAGGTGCGAGCAAATCTGCGAAAGAAGTACATAACCATTGTGCAATCGGTCGTGCGACGATTCATCTACCGGCGGCGATTCCTTCGCATCCAAATGGTAATCCATGGAATCCAGATGCATGCTCGAGGCTTCCTGGCCCGCCAGCGGGTCCAGAAAATGCGTGAGGCTCGGGCGGGGTTGATCTTGTCTAAATACGCTAGAGGTTGGTTATGCCGTCGTCGTTATTTGCGCCTCCGCCACTCCATTTTTGGCATACAGACCTATGCCCGTGGCATGATGGCCCGTAGCAAGTTTCATGCAATGCGGGATCACTACCGGGCAGTTCAAATCCAGCGTTTCGTTCGTGGAGCTCTGGCACGGCGTGCTTATCAAAAGCGGCGGCGAAACATCATTATTTGCCAGGCGGCAATTCGCAGGTTTTTGGCCCGCCGTAAGTTTAAACGCATGAAGGCCGAGGCTAAGACCATCTCGCACATGGAGAACAAGTACATGGGGTTGGAAAATAAGATTATATCAATGCAGCAGCGAATCGATGAGCTAAATCGCGACAACAGCAACCTGAAGCACAAGACCAGCGAGATCAGCGTGTTAAAGTATATATTTAAAAATGTAAGATTTACTATATTTTAACACTCTTTGTCTTTCCAGAATGAAACTTGAATTAAAAAAGACCCTAGAGGGCGAATTCAAAAATGTTAAGGCCGCCTGCCAGGACAAGGACAAGCTGATCGAAGCACTTAACAAACAGCTGGAGGCGGAGCGGGATGAAAAGATGCAGTTACTCGAGGAAAACGGTCATGCGCAGGAGGAGTGGCTCAGCCAGAAGCAGACGTGGCGCCAAGAAAACGAGGAATTGCGCCGCCAGATTGACGAGATTATTGAGATGGCAAAGAATGCAGAGGTTAGCCAGCGTACTCAAGAGGACCGGATGCTAGCCGAGATCGACAACAGGGAGCTAAACGAGGCCTACCAGCGAGCGATCAAGGATAAAGAAGTGATCGAGAACGAGAACTACATGCTAAAAGAGGAGCTCAGTAGGCTCACGGCCGGCAGTTTTACTTTGCACGGACGCAAGGCTAGCAACGCCTCTAGTCAAAACGAGGACGATGTGGGTTATGCCTCGGCCAAAAACACCCTGGATATAAATCGGCCTCCGGATCTGCTAAGTAAAAATTGTAGGATCACTTTTTTCTAACTATTTATGGATATGTAAATCCATTTTATATATTTATATTCAGATCCGTACAACGACTTCACAAGTCTGGTTGTTAAACTGAGAGCCATTCTAGAGGAGGAGAAGCAGAAGCACAAGAACTTGCAGGGGCAATATATAAAACTGGCCAACCGCAACAAGCCCACCGAGGATTCGTTCCGGTAAGTGTTTAGGACCTCCGTCAACAAATAACTTGCTTACTCAGACACGAGGTCGCTACCCGAGATCGGTGTTACTTCCGTGCACTACTACCACAACTAAAACTTGAACAAAACTCCATTTGTCTACATTTATGTATTACTCCCGCACACTGTCACCACTTACATAGCGTCTCCGAGCTTGAGGTAGAGAACGAAAAACTGCGTAGCGAGTACGATCAGCTGCGAACGAGCATTAAACACGGTGTTGAGATCAACGAGCTCAATGGTAACCGCCTACGCACGCTGTGCGACCCTCGGAGTTGTCCTACTGACCCACCTGCCTTTTTCCTTCCTCCTTCCATTCTTTGCCATTGCAGCCCAGCATGCAGCCCTGCAGGAAGAGGTCCGTAGACGCCGCGAGGAGTGCATTCAATTGAAGGCGGTCTTGTTGCAGCAAAGCCAGTCCATGAGATCTCTAGAACCGGAGAGTTTACAGTTCCGGGGAAACGACGTCAACGAGCTGATGGAGGCCTTCCAGTCCCAGAAGCTCATCAATCGGTTGGTGCAGCTATCATCTTAGTATATCCAGAAGAAATAATTTTTTTTATTCAACTTTAGTCAACTGGAGTCCGAGCTCAAGGCCATCACTGAAGAGCACAACAGCAAACTAGTGGAGATGACGCAGGATATTGAGAGATTAAACATTGAAAAGGATGAGCTGCAGAAGGTAATCTTCGAGAGCATTGATGAGTTCGAGGAACCCAATTTGGAGACTCTGAGGCAAAATGATCGTTATCTGCGGCGTGAACTGCAGAAGGCTGTAGCCCAGTACCTACTCGTACAGGAGGAGTTGAAGTTGGCGAATGCCAAGCTAAACGCTTACAGACAAGATGGAGGCCAACTGGAACACAAGCTTGAGGAAGAGATGAGCCGTAACAAGGCCAACGGAATGTCCAACGATGTCGGCGCTAATGTCACCAAGCAAAAGTCGCAAAATCCACAAGGTCTCATGAAGTTCCACAGCAGCGATCTGGACAAGATTTTGCAGCGCCTACTAAGCGCCTTGACCCCACGTACAGTTGTTGGTCTTCTCCCTGGTTTCCCAGCCTATCTCATCTTTATGTGTATTCGGTAAGATATGTTAATAGAATGAAATATAGAAATCTTTTTTAACATAACATTTTTCCCATTAAAGATATACCGATCTTACCAATGCCGATGATGACGTGCGCGAGTTGCTGAGCAAGTTTGTGATACAGATAAAGAAAATGCACCGCACGCCGCATCCTATTGAGAACCGCGTTATTTGGCTGGTTAACTCCATTACGTAAGTCGTCAAAGGATAAAATTCACGGAAATCAAAATATGTAATCATTTTAATCTCATTTAGGCTGTTGAATCTTATGAAGCAATACGGGGACGTGGAGGAGTACGTGAAGTTTAACACTGAGAAGCAAAATCAGCAGCAGCTGAAGAATTTCAATCTTTTCGAGTACCGTCGCGTAATTCTCGATCTGATAGTAAATCTATACCAAGCGCTAATTATGCAGATTCAGGGTCTGTTAGACCCAAAAATAGTGCCTGCGATTCTTAATAACGATGAGATTCAGCGCGGACGGCAGGCGCACGGGATGCGTAGTCGGACTACATCCATTGGAGCTTCTTCATCGCCGGAGCACGGCGGTGGTCCGGCATGGAAGCAACTGATCGGACAGCTAGATCACTTCTATAAGCAGTTCCAACACTTTGGCTTAAACAATTGCTATGCGGAGCAGATATTCCACCAACTGCTTTACTTCATTTGTGCGGTAGCTCTTAATTGTCTGATGCTAAGGGGCGACATTTGCATGTGGGAGACGGGCATGATAATCCGTTATAATATTGGTTGCATTGAGGATTGGGTGCGCAGTAAAAAGATGGTAGGTCCAGTTTGTCAATTACGATTCGTATAAGCTAACTTCCCTTGGATATTTCAGTCGAACGACGTGTTAGCACCGTTGGCGCCTCTAAATCAGGTGTCGCAGCTGCTGCAGTCCCGGAAAAGCGAGCAGGATGTTCAAACAATTTGTGATCTTTGCACATCACTAAGCACGGCTCAGGTTCTAAAGGTGATGAAGTCTTATAAACTTGATGACTACGAGAGTGAAATAACGAATGTCTTTCTGGAGAAGCTTACCAAGGAACTCAATGCCCGGCAAATGGTAAGTTTGAGAAACCTTTTGAGTATGCACTCCCCTAAAATGAGAATGTTATATTTCAGCAAAAGAGCAATAGCGACGAATTTACCATTGACCAGAAGTTTATTCAGCCCTTCAAAGTGGTCTTTAAGTATAGTGAAATCAAACTGGAAGATATTGATTTGCCGTCGCATTTAAACCTGGATGAGTTTCTCACAAAGATTTGAGCATCGACTACCCCACGACTATACCTATTGTTAATCGAGAACGTTGCCATTTGGGATGATGTGACTCCGCTTTCTTTTTGTGTATTATACGAGTATAACGATTGTAGAAATGATTATTGTCCTTATATTTAGAGAATCTATTAGATAATGAAACAATGCTTAGAGCAGTTTTGCCGAAATGTGCTTTAGTTCCTGTTTAGTTTAAATTAGCCTCTTGTTTCCATTCCGTTTAAATCCATTTCAAATATCCAATGGCACCCATCCCAAGTTGCCAAGTTTAGTTTTTTGTTGTACGAACTATTTGTAGCAAAGCAATGGAAGGTTAAGAACCAACCTTTATATGTGAAATGCAATAAGTACCGGGAGTTAGACTCCTGTCATAAAATGAGCATTCCTTGCCTGAACCTTGTACCTTAGAACATAATTATATTTATACAATGAATGTACTTAAACAGGCAGATTTGTTGCCTAAAAAGCTTGTAACACCGAAACTACAGATGATAGACTAAGAAGACAGAAGCAATGCTGTTTCATTCCATCGATTTATGTATTCTCATTTTCTGTGTAGCTTGTAACTTGTAATTTCTATTTTCTCGGCCATGTTAGAAGACTTTAAAAAAGATTAGCAAACCTAAAATACGTTGGCATTTGTTTAAAACATTCTAAGCAATTTATCTAAAGATATAAATATATATTAACAAATCAACTACGCGTGTATAATGGTTAGCAATTTATGAAATTTTACAAATATAATTGCGAGTCGTTAACAATCCACCAGCACTTTTGATAACTTGTTCTTCGGCAGGTCAAGGGAAGGCAGGCGCTGCGTGACCATTCCGGTGGCCACAGTGGCTCCGTTTTCCCGGATCGTGAAGGCTTGGCCCGGGGTCATGACCATTTTTCGCATCAGGATGACGCGCACCTGGCCATGTTCACCTGGCATTAGCATCGCCTCACTTGGAACTGGAATTTAATGAGAATACTTAGCGCATATTGGGAGTACGTCATTGATAAAACTTACTTATATCAATACGTGCAGGAACATTCCACGTCTGGCTGAAGAGCTGCTGAATGTATTTCGAGAGCATGGGCTTGACCCGGCCACCCTCTGCCCGCGACAGGAGGTACATAGATCCCTCAAAGTGGTTGGAAATGTCCTCAGAGCCCGTCGCACATAGAAGCATTCCCCGCTCCACTGCGGAAATTTTTATGCCTCTCAGCAGGGCGCCCACATTTTCACCGGCCTGCGCCTGAGGTACGCTTTTCCGGAAGATCTGAATGTCGCTGATACTAGTCTTAAGATTCTGGTTGAAGCCCAGAAGATCAGCATCCGCGTTCCGAGGAATGGTGCCCCTTTTGATGGTACCCACGACCACAGTTCCTCTCCCTGGGACAGTGAAAGCATTGTCAATGGGCAGTATAAATGGAGAGGCGATATCACGCTGTGGTGTTGGTATGTAGGAATCGCAGTGTTCCAATAGCTTCTCAATAGACGGAACTCCAAATTCTGTAGTATCCTCGCGAAGAGCCAGCAATGCCGACCCACAAATTACGGGACTATGAACGCCATCGAAACCAAAATCGCTTAGCATCTCACGCATCTCGATCTCAACCAGTTCAAGCACCTCCTGGTCCACCAGGTCAGCCTTATTTATGAAGACTATAATACGCTGGATGCCCACTTGTTTGGCCAGCAGCAGGTGCTCGCGCGTCTGCGGCATCTGACCGTCTGTGGCGGCTACCACGAGGATGGCGCCATCCATTTGGGAGGCGCCCGAGATCATGTTCTGTGTAAGGCAGAGCTGTTGTATATATATGCATATGTATGTGCTTAATCATTGTTACCTTTATGTAGTCAGCATGACCCGGACAATCTGTGTGGGCGTAGGTGCGCTCTGTGGTGGCATAGCCAATATGGCAGGCATTAATGGTTATGCCGCGTGCCTTCTCTTCAGGCGCCCGGTCGATCTGGTCGTAGGACAGGTACTCTGCCAAGCCTTTCTGGGACTGGATTTTGGTGATGGCGGCGGTCAAGGTCGTTTTGCCGTGGTCCACGTGGCCAATGGTACCCACATTGCAATGCGGCAACTCACGCAATCCTGACGCAGGATTTTTATTCGCAATGGTAGCTAAAAGCCGCGATCCTTTCCATCGGCTTTGTTTGACAACGGCGCCGTACAGAGACTGGTTGATTCGGTTCAGGAACACGGCATCACATTGACGCCACAACTTTGGAAGAAGTCCACTCATCGCCCCCTGAAGATCCGCAGTCCAGATGTAGAGCACGTAACACAGTACCCGTCGCGGGAAACCAAAACAAGAACAGCTGTTCCGCCAGTGTTACGCAGCGCAACAATGGATGTACCGAAAATTTTTCAAATTTTTGATTTGCTGGGAGAATTAAACAATTTGAATTTTATTGACTTAAAAAAAAATTAAAAGGGAAATCAAGCTAGCGTAAGCAAACCTTAGAGCGGTTAACATTGCACGGAGAATTATATGATGCTAACCGTGTAAATTTATTTGATTAGGGCGCTTTAAAGACATATTGCTGTTGATTGGTAGACTCAGTTTTTTTTTTCCATATTTTGACGCTTATTCGACTGAAATAGGAAATTCTTTTCAAAAAAGTAACACATTTATAGCTCATCAAAATCATCTATGTATACAAAAAGTTAAAAATATTAAAATTTTATTTTTTAGTGGCTTTATCGGATTCTTATCAATATTACAACTTTAAGTTATATATTGTGACCCTGTTAGCCTTTGACTTACTTAAAAAAGATCTCACTAAATACCTAGTATATTCGCTACTCCAGGTTGTCCAACAAATATCTATATATTTTATGATTTTATTATTAATTACTTTATTTTTCTAAATATGTAAATACATGAACTTAGTAAATAAAGGCAGGTTTTATATCTGAATATAAAAATATTATTAATCATCATCATAAATTCTAAATATTAAAAGCTATAATTCATATATGTAAATATCTTTTATTTGTTGGAAATGTCTTGAGGTTGAGGGAATGCTTCTGCAAAGAGGGCTTCGCTCGAAGGCACCGCCACCTTCAGAGTGTTTTTGATGATCTTGTGGGTGCGCCGCATGTGGACGCCCAGACTAACCCGCTCCGAGAAGCGCGTGGTGCATAGGGGACACTGCAGCGTCTTCTCTTTATGGATGTGGCGGTGTTTAACGAGAGCGTTGGCATTGGTAAAGGCTTTTTCGCAGACCTCGCAGACCTTGTCACGAATGTTCAGGTGCGCCTTAACGTGATCCTTGAGGTCGCGTTTTGTCAGAAAGTCCTTGGTGCACATGTCGCACTTGAAGGCCCGGATCTTGGTGTGCACTGCAGTCACATGAGTTGTCATCTGAATTTTCTGCTTGAATGATTTGCCGCAGAACTCACATACAAACGGCTTGGCGACGTGTTTCTCGTCGTGGGTGCGCTTGTGGACGGCGAGCTGGCTGCCGAAAGCAAAGCTCCGACTACAGATGTCACAGATGAATGTCTTGCTCATGTGAACCCGCTGGATGTGTTGCTGCAAGTGACACCTTCGGTCGAAGTTTAGCTCGCACAGAGTACACCTAAACCAACCTCCCTCACCCATCTTGTGATCCCGGAACTGGTGGGCTTGTAGGGCGTGATCTGTGCTGTACGCATGCTCACAAAATTCACATTTAAGTTTTTGACGAAATGTTTTGGTAGGCATAAAGCTCTTGCACCGCTCAATGTACCGTTTTTCGGCCAGCGAGAGACCTACTGACTGCACGTCAGTGAGGGTCTTAATCCGTCGCGAATACCAATGGCGCATGCTTTGAATACAATCGTACACATCGTAGTGGGTGATCAGACCCAGAGAAAATTCACCAGTTAGCATATCTGTGATCTCTATTAACGATGACTTTCGTTCACCCAGATTCGAGAAGTGTTTGTGCGTCGGATCATAAAGATGGGGGAATTTTGAGTACAGTTCGATGAACAGAGTGGTTAGTCGATTTTCCTCCGTGAACACCAACTGCCAAGGGGTAAACATTAGATTTGTTTAAGAAACAGAGGTTAAGTAGAGCCTACCTTTATCTTGCTATCACCTTCCTCCTCGTCGCTGTCCACGTCCTCTAGACTTTCACGTTCTGCCAAAAAGCCATATTTGGCATGGTAATATAGTGGAACTTTGGTCAGTTTCTGGGTTTTCTTTTGCCTCGAAATTGCAGCATACTGTGTGTGCAGACTTGTGATGCACTTCTTGAGCGTGTAGGCTGTAAGTTGGAGGTTCACGGTGGCCTTTAATTGATCTAGTAACTCTTCGTAGGCTGCTGCGCGTTTCTCCTTGTCCTTGTACGACTCATCCGCCGGATCCCAAAGGCACCTCTGCTGCTTGTATAGCTCGATGAACTGCGTAATCCGGGGACTTCGCCTGTAAAACGTAGGGTTGAACTGACGGAAATCAAAGCATCTGATTAAATTGGTGGTTTTGGTTTCCGGACTCACATACTTACTTTTGATTGGGGAGCGAAGTTGGTTGAACTAGTGCCCCGGTCGCAAACCACTTCTAAAGAAGCGCAATCGACCTCGTCCCTTTCCTCGCTTAAGCTTTCGTCCTCGGATGAAACTGGCAGATCCACGAACATGTCTTCAGCTAGGCAATCTTCCGGTGGCTCACCCATTATGAATACCTTTGTCATCGAAGGGTCGCATTCACTTTCGTCGGAAGTAATGGTTCCAGCATCAATAAACTCCTCCTTAATTTTCGTATGCGATACCAGGTGCTCCTTGATGTGCACAATAAACTCCCGCCACCGCTCAAATTCCATCTCCACCAAGCAATCATTTTTGTGAGCACACGTTAGAACAAAGTGTTCGTAGTTGTCTCTGGCCAAAATATTCCCGCAAATCACCATAACTTGCTTACAAACAAAATGAATCCGAAGTAAAGACGTACACGAACGCCTTGTATCGATAAACACCTGCTGGTCAGTGTTGGAAATGATCCAAGTTTTTTGATAAGAAATCGTTTCTGGTATAGTATCTCAGATTCTGAGTTCTTTAATTATCTTAAGAAGTTTAAGTTTAATTATCTTTTAAGTTTAAGTTTATCGACTACGATTCTTACTTTTATAGTTAAATTAGTTTGTTTCAGAAAAATGTAAATTAAACTATCTTTTTGACTGTTTTCTTTTTTAAATCAAACTATTATAAGATTTAGTTTACGTTCATATTTTTAATTGCATTTATTTCAACCTTTACGATAAATGATTTATGTGTGCCCTTTAAAATTACGTTCTTCTTATTTTGAATGATTAAAAAATGGCAAAGTCACAAGCGCATCTGTATGTAAGTTGGTAATGTTTATTTTATGTTTTAGAAAAATGAAGACATTTGTGCCAACTGAGATAATTTTACAAGAATTAGAAAGAAAGCATTACTTTGTGAATGCGAAATATCATCCATTCAATTACGTCCTATGCGAACGGCGATGTCTAGATAAGGAAGAGTGATCATAGAAAGCGGCGTCACAATACTCGCATTTTTTATCACGGATGTTTAAGTGGCCTTTGATATGATTGGCCAACTCGAACTTTTTCCGGAAGGTTTTGTTGCACATGTCGCATCTGTAGGGCCGAATATTTAGATGCACCCCATTGACGTGATGATCCAGGAGTAACTTAAGTCGGAATGTCTTGCCGCAGATGTCGCACACATGTGGTCTCTCGCCCGTGTGGATAAGCGTGTGCACCTTTAAGTCGTTATCCACGGCAAAACTTTTTTCGCAGTACTGACACTTTAGCTTCCGTTCAAAGTGCGTGCGTAGCTTGTGTCGGTCCATGTCTACCTGTCGGTCGAATCTCCTCGGACAGAGGGAACAGAGGTAAGGCAGATCGCCTATTTCGTGTGCCTTGACGATATGCACCCGCAGGTTGTAGTCGCCGTGGAAACGTTTATCGCAGTAGTCGCAGTAGAGGACCTGGCTCTCAGATCCCTTGGCTGGCAGAAAGCTGCACATACGCAGATATTCCACTTCTTGCTTGCTGCACTTCTGAATGAGCTCCTTGGACCTTAGTCGTCGCATTGCATCGTATAGCCAGCGGCGAAGCTTGTTGACTGCAATGTAAACATCCGTCTCGTTGGCCTTCACCACAGGCTGAAATTCCTTTGCCATCATTCTGTAGGCAATTGCGCGCGCTTCCACCGAACCAAAGTCCGACAGCTCAGAGTTGTATAGACCGGGATAGTTGGCGTAGGTCTCTATAAAGGAGCTGGTGACCAGGTTTTCCTCCAAAAAGTTAAGCTGTAATGTATGGTACACGTTATAAATGATTCAAATTCTAAGTAGTCTCGTTTTCACCTTTATAACAGTCAAGTCGTCATCCTCCTCGACCTCTTTTGGCGCTATACTGGGCGCGACACTGAGATAATCGCACTTGGCAAAGTAACGTGCTGCCAGGCCAACTAGCTTCTCCTTTTGTTGTGTCTCCGCGGCCAGCGTATATTGTACGTGCAGGTTCTCGATAGATTTCTTTAGTTCTTCCACGGTAAAAAGCACATTGGCTTTGTTGTCCATGCGTTCCATAATTTTCTCGTAAGCCATATTTCGAGCTATCTCGTTCTCGTAGTTTTTATCTGACGGATCCCATAGGCAAGGATGCTCTCGGTACGCATGAATAAGATGCAGAACACGGGGATTGCTTCGAGTAAATGACACTTTGAACTAAATTTATGCAGTTTATATGACATTCGCTCAGAGGAATAATGTTACGAATTTACCTTGAAAACCTGTCCAGGTCTCCTTCGTCTAGGTGGTCTACCTGCTTTCCGTGGAGGTGCAAAATCTTCTTCAGACATAAAAAAGTCACTACAGTTCACTTCATCTTCATCTAAAGGGACCTGATTTTGAGAGGTGTCGTCCAATTCCATTATGTCAGCCGCGGCTGGAATTTCGGACGAAATGCCGTCTGGTGTATACTGTGAGAAATCAGCTGCAGGTTCCGACCAAGCTGTATCGTCGTCCAAGTACTGGCCATCCTATGAAATCCAACAAAAATGCCAAGTTATTTTTGGACAAGTCTAACAATTGTAAATCCTCACATTGTTATCAGCTTGCATCCATTGATCCTCTTCATTGTTGTTTTCAATCACCTCGAAGAACTCGTCTGGTCCATAGGCGATGTTGGGGTCCGACGCATCGATGACGGGGTCCGAACCGTCGATGACAGGGTCCGAGCCGTCGATGGCGGAGTCCGAGCCAACGACGGCAGCGTACAACTCTTGAGTGGCCGGTTTAATTTCCATTTCACCCGTGTTAACGTCCTCATCGCAATAGTGTGCCGACCTCACATGGAAGATGAACGGCTCCCAATCTTTTAACTCGCTCTCAATGGTACAGTAGATGCACTTTAGCCGGAACAACTCATACTTTGAGTTGGTCACCACACTACCACACACCTCCATGCTAACGTAGGCGACTCTGAATCGACCTCAGATTGGAAAATTATTTTTTTTCTCGCAAAGTCCTCCTTCATTTACAATGTGATGATGCCCTGATGTTTGGGACAGTGGTGAACACGATAAATTCACACCGATAAATAGTAAGCAAATAGGGTTTACCTATCGAACTATCGACTATCGCTCAAAAGTAACGGCGTTCTTTAAAATAAACATTTAAAAACATTATTCCCATTTATGCGCTGACATTCCCATTTACTGCGATTTAAAAATATTTCATATTTCTTTCGTACATACATACATATGTATCACTTTTCAAAAAAAAAAAATTAATAATAATATATAATATTTCAAATAGATAAGAAAAATAATTCTAAAAAAGTACTATGCATCAAGTTGGTTTGTACAATTTTTATTGCAACATGATCAGCATGCTATATGTAACTATAAAGGTTCGGCGTCTACTGCATCTCTTGCCTTTTGTGAGTTGTTTCGAACGATGTTGTGGGTGCGCTTCATATGCGTATTAAGACCCACAAATTGGGAGAACCGAGAGTCGCAAAGTTTGCACACAAACTTTTTCACCTCGGCGTGGATCTGCCGATGGCGGATAAGAGCATGGCAGCTGGTGAAACCTTTGCCGCAAACACCGCAGATTTTGTCGCGGATATTAAGATGACCTTTGATGTGATCCGACAAATCAACCTTTTTTACAAAGTCCTTGGGACACATGGTGCACTTAAAGGCCCTAATCTTGGTGTGAATGGCCGTAACGTGGAGCGTCATTTGTGACCTGAGCCGGAAAGCCTTGCCGCAGTGCTCGCAAACGTAAGGCTTGTGACCCGTATGGGTACGGATGTGCAGCTGCAGATCCGAAAGAACAGCGAAAGTCCGATCACAGTGGGTGCACTTGTGTGTTTTCCCGATGTGGACCCGCTGAATGTGGTTCGACAGTTCGCCACGACCCACAAAACTCCGGTCGCAAAGAGAGCACTTAAACGGTAACTCACCGATATTGTGCGCTTTAAAGATATGTGATTGCAGGACATGATCGGAGGACGTGACTTGGTGGCAGAACTCGCATACTAGCCGCTGCTTGAACATCCTTGGCGGCATAAACCGGCACACCTCTAGGTAAAATTTCTCCGCCTCACTTCCAGCGTTAATAGCATGCTTGGTGCTCTTGTAGTACCACTGGCGGAGATTTTGGATGGCGCGGAAGATGTCATCGCTGTTGATGTCGATATTGGGAATTGATATTTCCGCGGCCATACTTTCGTAAGCCTGTTTTCGGGAGCTCATGGTGGAGAACTCTTTGTGCGTCGAGTCATACAGCTGCGGAAAGTTGGCATACATCTCTATCAGGTCGGTAGTCACTTTGTTTTTTTTAGAGAAATCCAACTATGATTGAATTAAAAATTTTAATCTTTACTTTTTTTAATAAGTTGTATTCCTTGCCTTGATTTTTTCGTTTTTGTTAGCGTCTTCCTCATCGCTGCTAGCCTTAAGGAAGCTGCAGAAAGTATATACACTAAAGGCCAATGACTGAGGCTTCTGTTTTCCAGAGAGCACTCGCTTGTGGACGATATTGAACTGCATGTGGATCTTCTTGATGGCCAACTTTAAAGTGATTTCGTTCAAGAAAATGCCCACCTTACCCTCCAAATCAGCAAGCATCTGTTTTACGGCTTCCTCACAAGTTCTCGGGTTTTTGTACTCGCTGTGGGTAGTGTTCCAGAGGCACGGGTGTGTTTTGTAAATATCTATGAACTTCAGAGTTCGGGGATCCCGTCGAAAGAAGGATGGATGAAACTGAAATCCAAGATTGAGATTAATTCTGCACGTTTATATGAAATTTATGGTAATACCTTGTATGTGGGCGGAGATTTTGAATTTGCTTCCTCTATAGTTAGCTTACTACGTTCCATCTCCTGATCGAATTCCTCGTGTTCTGAAGACTCGGATGCATCAGACTCCTCTGTCGCGTAATTGGATGATCCAATTGTCCTTATTTCCATTTCTATATTGGCGTCCTCCTCTGATTCCTCGACCATTTTATCCTTCTCCGCCGGTTCTACCATCCCAGATTGCGCACTACTTTTTAAAAATTCAGTCTCATCTTCATTTTGGATGAACTGTTCTATGATCATATCTTTCCTATGCACGTTCCTAACGTGCTGCACGAACTCCTGCCACTGGGCCACTTCCAAGTCCGTGGGACAGTGGTTGCAGCGCATTAGGAACTTTTCGTAGTCCCCGCTTACATAAATAAGGCCGCAAGTTTCCATTTTAAGTTAAGAGTAAAAATCAAAAGCGTTTGTTTATATTCCAACCATTTGTTGTAATGGGCGTAGTTAAAATTGGTTGTAAGGGGTCGAAGATGGTTTTAAAATTATTTTATCGTGTAAATAATAATAAAATAATATGATATTAAAACACCAATCAAAATTAATCTTTAGGATTTATTTATAATTTTTAGTAATTGATTCGAAGAATAAGAGTCGTAACGTTAACCTGTTTATTTTCACGCCCTTAGTCCATAGCCCTATCGCCTATCGATAGCATGTTTTTTGTATCGATTCCCTAGTGTTTATATTTTTCTTCCAGCTGACAGGCCGCGGTGTTTTCGGTGTTGTGGTTTTTTGGCGTAGCTAGGAACTTTCGATGAAAACAAAAATATGGAACAGCACAAAAGTCGCCTGGCTTACACCATCGGCATGCTCACGCTGTTCCTTTGCGGGGCGGTGCTCTTTCTGATCGGTTTCTTTCCGGCCTCCTATTCAGTTGCGGAGGACCACAGCACCGTGCCGGAGGGCCGTCCCACCACATTGCACGGAGTAGAGTGCGTTTCGGAACTGATAGTTGTGTGAGATAAGGTTTTGATAACGCTTGTTACTATTTACAGCCTGACGCCACCGCCACCTGCCTACGACTCCTTGGTACTGTTCATGGTCGATGCTCTGCGCGATGATTTTCCCAATGCCACGTCTATGCCGGTGGCTTATTCCAGGGCCTGTGAAAAGCTTACGCTTCATGTAGATATACCGACGGTGACAATGCCACGTCTTAAGAGTATTACCACCGGCACCCTTTCAAACTTTATCGACATAGCCTTAAATGTCGGCCACACAGAGCAGCTGCAGGACTCCGTGCTGCACCGGTTGAATCGGCAGAATAGGGTTGTTTCATTCGCCGGTGACCACACCTGGGTTAGTCTCTTCCCTAGCGAGTTTACACGACACGCCGAGAACCCTGATTCCTTTTATGTAAATGATTTTTACGAGGGCGACAGAAATGTAACTAAAGCTCTAGAATCCGAGTTGGAGCTCAGTGACTGGTCGCTGCTCATTCTTCACTATCTGGGCCTTGATCACATTGGTCATGTTGAAGGTAATACTAGTCCTAGGGTGCCCTTAAAGCTTAAGGAAATGGACGAGGCAATGCAAAAAATATTGGATCACAAGGTAAGAACAAAATTAGCTTTTTGTTTGCATTATTATGTTATTATGTTTTCATTTTTATGTTTGCAGAGTTTTCCCAACAAATTACTCATGCTAACTGGAGATCACGGCATGGCTGATGGTGGAGGACATGGAGGCAATACGCCAGCCGAAACTCTAGTGCCCCTATATCTGTATTCAAATAATTGCAGCAAGACCACGTAAGCCTATGACCCCGTAAACAAAACAAAACCTAATTGGTGTTTATTTTATACTTTGTAGATCTGTCACAAAACAGTACAACCAAATCGACTTGGCACCCACTCTATCAGTACTTCTATCTGTTGAGATACCTACTCTTTCCATTGGATGTCTGATACCCGAAATGCTGCAGTCGTTGTCCTTGGAGCACCAAATGTACGCCTACTTCTACAATGCGCATCATTTGCTCAACAAGGCACGTGTAAAGTTCGGTCACGATAGGGTCCATCGAAGTGGTAAAAAGATGACATTTCTGTACTAATTTCTTCAATCTATAGTTTTCGATCCTCTAGATTACTACACCTGGTATCAGAATGCCACGTTGTTGCACAAGAAGCTTTTGCATCCTTTACGAGAGGGTGATGGAGGTGGAGCAAGCCAAGTTTATTATCAGAATGCAAAGCTTAATTATATGCGGGTCGCCCGCGAGATTTCCGGGCTGCTCTCGGAATCTCTGGTGAAGTTTGACTACGGATTCATAGCCCTAGGATTAGCACTAACAATATCTGTGAGTTTTTCGATAAACTTTTGGATCCTGTCGTTATTACATTAACTGATCTTTTAGACATCTCTCCATATTGTGATCAGCGTCTTGTACTTAGATCTTACCGAACAGCTCAAGCTTGACGTCTTTAAATGGGGGCAACTTCTGTTTTCTGTGATTTCCGCTATTCTCCTAAATGTGACCAGCCATGCGTTAGATATTATCCTGACCAGTTCGTTGTTCCAGAGCATTCTACTTATAGTACCCATATGCATGGCTGTTTATCTTACAATCGATGTAGCGCAGGCGCTTCTCAAGATTGCATTGCCTCCAATATACACACGTCGCCTGAAGATCTCCATTCCATTGCCTCTACCTCTGCTAGTTTGTTTTGCTGTTCGCACATTAACTCTTGGTTCCTCCTCGTTCATTGAGTTCGAGTACAAGACCTGGTATTATCTGGGTAATACCCTTATCCTACTGACGGCATTCCGGACACTACGACGGCGCATCACCAAAACCAACGTAGAATTGGATGGCCGCCATCTATACACCATAGCATCAACGTGCTTGTGGCAAATGCGAAAAGTTTTTGTAATGCTTATGTTGCTTACACTGATGCGCTACATCCACAGGCTGCAGGCTATCCGGAGCACCATCATGATATTCTCCCTATTGTTGCTTTGGGCGCGACTGCACCGGTACAGTCAGCTGCCGCAATCGGTGGCTAGTGGAGCAGCATTGTTCATGGTTTACTGCTTTCGCGGTCTAAACGGCCAAGTGCACTTCCCCGACGTGCCTCCGTATATGGCGTAAGTTTAAGACAAACTTTATAAAATTAAGATTAACTAATAACTTGTATATCTTTAGTGCAAAGCTTATGGTGCCCACTCTGGTAGTATTTTGGTGTTGTTTGGCACTGGTTTTGGTTTTAGGCTATCGAGCGGCGCTTCCTCAAACGCAAACCTTTGGAGACTTGCCGCCCACAAGTATTTTGCTGCAACTTCTCCAGACTAACCTTAGCAGTTCTCTGCTGCTAGCTGCTCTTCTGCAAAAGGTGCAAAATATCCTACTGCTACCTGTACTTCTCGTGGCCCTGCAGCAAACCTACAAACTATGCGATGTTTTCGGAACTAGCGCTCGAAAGTTCTCTGTTCGTTTGGTACACGTGTACAAGATCATTATGACCATATTTCTGGCCAGGATGTTCTTCTTCTACCAAGGTAACTCGAACAGCTTGTCCACCATTGACCTTACGCCGGGATACATTGGACAAACTAGCTACAACCCATCCATCGTAGCACTCTTCGTTACTCTCAACACTTATAGTGCGGAGATTCATGCATTCCTCTACTTAATTGTACATACGCTGCGATCGGATCTGCGCAGTGTTGGAATAATGCAGCTGCAGCCGCCTTACTCCATAGCCGCGGATTCGTTGATAGCTCCGCTTTATGCCGCACTGATCATGCTACCCGCGGCCTTCTACCTCTGCTTGTTGGTCGGCTTTCGTTACCACCTCTTCATCTATTCCGTCTTTTCCCCAAAAGTTCTCTACGACTGTTACACTGTACTGGTGTTCTATTTAGTATTTTTAGTAACAAGTTTGTACTTTAAATTGTTTAAAAATGACGCTTAAATAAGAAATAATTTAAAAACGCTTAATCTATTACAATGTTTTGGATGTTTTAACTAAGAATGGATACCTTAAAAGTGTAAGATGGTTGTAGATGATTTATATAATAATCAAGCATTCTTGATGTGGGCGTTATAAAAGCAGGTAAAATGTAATGATTCTAGGTGAAATAGCTTAAGAAATGCCAAAAGGTAACTTCCCACTCTTACTTGATTTCGTATGACTCTTTTAACTAACTACCTCTCCAACTCTTAGTGCGTAATGAATGTCATCTGCGCTGACATTGAGCAAGATTTTCTGAAAGAGATCGTTGCGCGAATGTTCGCTAATAATGAGTCTCTCTGCACCTAGTTTTGCGCATAGCCGAAGAGCACTTCCTGGTGGTGGAAAGGTCACACCCATAAAGGCGGCTATTGTCTCCACTTGCTGATAAACGCCCATGAATGTAGTCTCTTCGACGCCAGTGCGCGTAACTTCTGCTGCAACCGCTTGCAGAAAGATCTGCTCCAGCCGTGAGCAGTTCTTGATGGCCTGCACTTTTGCACTAGCTATCATCTCCGCCAAAGCCTGCTGCACATGCAGCATGGTCACGCATTTGACTTGAGCGGTATCAGCAATTTCCGTGGCGCGCCGGCAAATGTCCAGAGCTCGACGAGCATCACCAGAAACAGCAGCCACCTTGCGCGCAACTAGCTGAACGGCCTCGCCTTTAAAAGCTTCTGATCCTCCTAAACGAGCGGTAACGATCTCCTGTAGCTGTTTATGGCTATACGGTTGGAACGTGAGTCGGGTTAGACCAAGACGTGAAGTCACTTTACCTAAAAATATATTCAGATATTAAAGGATTGATTTTTATTGTATTTCCGTTTAAGAAGCATCACTAACCCATTAAGAGGCGCTCAGGCAAATCCATAGTGTTGGCAATAGTGACCACCACCAGTTTGGCTGCTGACTTGGTGGGCCAGTCGAGAAGGTTGTAGACTACATCCTGTCGCCGGTTGCACAAGATATCCAGCTCATCAACCAGAAGCACGGTGGTAACTCTACGCGGCGCAGGAGTTGTGAAACGCTTCTCTAACAGAGAGTGAGCCTGCTCCCAGGATACGGTTTTTCCCGTAAGCTGTTTGTAAATGTGCACGTAAGCCTGTCGCGGTTCCGTCAGCCGCATGCCATTGATTTCCAGAAACTCAAAGACGGGCAGCTCTTTCTGAGTTGCCATCCGCTGCAGGGTGCGTATAACTCCGGTCACAGTGGCTGTTTTGCCAGTACCCGGAACTCCCGATACATACATACAACCGCCACACTGGTCCTGGATCTTTCCCTCCAGAAAGGCGTAAATGTTCTCGAACTCTCGTTCGCGACAAGGCAAACTTTTGGGCACCACAGACACATGAAGCTGCTCGCGTGCCAACTGCAGTTGCGATTTGCTGTTATCATTCGTCGGACGATCCGTCCGCTGCTGCATACTGGGACTTAACTCCCCGGCCCGGATCTTTTTCATCTTCTGGGAAGGCGTCATCGGAGTTGCAGATGTGGTTGTGGTTGTTTTTCCTTTGCTGGGAGTCGTTGCTGATTTAGTGGTGGTGCTTAAACGTCGCGATCGTGTGGGCGTCTTTTGAACTGACTTTTTCGGCGAATAGTCTTCATCCTCGACTTGAACTGATTTCTTGGATCTTTTTGGAGTGGATATAATATCATCGCCTTTAAATACCCTCTGCTCCACAATATTGGATAAATGAATACTACGTCTGGGGGTTCCCTCGGCTAAATGAAAAGAAAAGAGAAAAACATTTATAGCTTTACATCCTTGATAATTTTATCAAATGAGATCATTCACTTACCCAACCGACTGGTAGCTGACTTCAATATACTTTTCCGCCTTGTTGACGGTGTCCGTTCGACTGCCGCAGCTGGATCAAGGGGCTCCTTGGATTTCTTGGTGGGCGTATGATAGATGTCGTCATTGGACACACCCAATCGTTTGCGGCCCTGGGAATTTGGTGCTTCTATGGGCTCTTCAAGAGACAACGGATCCACATCCATTGAGGCAAGGCGCACTGAACGTCTTCTCTCCGAAATACGCAGCTTAATCTTCATGTCGTTGGACGGCGTCTTAGGATCGGGTGTCTGCTGGACAATCGAGTAATTTAGGCAATCTGAGTCGGCGGTGGTATCCGCTCCTCGATCCAGGCTGAGATTAAGGTTGCGGCGAGCTGCCGAAGCCCGAGATTTGGGTGTCTCAACCTTGGCGTTTTTCTCGGTGAGCGGCGAAGCCGGAAGATAGTTGGCATTGATCTCCTGGTCCGTCTTCTTCTTCTCCGACAGACGCACGACACTCCGTCCGCCCACGATTTTAATGGGCGACACCTTATTCTCGCAGTTAAAGTAGTTGACATCGACGAATTCAACGGACCTGGTAGCCCCCATAGTGGAACGTCGCTTTTCCTGCGTAGCTTCTGCTTGGCCAGCTGTGTCATCATGTCTGGCAGATCGCTTCGATTCATTGTGAGAGTTTAGTGATTTGCGGGATTGACGGTGCTTGTCCTCCGGCTGTTCCAGGTGAATTTCCAAAGGAATCAAGCGATAACTTCGTTTTACCTTGACGAACCTGTACCGGCTGACAAACATCGGGCAGGCCTTGGACTTCAGTTTGTTAGAGTGGCGACTAAGGATGTTCTGGGCGGATGATTTAGAGGTACCTTCCAGTACGATGCACTTGCGGTAAATGGCGCCGAGGGCCACGTCGTTGTCGTATGGGCGGTGTTCCTCGATCACCTCCAGGCTAAAGTCAATGGCCACGTCGTCGTCGTCAAATTTCTCGTGTGGAATAGCCCTTGGCCAGGAGTACCACTGAACGATGGCCCGGAAGGGTTCGCGGTCGCTCAACTCACGCAGCTCATACATGTGCAAGATCCGGGCCACGTCGCATCCACTCACAGTGTCCGGCTCAGCAGCATCTGCATTGGACACCAATATAAAGTCGCCAACTGTCAAAGTCAGCGGCCCGTAGATGCACTTCTGGTAGAAATAAACGTTCTTGTGCTCCAGATGCTTTACAGGCGGCACTATGTCTTGGCCTCCGATCCACTTCACTTGTTGGCCCACACTGAGGGCGTTCTCTTTGTTAACCATTGTGCTGCTATTCGCTATCAGTTATTTAACAATTCGCCAGCGTCAGCAATATTTAAAATAGGTTTGTGGCACTTCGATTCGCTCCTCCTTCTTTTTCGATCAGCTTGCCGCGCTGTTTATACTTTTTGGCGCAATTCTACAAACGGCGTTAGCTAACACCAAAAACCGAAGCAAGCTGCCAACCTTTTTTATAGGCCCAAACAAGGTTGCCATATGTGTTAATAAGTTCAAATTAAAAAAAAAAAACGTTAAATTTAATAATAATGAATTATCCCAATGAAAAATATTTAAGATTTAATTGTTTTAAGCCATAAGGGGAGTGGTTGCTAATAATAAATTTGTATTTTCGTTAACCTCATCCCATATGCCTAAGTAACTTTAAAAATAGCGTTTGGTATATTCCACAAAGTTCATTAATACCCAGGTTTAATTCTTATACGCCATAAATGAACATTTTTTAATGAATCATTTGTTAGTTTTTGAGTCCTATCGAATATAAAAGTCCGGCAGACGCAGATGCCACATTCCTAGAGCAGCCCCCATGCATTGGTAGTTAATGGCTTTTATTTGTGAATAAGAGTAGAGTATAATGTTGGGTACGTAATGAGTACAAACATCAAGCAATTGAATCAAACATTTTGCATCGCATGCATAACAATTTTGTATATAGTATGTATAACATTTATTTTGTAATCCGCTTCTTGTTGCGTTTCTGTACGTAATCGAAAATCATTAAAGAAGCATGTCCGGATCTCGATTCCGGCAAATGTGGTGATGTAATTCGTGACTTTGCAAAAGTTTAATAGTGGTTTTGGGTTTGCTTACAAATAAAATAAATCACAATCTATATGTACATAATACTAAAAATGCTTATAACGCTAAATCAATGAAACGAGGAGTTCATCTGCAGTCCAAAATTAAGGTTACAAAACAATGGCCGTCTACAAAATAAGCACATTTTTGAATCCGCTTCGAGAGTGTTGCAGGTTGCAGTGTTTTGTCGGGTGTTTTTCTGAATACGTCTAACAGATATCCATATTAAATGAGTTAATGCCTTGATGGGAAGTCATATCGACTCCATTTCCTTCTGCTCTTCCTCCAAATCACCTACTCAATGTCGTGGAAACGGAGAATGGCGCGTCCGGGAATCTCGGAGTTGCACAGCTTTGCGATGACCTCGGCCGCCTGTTCGCAGGGGAACACGGAGTGTGGCGGCGGCTCGATCTTCTTATTAGCCACCAGCTCCACCACTTCCGCCAGCTGCTCTGCGGTGCCGTTCGAGATTGCGATAATCTCCTGCTGGTATTGCTCCGAAAGCCGCGAGAACTTGGGCAGAAGCTTCTCCGCCACCTCGTCGCTGATCAGGACCACGCCGCCTTTGGACAGGCAGTGCATCGAGCGGTGTAGACTCCTGGAGGTGGTCCCAAAGTCAATCACCACGTCAACGGCTCCACCGCACACATCCTTGGTACGTTCAATGAGCTGTGGCTCGTACAGACATTCATTCCACTGTACCACACTGACACTGGAACGAGAAAAAGAAAATTAAAGGTAAGTTCAAAATATTTTTGCTTGTATTTCATATTATATGAAAATAGTTACTGCCATTTTAACCAACTTATATTAAAACCAAAGTATAAGAAATTTTTTTTTTTTTTTTTTTTTTTTTTTAATTCAATATTTACTTACAATCTGTTATAAGAAAATGAAACTAATTTTCTTTAAATAATGATATCATTTTCCTGAATACTTTTACTATAGAGCTTTCTTAATTTAGAATTTAGTAGTGAAATGAGTGGTCTAAACTGAAGATTATTTGTTTTTAATTTATAACCCCTTCAACCCCTTAAGGTATTTCAAAAAATTTAAATACTTACTTCTTGATCTCTGTGGCCAAACGGAAGCCCTCGTCCCTGAGACTGGCAACTGTGATGTCCACGTCGTCGGCTCCAGTCGTGGCAAAGTGATAGGAGGCAATGCGCACGGCCCAAAGGGCCAGACCGCCGGTTCCGACGATCAAGATCTTGGGCTTCCTCTTGGGCTCCGTGGCAGCTCGCTGACTGAGGATCTGTGTGACGACTGCCTGAGCCTTGAATACGGCATTCCAGGCAAGCAGGGCGCCTGTAGGCAGCATGGCGGCTACCTCCATGGGCAGACTGTCGGGGATGGGCACAACGTGCTTCAGATCGGGAACCACCAGCAGCTCAGCATAACCGGCTGGAGTTTCATCGAACGGATAAACGATGACGCGCTGTCCAATGCGCAGGCCACGGTTGTTGGCCTCCGTGATCTCAGAACCCAGGGACTCGATCACGCCCGCCACTTCAAAGCCGGGGAAGAAAGATCCCTCACGGATTCCCTGGTGCGCCGGCGAAGACATCGAGTTTACCGACGGACAGTAGTCGCTCAGCTCCGAAGAGACCGAGGACATGCTGGTAATGGAATTGGACCGATCGCGACGACGGTAGCAGGCTCCGGCGCATACTATCCGGATGCGGGCGCCCATTGCCGGCGTGTCCTCAATGGGCACAAAGAAGTTGAAGACGCAGTTTTTGGCACCCGGTCCGGGCGACTCAATTGACACTTGACGACACAGCTTGTTCATGTTGTGTGTATTGTGGTGATCAGGATCCGTCGGCGGCAGAGCGGAAGTCAGGGACAGTGAGTTCAACGACAACGAGGTATCTGTTGTTCCGCTGCAAGCACACAAAGGAATGGATAATATATATTAGAAATGTTCTATTTATCGGACTAAAAATACTTGTGCATATCATAGATGTGGTCAATAAACTTTGTCTTTCCTCGCTTATTCCAAGTACATACATAATATACATACGTAATATACATAAATATAAATTTTCTACATATATTCCAATATATACATATATTAACCACCTTCTTTCTAGGTAAGACATAGTTACATTTTTTTATTAATATAAATAAATTATTTTACAGAATTACGTTGTTTTTAGTCTCACATTTGTAAAACACCTTACTTTTATAGAGCCCTTAGATCAATCCTAATGATTAGATCCTATATAACATGTTTTTTTTTTTTTTTTTTGTCAGAAAGATTATAAACTATAAGAAATCAAATTTCTTTAAATTACTTACTTAAAATTTCTTCTGTTTTGTCATAAAAGATTATAAATTATAAGAACTCAAATTTCTTTACAGAGTGCGGTTCCTATTACAACTTCTCAAAGTTTCAATGCCACAACATGATATGCGAGTTCTATTTCGTATTCTCGGACTGCTTTTCCTATATACATACGAACAATAAATAATCTTGATTTTCAATGCCAGCAACAATTCAGAATTTTCCATGTTAATATTGGTCTAGCAACTTTTTGTGTGATGTAATTACATAGCATACATATATCTGAAAGGTCAAGTGGTCTAGTTTTCGTAGATACTGAAATGTCCCCGGATTTATTGACAATCCGACACACCAATCGTCATCTGATACGGATACGGATCCATTCACTTCAATAAGCTGATAAAACCCCCAATTAATAGATAACTTGTATGGCTAGAATGGAGTATTAGATTTGGCTAATATATGAGCAGAGCTGGCAATTTATTGCCCATAAAGTTGGTAGATAAAATGTGTGGGATATATCGTTATAAGTCTGGTCTGGTGTCTGCCGTTTCAATTAGTGCATATTGCCATCTGATAAGAAAAAAAAAGGTGACGAAACCATCCTAACACAGTTCACTTCACTTGCACTTTCCTTAATTTACTTATAAACTGAAATTTACACAAGTGTATTGTGTTTTGAATTTAAATAAATGATTCAAAATATTTTGTTGACTTTACTTAATGTTTTACGAAAATGTTCACTCTCCTAAGCGATCTCACTAAAAAATTTCTTGAAAATTAATTGAGTATAGTTTTATTATTATGTTTTAAAAATTGGTTATCCAATTAGAAATTAACACACTCCATAAGGTCCATATGAATTGAAAACCCCTATTACGGGAATGGAAAAACTCAATCAGCGTCGTTTAAAAGTTTACCTTCTTGAACCGAGCAAATTGTGTTGTTGACTGCATATATCGACCGGCATTTTGCTGTCTTTCTTTATTTTTCTTTACTGTTTTTTATTTTTATTGGTTTTGTATTGCACTGAGGGTAAACTGGTTGGCACTTTTACTTGTAAATTGGCTAGATTTTTCTTTTAGCTGCACTAGCTACGGTTGCTTTTCTCACGTCTTGACCAGCGCACTTCCAAAGAACATCTGAAATGATTTCAGTCGATGCGCCAGCTAAAAAGCAAAAAAGCCGGTGACGAAATGGAACGAGTGGAACTCTCACACAGGCACACGCACACAGCACGCCCAGAGGCGTGCCAAGGAAGGGTTACCATAGATATTCAAAACTATAGTTTTTTATATTAAACTCTGATATAAGTGAAAAACCTTTTAAATTTTAAGTATTGAAATGATCTTGGTATATTCACCAGACTGAAATCTATTTCAATGCGAGTCTTCCATCTGATATCTAAGACATATTATTCTGGCTTGTTCTTGACCTATCTTAAATAAAACAAAAGTTAACTTAAAGGAATACAAAAATATTTAAATATTATTTATTGTTAAATATTATAAAATATTTATTAAAAAATCATATTATTTTTATTGGAGCTTCCCAAGAAATAAAACACTTGAAAACTTCCTTTTTAATATTTATGTATGTAGCCCATTGAATTAATAAATCATACACCACTGCTGGCGCACATACACAGCACGCAGGGAATGCGTGAAACATTTGAAATGAGTTTATTCATTTGTTGGATGCATGGCCGTATTCGCAGCTATAGAAATGCATTTCAATATTTTGTGAATTCAGAACATTTCATATTTATTTATAACCAGCTGGATAACTTACACTACGGGAAAATATTTTAAAATACGATTTACAGATTTTACAAAGTTGGATTTGTATACATATGTATACCCAAATAACTTGTTAGTTTTCAATGTCAACAAACTTTATCGAGAAAATAAGCAAGCGAAACGGCGTTGCAAACTGGAAATTAACTTATTTGTTCTCATTTAACAGTTTGCCTGATATTATATATGTAGTATATATTAGCCCGAAATTGCGACCAGTGTATGATAACGAAACTGTTGTTTATCTTTTGTTTACACATTCGAATTAACACGGAGGACGCAGTAGTCGAGAGAAAAACAAACAGCCCAAAAACAGGGGCAATCATAACAATTTAATAAAGAACAACAAATGCATTAGACCAACGCGTGCGACAGATTTATGGCCAAAACAAAGTTCAGTAGCTGGTCAAAATGCCCCTCCAATCTAGATATGTAGATTTCGTTGCCAGGCGGCCCTCAAAATTGTTTATAGAATTTTCGATGACAATATGTACATACATATGTATGTATGTTTTTCTAACGGTGTTTGTGGGGGAGATCAGATCAGGAGGATGCCCCATTAGTCACGTCGGGTTCTCGGTTTCTCAGCGGGTGGCAACAGATTAAAACATTCAAACTGATAGTTCTCAATTGACAATGTTGATTGACTCAGTCCAATTGAGATTATAGAATTATTTACAATATGCTATTAAAATGCGTTATGTGTCCTTCATTCGAAAGCAAAATAAATAAACAACTTGTATGGTGCTCGCATATTTTCAATAAATTTGTATGTTTATACATATGTATTTATTTACACATTCATATGTATATATGCATGTGTACAGTTCTATACATAAATAGTTATACAGTGAAACTTCTTTAGAGCAAACAATCCTAAGCTTTTTATTTACCAGCTATGTATGTATGTATGTACTTAAGCTTATAATAGCTTCTTCAGTCATCATATTTACATATGTACATAGGTATGACATGTTCTAAGGCTTGTAATAAAATAGTAAATCGGGATTCATACATACATACATACATATGTATATATGTATTAAAGTGATAAGCGCAAAAAGTTGCAATGGTGCATCAAACTTTAAGCGTGCTGTATCTATCTCTATCTGTTTATGATGGCTTGTTGTTTGTGTTTGTGGAGCGAGGAACGGTGGATGTTTGTATGGTAATGAAACGTTCAGAAAAGGGGTGGCGGAGGAGAAGGAGGAAAGCATGCCCAAACAAAACCAAAGTCATGTACACGTGCTCGGTGCATGATAATCACGCACATGCTGAGTGCCATAACCAGAGAGCGAGAGTTTGAGAGGGAGGAAAAGAGCTTGACAGCTGACGCTCTCTTTTTCGCCTTGTTTTTGTTTTCTTCTCTGTCTATCTGCATTTCTTTCTATCTCACTCCCTCTTTCGCGGAGTAAGAAAAATGGTCAAAATGGAACGCACAGATAGAAATGTACATCTTCTTTGTTATTCTTTGTTTGGCCAACACAACAACAACGCATAAATAAACCGCTATAAATACGCTTTACATTTACGCAGTTACATTTTACACATTCGCATCCTGACACCAAAAATGAATTTATTTTTTCTCTTTTTTTTGGGTTCAATCAACAGCCTCCAACTAAGCACTGAAAAAAATGATGAAGTTAAACATACTCATATTTCTTTTCTATACATTTAAAGTCGCTAATATAATTTAAAATGTATATACACTTATTTATATATGTATGTATGTACATATATATATATATATATATATATGTATTTATTTCAAAAAAAAGTATGTTCATACATACATTCATATATTAATCCTGTATAAGAATACTATTATGTATATGTATGTATATATGTATGTATACATATACATAACTAAAAGTCATACAAATATAAAAATTACGCATGATTTACAGATGTTTTTGGTAGTTCAACATTTATCGAAATATCTTAATATTTCTTAGTTTTACATATGTATGTAAATTTGCTTGACATTACAAATGCAGTCTTATCTCAAAACAAAAATGAAACGATAAAAAAAAAATTTATAAAATTTTGAAATGCTGAATAAAGGCCTTCCGTAACTATGTACACATTACATTGTATACTATCATATTAAATATGTAAATATGTACGAAAGTACATATGTGGGGAGGGACATCTGGTCGAGGACAAAAGCGAAAGTGACATAAAAATTCGATAAGTTAAATTGGCGTAAGCAATAATTAAAGACAATATGTGTTCAATTAAACGCTGCGACTCAACTCTTGGTCAATTAAAATCAGTCCCCTAAAGATAAATCCCCGATCTCCTCATCCTCATAGCTATCAACAGATCAACACATGAGCAAAATATTTACTGAATTATTTATTTGTTATTGAGGTGGCGCTGCGCTTGAATTGAAAACATTTGTTGGTCAATTCCAGTCAATTGTATTTAATGACGGAATCAATCAAGTCTAATGATGGATTGCAAATGCAAATTTAGTCAGCTTGTCGCGCCAAAAAATGTGGACCACTGTCGTCTACCCCTTTCCGGATCGGAAAATGCAACCAATTATGCATCAATGGGCCATAAAATTTAATGGCATTCGTTGCCGTGTAACCAGAATGAACTCTCTCTGTGAAAAATTTATTTTTAGTCCCTTTGTGCGAACGCGATTAATGCACAATCACAATCGAGATCTGAGTTTCCGACTTTGTTTTTCTTATTTTCCTCTTGATTTTGCAGTCCCACATATATGGTAGTAATTTACAATCCTTGATTGTGTTTTAATAGGTTCATATGTGTACAAACATATGTACATAGTAATTGAAGCGTGTTGGGGTAAATATAACTATAAATATTAAACGCCACGCCCAGATTTTAGAGGTATATACAGTTTTCTTTTTTTATAAACACGTTAATGTCCAGTCATAAATCATATTTTGCCAACCGGAACATTTCGGAAGTTTAAATATTAAATGGATACAGAAAAGATGGTCTAGTTTATATTGGTGTTATGACGCTTTTCCAAAACATTTCAACATTAAGTGTTTATGGCCAAGTCAAATCTCCAGGTGCTGATAACTTTTTGATAATTGTGAAGACACAAACAAACTCAATGATTTACAAGCCACTCGATAGAGTTCTGGATTGCCCCCACAAGAGTTGTTTACCCTTTGGGTTTCTACAGGCAGCATGGACTCAAATCCAAGGACATGAAATAGGAAACCTTTTCAAATCACTTTTCCAAGTCAATATTAGCGTGTGATTGCCCTATTTAAGCCCGAGGTCTGGAACTACGTACGAGAAAGGTGGATAATATTATGGCCGGAGGCTACTGGGCTGTCTACCCCAAAAATGAAGTTGAGTCGAAGAAAATGGCAACCTCCACGTACACCACTCCAGGATGCCAATTGCGTAATATGGATTTGTTCGCAACTCACTTACCCTTGTAAAAAAGTTAAAAGCGTAGCGTATCAAAAACACTCCCGCAGTTACTTATTAATATTTGTATCTTAAGTTTGTTGTTAACTTTAATAGTTGTTACTCAAAACGGCTGCCGCAAAACAGCACTATAACTTTTGTAAAAGGTTTGACGATGTCTGTCGCCTGTTTTTATTTAAGGAGCACCGCAGCCGCACGGCGTACAGCAGGATACGTTTGACTTTGAAGTCTCCTTTGTCGAGTGTGAAATAAAGGCAGGGTTTAAGTGTAAATACAAGATCCGCGTCTGCGCAGTTTTTGTTTTCGGGAGGAAAGTCTTTTCTTCCTAGGTGCGGAACTAGTTCGTTTCGGTAACGTGTTGGGTAGAATCTTTATAAATCCTCTTTACTGTAATAACTAATTTTTAATATATATTTTTTTTGTGAATCAGTTTTTAAATATTCGGTTTAAGTACTCGTTTTGTAACTTTTAAAAATGCGCCACAAAAAGAAAAGACATTTTACAGCACTGTTCTTAATGCAGCCAAAAGTATGCAATACTTCAAATAAAAATATTGAAATGGTCGTCTCCACTACAACTGTTCCATTACGTTAGTTGTGTTGTTAGCGATAGTTAAGATATAGAGGCAGAAAATAACATCATATCATATTTTTTCTGTTTAGCACAAATAAAACTTTTGGGAACATTTTATTACATAGAAAAATGGACATTCCAAGATATGAAAAACTTATTAGGTGGAACATTAAATTGCTTCGATTGATAAAAATTCTGTTATGCCACTAAACTTTTGAAGTGGAAACATCTTGTAGGTGACCATTGCAGTGGAAACGTCTTGTGGGGTGACCTTCCCAAATCACGACCAGCCAGAGTGACCATTCATTCTCGCCTATTTGTGTGACCGTAACGCCCGGGATAGAGTGCGAGGCTGGACAACTAGATTGTTTCCGTGACACAAATCAAACGCGCAGTAGAAATCAACAAGTGATCACCATGTCGAGCGAAGGAACCAAGACTTTCACGCGGGCCGAGGTCGCCAAGCACAACACAAACAAGGACACCTGGCTACTCATCCACAACAGCATCTACGATGTCACCGCCTTTCTGAACGAGGTGAGAATTGCTTGGAACACGTCGGAGTAAACTGCCCCCGCCCCTTAATGGGGTCATCGGGTGTTATTAGGCGTTATCTGGGTTCCATTTGTTCCGATGATCTAATGGCGTCGATAGAGCCGAACCCCTACCAAGCCCACGTAGACACATGTTCCACCTTAACCTGCGTGTTAAAATTCCAGTTCTGTAACTAGATCTGTACTTTGACCCTCGGGCATCGGTTGACCTACGTCCGGATTTCGTATATCCGCAGCGACGTCGAAATTTCCAGCAGCCACTTTCGCCTGACGAAACTTTAAACTTGTGAAAGAGAGCTCCACATGGCGAAACTATCCATTTGCATACATATGAGTGTACGACGGGGGTCAAGTGTTAAGCGAAATCCGCGTCTGCATTTGCATCTCATTTGATTTATGGACTTGGTTTTGAATTCGGATTCTTATGCAAGTGCACCAATTGCCGGCTCCGAAAAATGGCTCACCCTGACGCAGCAATCGGGTCTTCATTATATACATATGCTATCTGTGGGATCGACTACTACTCTTATAAGATAAGCTCCCTGAAAATTCCATTCTAACGATGACGTTGCACTTTTGTGTACCTCAAAGTAACTATAGTGAGGGTGACCAAGCGGCTCGTTTATAATTCCATTCCAAAGTTTGAGTCCCCTATAGCTAAAAGTCATGCAGTCCATGCTTTAAACATGAACCTAATCTGATCTGCTTCGTCCTCTGAATTTTTAACAATATGTATATTGCTATCTCGCATATCAGGCATTTCTGAACGTCGACTTTCATTGACAGACAAATAGTAAATTAGACTTTCAGATTGAAGGCCCTCTGAATCTCCTTTAGATAAACCTTACATTCGACTCAATGTCACTGGGTAAAGGTAAAACTGTGTCTTCGTTATCTATCCATCCAACGGCAAAAGTGTTATCATTTCTTAAGATATTAGGTACAATTGAACATGAATAGGAAATATTTCTGATTATGGTGAAAATATGCATTTAGGCTTATCAATGTGGGCGTTATCAAAGAAGAAACAACTGATTTCTAAATTTAAACTCTAGATATGCCATTATAAAAATAGGAAATCGTTCACGAAATGGTGAAAATAAAAATTATTCGTTTGTTCTATGGAAAATAGATTTTAAAGGGTTTTTTTTAGATAACCAAGAGGTCGAAGAAATCGGCTATAGACATAAACTTTATCTGCAATTAATTAGTACGTTCGAATTAGTGGCGGAAATTCGTTTGACTTATCGTTAGTCGTAATTAAGAGCTCTAATGAAGCTGTAACAACTTGTTTGCCTTTAACAATAATTACATCGCTCTTGAATTAGGTCTGCTTGATATGAATTTAAGCTTTAGTACAAAGTATAATCAAAATTATAGCTGCCAAAATGTAATGCCTTGACCTAATCAACTAAAATGTTTTTAATGAACACGATTAGCAATTCCATAAATGGAGTTTGTGGTTTTAATTGAAACCTTGAGCTATACGCAGAAAAAATTCTTACTCATTTAATAAAATTCTGATATACAAACGTGACGGAAATGTAGAGTGTGATTACCATATGGCTTCCGTATAAACGGATATTATAAAAGAATATTCCAGACTTCGCACCTTGAAACGATCCCAGTTGCTTACTGATATATTAAATTCAGGGTCAGACATGCATTAGCATTTCTTCAAATCCAACCATCAGTTATTTATGCGAATATTTATCTTCCTCTTTTTTGCTTCTACACAGCATCCCGGTGGCGAAGAGGTGCTCATCGAGCAGGCCGGCAAGGATGCCACAGAGAATTTCGAGGACGTTGGCCACAGCAATGATGCCCGCGACATGATGAAGAAGTACAAAATCGGCGAGTTGGTTGAGAGCGAGAGGACCAGCGTGGCTCAAAAGTCGGAGCCCACCTGGAGCACGGACCAGCAGACCGAGGAGAGCTCCGTGAAGTCGTGGCTGGTGCCCCTTGTGCTGTGCCTAGTAGCCACGCTTTTCTACAAGTTTTTCTTTGGCGGTGCCAAGCAGTAGTATACCCATAATGCCCAGTAGAGACTTTTTAAACCGCTCCGGAGTCACTTAGTTAATCTACGGAAGCTCAAAAGTCACAAGTGGAGCAGGACAGTGGAGCGGAAGCGATTTTTATAGTAAATTTGTGCTAAGTTTTAATGTTAATTTTGGCATTTGGCATTTTTGTACACTCCTCTACACATGTAATTCCTTCAGACGGCGGGTCTAGACTCTAAAGTTATGTTTCCCATTGATATTCCAACATTTGAGGCACGAAACGAAAACAGAACGTTTTAATTCACATGTATGTACATTAAACATATTTCCAAAACAAAAGAAACCTGTCAAAATCTTTGTTATTCCGTCAGTTTGTTTCGTTGGCATTAATATTGTCTCCCCTAATAGATAAGGTCAAAATTTGTGTGTATCACAGGGGGTAACACCATGGCCAAGATCCTTCAAATGGCGGTTATGTTGGGCAGCTCCAAGCTGGGCCACGGCGCCTTCGGATTCGATGAGAGGCAGTCGGACTCTACGCCAGTGCCACAAATGAAGCGAGAGCTGCCAACCCGAAAGATGTGCTTGGAGGCATTTAAGCGCACCCAGTACGACATCCTTATAATTGGAGGCGGTGCCGTGGGTTCTGGTTGTGCGTTGGATGCCGCCACGCGGGGTTTGAAGACGGCTCTGGTAGAGGCAAATGACTTTGGGAGCGGCACCTCATCAAAGTCGAGCAAGTTGCTGCACGGCGGCCTCAGGGATTTGGAGCAAGCCATCTCACGCCTGGACGTAGCGGCGTTTCGAAGAGTTCGGTGTTCCTTGAGGGAGCGCAGTCACATTGGCAATCTGGCGCCCCATCTTAGCCAGCCGGTTCCCATCTTATTGCCTGTCCACCACTGGTGGGAGGCTCCCCTGTACTACCTGAAGTTAACGATTTATCACCTGATGGCCCCACAAGGCACAAAGAGCTTCCAATACTTAAGTGCTGATGAAGCGTTAGAAGTGTTCCCCATGCTGCGGCGTCCGGAGCTTTTTGGTGCTTTTGTTTTTTACGAGGGCCAGCACGACGACGCCAGGATGTGCCTTTCGGTAGCCCTCACAGCGGCTCGTTACGGAGCGGATATCTGCAACCACATGAAGGTCTTGAGGTTAATCAAGAACAAGGACGGCAATGTAGGGGGCGCAGAAGCGGTGGACCAGCTGACGGGCAAAAAGTATAGCATCCGGGCTAAGGTTGTAGTCAATGCCACGGGACATATGAGCGACAACCTCCGACAGATGGAAGATTCGGAGGCCAAACCGCTCTGCACGCGCAGCTGGTCCTCGATCATGGTTATGCCTCGCTTCTACTGCCCAGAGGAAGTAGGCGTTTTCGACCCGCACACGCCTAACGGGCGTTCTATCTTCTTTCTGCCGTGGCAGGGACACACTCTGGTCGGATCCAGCGATGAGCCTAGCAATCTGCCAGATCAAGACTTGCAGCCCACGGAGACGGATGTCGAGTATCTCTTAGATGACGTAAAGCACTTTGTGTCGCCCAATTTCGATGTCCGAAGGTGCGATGTGCTGGCAGTTTGGGGTGGCTTTAAGCCCCTGCCCGTGCAGACCGACTCTCTGCATCATACCCTGCTCAAGAACCATGTAATCCAACTGGGACCAAGAAACATGATTTCGATTGTGGGCGGCACCTGGTCGTCATTTCGGGCACTGGCCGAGAAAACTGTAAATGCAGCAATTCGATGTGGGGATCTGTCACCCCTGCGAAAAGAGTCGGTGACTGCAGAGTCCTGTAAACTGGACGGAGCCAGTGGCTGGAGTCCGAAGATGTTCATTAGGCTGGTCCAAGACTTTGGCATGGAACGGGATGTGGCCGAGCATCTGTCGAACACCTACGGATCGAATGCTTTCAAGGTGGCAGTCAATGCGGATAGCAGTGGTATGGCCTGGCCGATTGTTGGCAAGCGACTGCACTCGGAGTTCCCGTACATCGAGGCGGAGGTGAAGCAAGGCGTTCGCGACTTTGCCTGTACACTGGAAGATATGGTGGCTCGACGGCTGCGGGTAGCCTTCCTCAATGTACAGGTGGCCGAGGAGATACTGCCGCAGGTGGCCAACATTATGGCAAAGGAGCTGAATTGGACTCGGGAGCAAACAAAAAAGCAGATCCGCAACACTCGCGCTTTTCTCAACACCCAGATGGGCCAGTTGACCAAGGAGAACGCCTCGCAGAAGAACATTCCCATTAAGATGTCAGTGGGCCAGGTGCGCAAGTTTGCCGGGCATTTCAGGCAACTGGATGGAAACAAAACTGGTTATGTGTCCATTGCTGATTGCTGCAAGGCCATGAAAACTATGGGTGTGAAGGAGGTGCCAGTCGATTTGATGCACAACGTCCTGCGCGATATCGATGTTCATGCCCAGGGTAAGGTGAACCTGTACGAGTTCCTGCTGCTCATGTCGGCTATTGTGCAGGGAGACACCGAGTACCTGCGCTACGCCCGCTTATACTTGGACCATAAGAAACAGATGCGGGAAAGCGACCATCATATTGTAATGCAAATGGAGCGAGCCGGTGGCGGCCTTTAAAGTGTATCTCTTATTGTAATCATCTCCTATTTTGAAATACAAAATCCGTTAACCGTCCTCACATTACACGTAGAATCAGGGATCGTTTTTTTAACGAAAATTTATTTCACGCACTTCGAACAAAGTAATGGAAAGGAAACTTACAACGGTTGGATAGGGTTGGACGGGCTAACCTACTCCTTGGGTTTTTCCTTCGGTTCGTAAGGCTTCATAAGGTTCTCGGAGAAGGAACGAATGCTAGCTGGACCGCGTACCTCCTTCTCGAGCAACGGCAACTTAGTCACGTGGAAGTCTTCATAAAGGTCAGCAATCTGATCCAGGTACTTCTCCTGAATCTTGAAGCGGGAGGCGCACATGCTACAGGAGTCGTGCGAGTTTTGCAGGAAAAGCAACTGATTCACTATGATGTTGTGTACGTCAATGCCGCACTTCGTTAGCTCTTGAACTAGGCGTTCTGTCTCATACAGTGAGAAAAATTCAGCTATGCAGACGCAGACGAAAGTGGTTTGATCCTGTCAAAAACGAATCCCTCATAAGAAAAGAATGAGGTTAAAAGATATAACTTACTGGATTCTTAAACTGTTCGTTGACCTGGGTGATAATACGCAGCATGTCGTCGAGTTTCTGGGAAAGCGTGTCTGCGTTCACATCGGCCATGCCCAGCATGGAGGCGAACTGTGTAAGCAGCGGCGCAACCTTCATCTTAAGCCGCAGCAGTTTTCCCAATCCCTTCTCCACTACTTGGGGGAATGCAATCAGTCGCAGAGTGTGTCCCGTGGGCGCCGTATCAAACACCACCACAGAAAAGTTCATGCCCTTGACCAGCTTCATTACCTCCGCGTAACTCATTGCCTCATCAATGCCGGGCAGGGAATTGATCATCTCCTGCATGACGCCCTTGCTTACGCGTAGCGCCTCGTTGTCTCCCTCGAAATATTCGTCGGGTAGCTCGTTAAGTCCAGCATTTGGATCGATTTCCATGGCGAACAGGTTGTCGAACCCATTTACCTGTGGACACAACGAGAATAAAGATCAAAAGCTTTTCCAAGAAGAGTATATATAGTTTTCGAAACCTAACACATATCTAGTATCGAACATTTGGTAATTTTCTTAATCTGCTCAAAATACCAAAGCAATGACCTCAGAATTTAGAGTTCCTTGATTATAGCACCTACCTTTGTGGGCACCTTGGTGAACTTTTGGTCGAATGCATCCGATATGTTGTGCGCCGGATCTGTGGATATAATCAGCACTGATTCACGCACTTTCGACAGCTGAACGGCAAGGCTGGAGCTAAAAAATACATCATTTGTGCCTTGAAGAATTCGTTTGGCCAAAAAAGCTTTATTGTTGTTGTTTTACCTGCAGGTTGTCTTGCCCACACCGCCTTTGCCGCCTACGAAGATCCATTTCAGCGAGTCCTGATCGACGAGATTCTGCAAACTGGGCTCCAGTGGCTCTAAATTGTCGACCATAATACCAACTTAAACGAGACACGTAGGAATTTAAGTGAAATTAATTGCAATGAATATAAGTTATGGGGAGCAGTGTGGCTGTTTCGCTGCGAATATGCTGGAATAGCGGCAAAGCTGTCATCGAAATACAAATCGATATAAGCAAAAAGCAGCTGATCACGGGGAGCACAACCAGGGATGGGCTTTCAGCTTTGGCGCCAAACAAGAATTTCAATTAGTTTTTTTGCGAATGCTCAGTTTAAGAAGTTCAAAACTTGTTCAAAATGCGTTGATTTTCCTAAAATTGGAATAAATTTTAAACATAAATTCAACTAATAGCAACGATCACAACATTGTGAATGCCGCTGCGTAAATTTCTCAAGCTCTGCCTCTTTTATCGTGCCTATTAAATGCACAAAGCGCTCGGAGCTCAAGAAATTCACAATAAGTGCCGCGGATGCTAGTCCCGTCGCCTCGTTTCCCGCGTCATCGCAACCGTCAACTGTTAATTGTACAAATCGCGAGCTTATCAAAACCCTAGAGTCGGCGAGGAAATGCGAGCAACAAAAGAACGCGAAATCATATAGCTATGAGCTACTAAAAATAGTTGCAAAAACACCTCGTCCGTTGGGTCTGCGTTAAAAGCGGTGCAGTAAGAAATATTTTGATTTCCAGTATCTGTGTACCATTAAGTTTGGCACCCCAAAGGCCCCACCGATTTCCGTCCATTACGAAAGTTTCTCGCCTACTAAACTCGGCGTAAAAGATAGTTCTTTTATTATCGCGAAGTACGGAAGCTGTGACATACTGTGCACTATACAGTAATACATGTGTGAAGTGCAGATATGAGTGAAATCGCTGTAAGTTAATCCAAGTTTTTAAAAAATTAGAATTTTTCATCTGAGATCTCTTTAGTCATTATGGCTCTCTTTGCAATTTTTGAGTCAGGGGTGTTAAAAATTTTTTATTACGTTTACGTTAACTTTTTTTTTAATAAATCGCTGTAAGATTTAAATTTATTGGGATATATATATTATATATGTACATATCCAACTCTTATATATAGTTTTTTAAAGCTGAACAGTTGTTGTGCAATACAACTTGGTGGGCATATTATTATTGTATATCTTCCTTAAAACTGAAAATTGTGGAAAATCACAGAAAAGTTGTCCTTTTTTTTATATAACAAATAGCTTTTAGGAAGCTAACCTTACTTATTATAATCCGATTATTACTACACCTCTAATGAAAACAACTGATAATAGTTAATCTGTAAAGGTATCAGTAAAAATTCCTTAAGATTGACTAAGTCTTTTTTCTATATCTTACGCATTAGTGAAAAGTTTTTTCTAAGGGTAATTGGTTATTAAAAAATATATGATAAAGTGAATGTTTTTTCCGAATTTTAATACGAATTACTAAAATCTAATTTTTTTCGAATATAACACATAAGCTACGCTAAACGTATTACTAAAATCTAATTTTTCCGCCGAAAGTAGTATTATACAATAATATTACAGATTACGATGGGTACTGATCACCTAATTAGAATTTGTAGAACTTTAATAATATTGAGGTTGTGTATATTCAGTATATAAATATATATTGAATGCGAAATGTTTTATCAAAAGTCGCACACTAAATTATTTCTTTCACCTGCAAAAGCTGCTTAATTAATAACTCATCAATAAATGGTAAAATGATAAACGCTTGACAATCCAATTTGTAGATATTAAATAGTCTTATCGTCAAGTTTAAAATAAATATAACAACCAAAAATACTTTTTTGCTTGTGGTCAGGGAGTAGCTTATTGAAAACGCATTCATGGTCGTAAAAAATACAACCAAAGAACTGTAATGTAAATAGCATGGAAAAACCGGCGTTTGTTTTTTGCCACATATGTATGTATGTAAATCCGTTTATTTGACTAAAAACGTTTCAATCATGTTGGCAGTGCGTTTAAAAATAAAGTGATAAAGTTGGCTGGATGATTTATGTATTTGCCCATCGCTGGGCTTTTGAGATCCGCTTTTTGTGAGAGTCTGTGCGTGCGTGTGTTTGTTGGTCCATGAAATATGGGCGCATTAAATTTTATTATATTGTTTGGCCCATTCTCGGCTTTGGTCCAAAGCACACATACATACTCGCACAGGCACAAACCTAAGGACAGCAAACAAGCGGAAAGTTCAAAGTCAAACAATAACACTTTCCATAAACAAAAAACCCAACTCACATACACGCAAGCACAGCCAATTTGCTTGAAATCAGCGATGGCAACGTTTCAGTTACCGTTACCTGAGCTCCCACCCAACGCCTTTTCCCGTTATTTCCCATATGAAACTTTCAACGAGAAACTTTGACCTGCGAATGGGAGAGAGTAAGGTTTATGCCGGGGATATCCTGAATTTTATATAGATGAAATTCAATTTAAAAACGTTGTATGTGGGATATGGACACACTAAACAGGTTTATACTTGAAATACTGTTGAATAAACAAACTAAACTAGCTTTGAAAAAAAATCGTTAATTTTTAAAAACATACATAAAATCAATTATCGTTTCCAAGATAATAATATATATAAATTATATAAAATATATTTTTTAAATTGTAAATTTAAAAATGCTTGCCTTTAATTTCACAATTAAAAAAAAAATCGAATTCACGCATAAACGCAGTATGTGTGTTTTTTGACTGCGGACAAAAGCAAACAAACAAAAGGGCACTCGCGCCTTGCGTTTAATAAATGTTCCTGTCTGCGTTTTGTTTTAGGGGCAATTCGCCCACATTTCACCTGGCCGGGCTTAGCTTTTTTATTCGTCGTCCTTCGAGTCCTTCGAGTGCGCACTTTATCAAAGCTTAGCACCTGACAATTTGCCGCGCGACATGCGGCCATCTGCCCTCTTTGTCTGGCAAGTTGTAATGAAAAAGGACTTTGTCTCTGCACTGCTTACAATTGTTGTTGCCGCCGGCAATTTCCACTTTCTGCAGCTCGCTGCCTTTGAGCAACTAATTAAATTAAATCCGATTAGTGTGGCGTGGAAAGTGGAAAGTTTTAGAGTCCTTATGGCATTTCTCGCTGCCGTCGGCAACTTGCTGCACTCTCAATATGCCAGACCTTCAAAGTGGGCGAGGCATGGGGCCAACTGGAACCTTGAAATTGTCTACAGATTCTCAACAAAAGAAGCATTATAAAACCAAAATTTTAATTAATAATGCCATCAAGCTTTCAGCTTCACATGCAGTTTTCAGAAAGACAGGAATTTATACCCAAAAGGTATATTGCTCTGGGATTTTGAGAGATTAGGATGATAGAGAAACAAGGTGTTTTATGTTGTGGCTTTGAGAGGAACTCCTCATTTATAACTTTCTATTGGCTTTCCTAAGATTTTGGGATAGTAATCACTTGCTGTTTAATATCTTAGAGAAAAACACATTTCATATAAAAGATAAATATATTTGATTTGCATTAATATCTCTCTTAAAAGACATTTAAATTAAATGAAATTTGTTTATTGCAATTTTATTTAATGACATGTTAGTTTCGGTTAGTTGAGTTCTAGTCAACAGGGGAGTGTTGTATCCACATACAACTGTCTTTAAGGGGTGGGAACTATTAATACAACAAAGTGTGGTTGTTTACATGGGGACCCAAGGCATCTAGTTCCTAAAAATGTGATTAGCCATCTGGGGTTTTCCAAGCGGTCAAACTGTTTGATTAGATTCAACCTTAATGGCCAGCCTGCGATGAAAGCTTTCATTAAACAACAGCATTGGGGCACTCCCGTTTCAAGTGCCACTAGAGGGGATTTTCCGTGGAAAAGGCGCTTATTAACGCCACGCCGAGCTGCCACTCAGGCGGTGGGTGGTGGTAATGGTGGCATTGGTGGCATGCAACAGGCAGCCCTGCCAACGGAGTTTTCCGAGCTCCGCTGTCAGCGCGTCACTCAGTTTTCCCTCGCAGAAATCCCGCTGACTCACAGCTCGCATTTCTGCATAAATTTCCACCGAAAGCGACACTACATTGCGGAATTTCGATTAGCGGCTGCCCTGTGCTGTCGCTTCTGGCCGTGACTTTGAATTGGGCTTAAACCGTCGAGCAGTGCACTACGAGGACCTCGGCGCTCCAGTTGCATCAGATTGGCAAGGATTCCGAGGTAAGTCAGTTGTGACTAGGGCACGAGTTGATAAATTGAACGCCAGTTAGTAGAGGAGAAAGTGCTGGTATAATGATGAAGATTGATCTGCTGCTGGCGGTAATTAGTCTTTTATCTGAAAAAAGTTGGATATCTTTAGTGGCAAAAAATTTTGTTCACTTCTATGAATTTCCGGTGGTTTAATTTATAATTGATTCTCTTACATTTTTAAAACATTTACATAAAATTAACAAGTAAAGAAACTAAGATAATTTAAAAATGTGATTAAATGTTAAAACTTTTTTATATATACTTTGATTAAAGTTCTAACTCTAAGCTCAAATTTGTAGTAAAATAACTAATACAGCAACGAAGTTCGAATTTTGAATACTGAATGACCACTGTACCTTATCGCTCAAAAAGGATGCCCGCACACACATTGGCTCATGCATTTATCTCCTTTTAAGGGCGAACATTTCAATTGCACCTGTTAACCGTTGGCTAAATTTATGACTTCCTCACTTGTTGTTGCCGCGTTGTGCTTTTGTTTTTGCTGGAAAAGGGGTCGATTAGGAGAGAAAGAGAGGGTTAAGCTCTTTAAATTAAATCAACAGAACATACACATTTAAATGCAAACACAAATATACACCACACACAAATGTCAGGAAGCAGCAAGGAATTTTAATTCGCACACAAAGCGCATTATGCAAGCGAAGGGGTACCTTTCCTGAGGCGGGCGGGTTGTACTTCTTACCCCCTAACCTCACTCACCTTGACGATGGGGTGGTGGTTGACATGTCCTGAGGGGAGGTGTGTCAGCCAGCTGTCAGCCGGCAAACGGCTTTCACTTTCCTTCCATTGCCATCAGATGTGTGGTGAGTTTGGTTCCCTTGCTTTCTCTTTGCGTTGGTCTCTCGCTGCCTTAAGAGAGTAACAGGTATTTTAAAAACTTTGTTCATGCTATGACTTTTTAGATAACGCTAAAGTGATCATTAAAAATCTCAGTAATTATATAGCGAAACTTTAACTCGAAATCTAGTGATTGTTTTTTTTTTGATATATTGCTGAATTGCAGTGTTGAACATTTCATTTTAAAATACTTAAACAATTGTTTATAAATAATAAAACGTTCTACGAATTTTACCGATCTGTTACTTAAGTAAGATATACAATAAACAATCAATCACAAGGCACTACATTTTCCAAAATAATTAGGACACAACTTTAAAAAGATTTCAACACTTCCTAGTATTAACTTTGATATTTAATGCACCTTTTAAAAAGTATAAAAGGTAAAAAATCGTTACAAATCGTAAAATAAAATTTGTATCCTTGGAACTTGATAGAAATGATAATAGTTATTAATAATTAAAATAAAGTTAAGAAAATGATTGAAAAATATATGGCAGAGCTTCCTTTGATAGTTAGTTAGCTTTACGTGAAACTTAACCCTTAGGTTGGCAACTTAACATGTTTCAAATGCTAATCTATGCTTCAAAGTATTTAACCAGGAGATAAAGCTTTAACTCTCAACTGTAATTAAAAGCCACAAGCTTTTTGTATAAGCCACTTAACTGTTGTAAAAACTTTGGTTGCCTTGGAAATTAAGCTAAAGGCTCAGCTTGAAAGACTCTCTTTTCGCCGTCGAACTCACCACTTTCAAAGAGAGAAGGTGACCGTTAGTGAAAGAGAGAGAGAGCCTGAATAAGTCTAAGTCTGTGAAAATTGTAATTGAAATTCCAGCGTCGCCGATTCGGCGCCTGCAGTGCGTAGGCGGTTGTCGTTGACTGACGTCGTGGCCAACAGCACGTGCTAACCGAGGTGGCGCGTGCAGCAAAAAACACCAGCAGCAGTACCAGCTGTGGTGGCCAGCAACAACAAAAACAACAACAGAGCAGCCATTGCAAAAACAACACATACAATACACACACACACACAGCTATACTATCGCAACAACAAAGGCTTTGGGCTAGGCAAAGAGAAGAAGGAGGAAAGAAGTGGTGGGGAAGGAGAGTGCGAGGAGTGAATCTAATTTGAGTGAAATTTAAACGAACGGAGAAGAGGAAGCAGCAAAACAATACATCAATGCAGGCTAACTGTTTAAGTGTGTGAAAGAGTGCAAGAGCAAGAAAGGCGGACCCGAGTGATTGAGTGTGAGAATGCGACAATAAATTAGCTGTAATTTGCACCTTGTTATTTGCACCTGAATCGAAAGTGGTTTATACATTGTATATTTTTGTTATAATAATAATAAGAATAATAATAATACCCGAGTGGAGACCAGACCAACCAGCAAGTAATCAAAGTTAATTTACCAACACATGAAAAGTAAACGTAAATTCTATTTACGCAAATAACACTCAACAAGGGGGCAAACAAGAAAAAGAAGAGCAGGCGGATAAGTAGGCAACAGAAGAATTAGAAGAAGCAGCAGCCGCAAAAAGCAGCGCAAACAGGATACTTAAAATATCAAGGCAAATACACACAATCACACACACATACACACACCTATACCCAGAGGAGGTTCATATTTTTGGCCAACAAAGAAGAAAAAACCACCGCACGAAATAAATATAAAATAAACCCAACAACGCTGAGGTGTATGGCCCAAAGGCAAGGCAAACAAACAGGGACGAAAAAAGAAGGAAAAGTGAAACAGAAACAGAAAGATGCCAAAATGCTGGACAGAGATTGATGCTGGCTGCCGACGAACAGCCTCTACAACAACAACAGTAAACAACAACTTCAATACAATAATAAGGCCAAGAAAAGCGACAAACAACAACAACAAAGACAACGACATCAGCAGTGACAACCGCCAAATGTGAACAGACAAGCGACAGCAATTGATATATGTAAGTAACACACATGTCCATATATACAGTCAAGCTCCCTTTATCGTAACAAACTTTCTTCGAGTTACAAATTGCTTTTAAATTCAAACTTTAAAATACCAAAAGTCTTAAAAAAAGTAAGGATAAGCCATTTTACACTTAAATTTGTTGGGCAAAAAGTGCGTGTTTTTCCGTTTTGTTTTTACTGAGAGGAAAAAAATGATTTTCATTTTTTCTATAGCTTACTGTTATTGTTTAGCTACTAATACTGGGTGGTGCGTATTTTCATACATACTAAAGAACATTTTTTTTTTATGTTTAGATAGATTAGATATGGAAAAATTTAACTAAAAGTCATTTGCTATCAGATAATTTGATATCAACATAATTTGTATTAATGCTAGGGACAACACATACAATGTTAATAAGGTTAAGGTGTTCAGAAAACCCAAATTAACGATTTCGACTTGTAGAGTTTGATTTATAGAAGCCCTTCTGTACGCTTACTGGGAATCCAGTTTTGGGCCAAAAGCTTTATGCATATTTTTACAGCATTTAAGTGTGAAATGATGTGTTAGCGCATTATTTGACTTAGGCACGAAAAATGCTAAGCTTCCCAGAAAGAGAAAAGAGAGAGAGAGAGAGAGAGAGCGCGAGGGAGAGGGAGAAACGGAGAGCAAGAGACAGCGGAAGACAAAGAGAAAAAAGGACGAAGAGTGAGATGAGAGAATGAATTTGTTGAACCTTAGGCCCAGGCAGAGTTGAAGTGGAAAACAAACAGGGCAACAAGGCACAAGATACACACACTGGCACACTGGCATACCTATAGGTATATGTATGTATATGTACGCACACACACAGCCTACAAGGAATCACACTTAAATGCCACGTTGTTCGCTACCCAAGTTGTATCAACTTGTGCTATCCCAAGAACCTCGGCCAGTCGCGCAGCATTCGAACTCAATTTGGAAGGACCAAATACCAACACACTCACACACCGCACACAGGACAAAAATCGATGGGGCCAAAAAGAATAACGAAAGGCGGCCAGAAGCAAATACAACAATTTCCCTATTTGGTCCTTGGCTAGTCTTAACACATCAGGTTTTCTTTTATTTGCCACAAATATGAATTTTTCTATACGGCATCTCGATTGGGTGCCCTGAAAACTAGGCAACGCTTTCCGCAGTCCTCGAATCAACAATTCCCCATAAAGTCCGCTTTGCGCTAATGAGAAATCAATTAGCATCGTCTGGACCTCAAACACAAAAAACGAAACGAGCCGAACCCGACCAGACAGTCCATTTTTGGGTTCAGGGAACGCGGCAAATTGCGTTTAAATGAACTAAACGATATTTTCAAATAACAATAAAAAAAGTGGGAATAAGTTGTGTTTTATTTAACTTTAACAACTATATTCAATGTTAACAAAACTTGTCCATTTTCAAGAAAACTTTCAGTAATGCTCAAATACTAAGGAATACTCATACTTTTTATATAAAAGTCATACAATATTTCGATATAATTTATATATGAAACATTCCTTTAATAAATTAAATTGTTCAATTAATGCTCCCTGTAAGTCCTTGAGAATCTTTTGAACAATTTAGACCCCAATCAATATGCAAATATTTAGTCTTCGACCTATGCGAAGGTAAATTACTCAGGAATTTACAAACAAAGACATTATCCTGGCAGCCAGGCTTGCCTTGGACAAAAAGAGCGGACAGAGCTATCTCTTCGATCTAATGGAAAAGATAAATTGCTGGCTTCGACTGCTTTGATATGATTTTAATGAATCGGAATCCGAGGCAACAGTCTGGGCGAATTAAATCTAAAATGGGCGGTGGGCGGCCATATAATTAAATGCCTGTGAACTGCGCATTGTGCTCCAGACAACCGACATCTCTTTATATCAGCTGCAGCAGCTCTATGTCTGTGTGCTATGCCTCGTGTGTGTCCTTGAAAAGTGAACTCAGTCAGCACCCAGCCACCCCCTTTTTAAGGTTTCACTTGAATGTCAACTGATTGCTATTGCAATTGCAAAGGCGATGGCGATGGCGATGCCACGATGCCCAAGCTTTAAGTCACAAAAGCGGTAATGGTGCAAGTTGGTACTTATTACTCTATACTACACTGAATATATGAAGCCTGTTTGCTGGTGAAACGCTCATAAATTACAGCCCACAAGCGGGTGTCGAAGTACGAAAATCAATTTCCGTTGAAACCGTTGACAATGCAGACAGTCGGACAACAAACCGGTTAGCTGGAATCGAAAGGAGGCGGAGGTTCAGGATTGCGAATTGCTTTTCACTGTTTCACTCCACTCTTCGTCCTGTCCGCTAATAACTTTCGACTGCATATGACCGCAGCTGTGCGGCTGCTCCTCTGTACGATTGCTCTGCTGCTCAACTGTCTGCCGTTAACGGTTCGACGCACACGATATACTGGGTTCTACGAAACTGGGTCCGACTCCTACAACCCTCTTCTCCATGCACTGAACCCAAAAACTATATATTCTTGTTTAAAAAATTTATCAAAACATCATAAAAACATTTTAATAATCTTATAAATATTGAAACTTGTTTTCTAATCAACATTATAAAGAATACCGTTCATCATTTGTTAACATCATTTGGCTACAGTCAAAGAGCATAAAATTAATATTAAAGTTGTATAAAATAAAAATAAGCTATCTATGTATTTTTCTGAATGCCTAGAAGCAACCCAAACCTTGGTTTGACTTCCGCTTGCGTGGTTCCATCTATTTGCACACACATTGCCAGAGCCACTGGCTGACAGACAGGCAGCCATCAGTGCTCGGCCAGGCATCATAAGCCGCACCACATCGCATGGTGCCACATCAGCTAGCATCCACCTCCCGCCCAGGCACAAACCATCCAGGACATCGCGGACAGCGCCACGTGCGCCCATTGGGATGTCAGAAACAAAGCGCCAACACTGCCGCATTGACTAATGAAAGTGGGGCTGGCGACCCAGCACCAGACCAGACTTGGGCAAACAGAAACCGTAGACGGGAATGGGGGACCAGCCCATCCTTGATCGGAACGTAAATTGACAAAGAGGACAATGGCGTTGACGATGACAGTAAATCCTGTTCGTACAATGTATCCGTACACAAATACTCGCTCAGTGAATTGAGCGAACGCATCCAGTAAATTGCTCAATGCTCGCCATTGTTATCGCCTGTGGGCCGGTTGTGGCAGTTGCAATCCTGATTGACTGACTAACTGAGTGACACACTAACTGACAATCTAACTGACAGAATGTGTATATACACCGCAAAAAAATATCTCTTCCTCTCTATGAATTTAAACATAAGACGTGCTGCCTTTATATAGCATTGAACATCAAAAAGTTTTCAAAAGCGGGTAACATTTTTAAAGATGTATTACAAATTAGTGAATCACCTTGATTTCAACATAGTTTCCTTGTCTTGTTGACATTTTTGTCGGTGTTCAACATCCAAGCTATGCATTTGTGACTAAACTTTTCCAAACTTTTCCCATCTAGTGCATAATGCTACTAGAAACTTCTTTGATAGTCTAATTTTATGTAACTTTAGCATGAAAAGTAAAAGTAATTCGTAATGGACTTTAATATATGTATGTATATATATATATGAATATTTATAAACTGTCTTAATATTAGCTCCATGTGGAAACTGTAGTTAAATGCTGGCTTACTAGCTACTTGATGGGTTGTTGTGCCTCAAACTTTTGCTAACATTACTATTTAGACTGTGTAAACGTATTTAAATAAGAATAGCTATGGTTTTCAGTCTCTTTCTATTACTCAGTTTTCAAGGAATAATAGCCATTCTGAACCAAGCTGAGTAGTTTATAAATGAAAATTTGAGTTAAGCTATCAATCTAAAGATCAAACTCAGCACTCATTTTCACTAGAAGTACTCTGATTTTATAATGGTGTGTAGACAGCTGGTGTTACTTTTCCAAAGCTTAATCAGGCTGTGAAGTATCTTCCCATGTATTACAATTCTTGGAATTTGCTTGTGTAAGCAAGTCTCTGTCACTTGAATCAGTTAGTTGAGCTTGGCGAGCTTAGAATGAGAGACTAAGCCTGAAGAGCACTATCCAAACAGGGAAGCTGAGTGGCAGGCAAACAATAGTTTACCAGTGCCCGGTTTCACAGATAAAATTATAAGGAGGTTTTGCTTCCCTATTACCGATTTACTAGAATGTTCGTATCATAAGTCATCTTTCTCTGGAATATCACGTTACATTTTATCTCACTGAGAAGCAAAAAGGAATGTTTTAGCTTGTCAGTTTTTTTTAGGATTTTAGTTCGAATTTATCTGAGAACTGGCACTCTAGTGATTTATCTTAGATAGAACTTCAATTCATAGCAGTTTGATCTAAAGACTAGAGCACATAAGAACCTTAAACTAACATTGTGAAATTAACCATTTAATAGTTTAGTGTTTGTAAATTATAAAGGGAAAACTGTTTTTTTTAACAAAAAGTTATTATCTAGTTAAGATATAAATTTGGAATATTTTTTACAAAATGGCAAAGTCAAGGTTACTCAAGATTTGTTTTCTGTGTTGGATGCATCTCATGTGGCCGATCGACTGGCGGCGGAAATGAGACGCAATGAAATGGATGCCAAGAGATTGGACTGTGGTTCCTTGCTGGCAGTGCCGATAAGGCGGTAATAGTAAACAGACACCCATCGACGATGATTGTCAGTAAACTCAACGGAACGCCCTTTGAATGTGAGATGGAAATGGAAATCGAATCGGGCGTGGAGCGGAAGTTGGCAACATTGGAGCCCCTCCTTCAGTTTAAACTTTTGAAGCTGTGTGGGGCTTCTCCAGCTCCGCCTTTCCTTCCCTCCTCAGCCTTTCAGCCATTCCATTTCTTTAAAGCCATTCGCAGCACGCGCTGGCTAACACACACGCACTCACGGCACACAATCGCATTATGGCGCACACCATCGCATTGCTGATTGCACAATTACCAACAATGGCACTCTTGTTCTCCGTGTTTGTATGTGCTATATGTGTGTGTGTGTATGTATGGGTCTCTAATATTTTGTTTGTTAATTGTATGGGCGTGCCTGATGCCACGCCCACCTCCCTAGTGCCTTGCCTCTTTTTTGTTGCCGTCTGAGGAGCAACAATTCTGCACCCAACTCCCATAAATGTGTTACATAAGCCCAGTGGAAAATTCCGAGAAGGTCGGGTCTACATGCAGGGAAGTTAACGCATGTCAGGTCGACAGATAATCCTTTCTAATCTCATTTAACCAATAAGTTGCAGTTCCGTTGAACAGGTGTTACTCAGGGGTATACGTAATATAATTGGTCCTAGTTTTGGGTTCCGTCCATACGTGTTTTTTAATATTTGTCAGAAATTTATTTATATCCTGAATACTTGGCATCTCTAACTGGTAAAGACTCCCCCCACGCTTTCACTTTAGCATGCGGCAACACTTTGATTTCCAGTAAGCTGCTTGATGTTAAATGCTCATGCGTATACTTAATATTTCTGTTTGGTGGGGGACGCATAAAAGTATGCTATACAAGTTGAAAATTGATCTATTTTCCAGCCTCCACGAGGATGTCATATTGCCGCGAAGCAAGCACCACAAAAGCTACACCTGCCAGCTAGGCTGGTGCACAAAACTAATTAAATGCTCAGCCGTAATTTATGTGTGCCCCAGACAAATGAGGACGTAACCAGTGAGGGGCCATAAATTTAAATTATGCCCGGCTTAAAGTGAATACGTAATAAATAAGGAGAAGTGCGTGCAAAAATTGTTGCCAACAAAAATTCAACGAATAGCTCGAGGGGCTCACACGTTCCTTTTTTTTGCCTTTTTCGCCTGACCAGGATGTCCCTGTAATGAAATTCCCAAGACTCCGTCTCGGAATTTACCATATATATACTATATATATACCTAATCTGTCGTACCCAGATCATGTGGCTGATTGGCCGACTGGAATGAGTGAGAGATGTCCGCCAGACATCCAGTAATTGGCTCAAGCATTATATAACTGGGGACTCATGTGGTGTCGTTTTAATGATTTCCTTTCAATTCGGGATGTGTTTCGGACTTATGCAAGATTGATTATGTGTAACCCTGTACTCTGGATATTTATGGGTTTTCCAAAACGGTTGCTGTTGTTTAACTGAATTCATTGCGTAATGCCAGAAATTCAAGGGTAAGCTACTTCAATGGAATGCCAGCCACAAGTCCAGGAATCCGAAAGCCTTTCATTGACTGCCCAACTCAAATTGACTCTGCTAATCTTCTGGGAAAACTTCTAAGAATGACTGCGAAATTTCGCAAGTCTTGCAGGCCCGCATTTAACTGTGTGCTGATTAACTCCGAATGCCGTTGCCGTTGCCATTGCCATTGCCATTTCCATACACACAATGTAATTTCGTGCGCCAACTTTGAGCAAATATTTTCGATGGGACCACCAGGCGTATACTTAATAATGTTTACCAAAGCAATCAGGAGGCGCACACGGGATGGAACACGGGAACAAGTGCTGGGTCTGGACGGGATTGGAATTTCAACCTTTTTTTTTTCTGTGACAGGGCCGAGATTTGTGATTTCTGATTTGTGATTGGAATTTGAGCGGCTGACACTTGGCAAATGCGCCAACAATTTGGGTAATAACCTTAAATTCAAATGCTGTTACCCGGACTACTCGTCGCTGGCCTTCTTCGGCTTAATACAATTTAAAAGCCCCGTAGACCCGCCTTCGATTTTCCCATACCCATTCCATTTTTCCGGCTCTGTTGGTTCTGCTTTTGCGTTGTGAGTTTTCGTTGGCAATGCCAAGATGGGGATCGGGTCGACACAAAGGCAAACAATTTATGGTTCATATGAGTTTGGAATTGGTGTTCAGCATACAAATGCCGAGCAAATAGAATTTGTGTGTTTATCCTGTCCTTGCCACTCCTCCGAATCTGGTGGCCCCTAATATGAGTCCTCTATGCATGCCCATGTGCTGCTGCATATTTGCCCGGTTAAAGTGGTGGAAGGTCAAATATTTGATTGCCATCACGGCCGTGTATAAGTATAATTGCCATAAACGTTTATTATCATCGAAACAGTTTCGAAACAAGTTAGAGCTATCGTTAATTAACTTTTAAGCGTGATTTTCATTAGAATGAACTGAGTGTTGTTAACCCTCGAAAACAATACTTACTTATTTACATATACAAATAATAAACCTTAGGTTAGTTATGTAAAATTTACTTAAATATTTATATTTGTTACTAATTTCCAAGATAAATATGATTAGGACTGTGGGCTTAATAACTCTTGTCTGAGTAAAGGGGAAAAAATAATAATCAAAATGCAGATGATTAAAGTAATTAAGATTATTAAACTTTATAAAAGGATGTAAATTAAATTTCAATTCCCCAGTATAACTCAGACAAGGCTGACGCTGACTTTACATAGGTTTAATTTAGTTAGCAAATGATTAAAGCTTTAGTCTTATAATAAGACAGCTTAAAAGACTACACATTCTACACATTTTAAAAACAAAATAGTTGGTACTTATATAGCCCTAAGGCTCGCTTAAACCGTGCCCTTCTTGAAGTAACGAACTATATTTAGAGTAAGCAATTAATGTTGATAATCAAATTACTTAACATAGAGAGTTTGAGAACGGAAACATAATAGGAAAATATTTTTTAGCCCAACTTGCTACATGAAAAATTCATATTCAGAATGCATTAAATCACTTCCTCCAAATTAAATGCCACTTAGGCAGTGCTCTGACCAACTTGACAGGTGTCTCCGCTGGTAAACTGCAAACTGCGGTGATTGAACTTAATTGAGTTCGTAATTGGAACTCCCCTTTGGCCAACACATATGGACACACCTGCACTTACGCTGGCGAACCTCACTTGTCCGGGTTGATTGGCTGGGACTAGTGTCAATACTCGTCCTTGACACATTGCGAACTCTCATGCCTGAACTCTGCCCTGCCACCGCCCACGTAAGGCTGGTCAGCGGGCATGGCATGTGGGTGGGCATCTGGTGTGCGTTTTGTTATTGCTCAGGGACTCAACGCTGCGTTAATTCACCTGTTGACCGCCGTCTCGCTCTCCCGAAACCTGATGCTCGTTCGCATCCATGCAACCGATTTAAGTAGGTCATAGTTGCACATTGTCGAATTTGGCCCCATCTGTTCAGGAGACACATTACCTGTAGGTCCTGGCTCATATTGACGGCCATTAGTCGTTCGGAAGTCGTGGCAGGCACATCGCTCTAAATAAATGTTGTGTTTAAGTTGTAATTAAAAAATTATAACTAAAAGCATATTAGATCCACTCTATTATTAAATTATTATTAACAAAACTCAACGCAGTTAGTTGATTCTAAGTTGCAGTTAGCTAAAAGCGCGGTAAAAGTGAAATGACAATACAGGCAGTGTGAACTACATGATATATCCATTAACTGAGATGGTGATGCTCATGTGATTGAATACCCCTAACTAAGGAATAAAATTCGAAATTCACCTCCTAAAAATATTACTTTTTTATTAACTGTTTGTTGCTCTTCCCATCTCTTTAAAAATTTATAGCATTTAAAACTGTGCTTTTAGTAAAGTTTCCGATAGGGTTTATTAATATTGATAGAAAACATTAACAGAAAGAAATGGGCCTTAAAATGGGTTTACAATATATTAGTTTGTATATTAAAGAAAAAGAAAAAACAAATCAAACTTACAATAATCTTCCAAGATTCCTTTGAATTGAGAAATTATTAAAATAAATGTTTAATAGTGAATACCTTGCCCCCTTTGGACATTATCCAGCCCTGTACATCATTTTAACCCCACATTTTTGGAATAAAAGTTTTTTTTATATAAAATATCTAAGTAGCTTAAAAGTATATCTGCAGACAAATATGCCTAAATCATTGGCAGATGAGTCTTAAAAGCAGTTAACACACTTTTCACTTTACTCTAATATTTGTCTGTTAACTAGAGAGTACCCATGCTGAATTCAAATAAATAATCACTAAAGAATGAGAGCACTCACAAGTTTCACTCTTAATATTCTGATTAACCAAGTTAATTAACCCGTGCTAGATGAACTCCAAAGCTAACTCGCTACCAATTGTGCCATCTCTGTTGCTGAATGGCTAAATTCGCTTCGAATCGGCTTTTGGCCACACAATATGAACATCGGAGTTGGGAGAGGGGATTGTGGGGTCTTTTGTGATGCGAGCCGACTAATGGCATCCATTAGACACAAAAGGCCAAATTGCTTGGCCCGATTCCGATGGCATCAATACCAAACACACACACACACACACATACATTTAACCAAACACACAGACACAGACTGCATTTATTTGGACTTTTTGTGCGATCTATTGTCACGTGTTCGCCTCTGAGCGTGTGTGAGTGCGGGCCATTGTGTAATTGATTTCGATTCCTGTGGCCAAAAGGCCCCGCAGCTATTTGCATGACCGGTATTACTTTGGCCTGTGTATTCCGTATTCCGTATTCCGTATTCCCATATACCGTATACAGTAGTATCCCGTATAGAGCAGTCCTCTTTTGATATGCACGGCATGTACAACGCCGGCGTAAAACAAAAAGGCAGCGCCATTCGCATGCGGATCACATATGGCCAACTTGACCTGAGAAATCCAATCCGATTTCCCTTTGCAGATTGAATTCGCCATATCGCATCGATTAAGTCATGAACGCACTCGATATGAATAAACAATTTCTGAGCGTCTCCCAGGACCATCAGCATCAGACCTCGGTGGCAGACCAGCGGAGTCGCTCAAGGTGAGCTCAGATCCGTATTTAAATACCAGATGTTAATAGCTATTAACCATTTCAGATCGGAGCGTGCCTCTAGCCTGGCCCTGCCCCTTAACTCCCTGCTGGACTTCTACGACAAGCAGCAGGAGCAGTGCAAGTCGGTCACCCTGCTGCCCTTGCCCAGCAACAGCAGCAACATCAGTGACAGCAGCAACACATCCAGCAGCAACAGCATCGTGCGGCGACACTCCTCCCACTACTATCCCATGCTCGAGGACAAGCAGAAGCCGTCGCAGCTGCCACAAGCAGCCACCGAAATGCTTGTAAGTATATGGGACTGAGATACGTATTAAAACAGTCTACGATAGATTGGCATATTCCCTAAATTCATAGGCCCAGTTTTTAATGCTAAAGAAGTACTAGACCTATAATCATAAACTAAATCAAATGTGTTGATTGATAGTGATTAATAGTGATAAATAGGTAACTTCAAATATTATTTAAAGCCACTCAAAGTAAACATTTTTTTAAGTCTTGCAATTAATTGCCTTTCGCTATTTTATATTTAGTTTTTGTCTATTTTGTGGCCTTAATGGCAACGTAATATATAGAGATACGAAATGACATTTTTGTAGTCGCTGGGATTAACAAGAATATGCAAATATTTAAAGATTATTATTAAAAACATAAATTTAACCATTACTGGTAGAGTTGGCCAAAAGATTTTTAAGAAATGCACACAGCAAAGATGTTACAAAGAAGTAAAAATGTTAAGCATTTTCAAACGAATAGAACTTCTTAAGGAATCAGCTTAAGTTCTTCCTCTTAGTTAATTAACTGCACACTGCAGTTTAGATGAAAAGCTGTTTTATTTCAGAAGCCTTTTCATAGAGGAACAATAGGTTTATTCGGTAATTTGAGTTGGCTACAAGGTTAATTAGTGGCAAGGGTAGTTGCTCCCTCATCAGCTTTCTCCTATTGCAATACCAGAGAATTGCAGCTTATAACAATTTAATAGGTGAAACGTCAAAAGTTTAATGAATTTTCCTGGAAATTTTTGATTTCTGAACTTATAATTCACTCATTTTTAAAAGCTTTCACCTATTATACGAAAGAAATGCATTCCATGTAAAATGATATGGCAAGCCAAAGAGATTTAAAGAAAAATGGATTACTGATGTCAACTTAGTTTAGTTTCCAGCTAAAATATTTAGTTGGAATTTTTTCTACAGCCACCACGAAGGGAACTAAACATAAAAAAACTTTTATAAAGTTTAAAAAGTTCAACCGCCAACGTAATAATAAATATTATTAGCTGACGGTGCAGAGAGTGGAGTTTCCAGTGAAGAGCAGTGAAAAGATTAGCATCCTGGGGATTTCCGTAAAGTTTGGCTGGCTTTGCATACCTCAAAAGATCGATGCAGACAGATGCCAAAACCATTCCTCGCGTTCCGGATTCATTTTAAAGCAGGGCCTGGCCCCCAAATCCTTACCGAGTTATTTTTCCGGGGCCGCGTCAGGATTTCTGCACTCGGCTTAGCGAGGGCTTAGTCCCTGCCCCCCCGCCATCCTCTGCACCTGGCAAGGGGCTTAAATTGCAGAATATTGCTACTGGGTATTATTTCCACAGTGGAAGATTGAATGAGAAAACATGATATTAGTAAATAGACTTTTTATGGGTATATATCATTGAAAAAAGAAAATGGTTTACCTTTAAATATCTGATAACCCTTTTTTCAAAAGTCTTCATTTACAAAGAACTGTGTGAACAATAAGTTTTTTAAATAAATAAATTGATATTAAATGTTCGATTTAATTATGCAAAAGTTCTGGGAAAATGAGTCACTTTCCATGTTTGCTCTTATGCAATTTCCTCGCACAATTTTCCACTGTATTTGCCCAGCCATATCTCTGAGTCCTTTTACCTCGAATTTTCTCATTTTTCCGTTGGCAGGTAAACATGACGGAGCAGAAATATGGCCAGTCAGCGCATCAGGGGGCCGTCTCGGGAGGCAGGCAGTTCCACCAGCAGCAGCAGCAGCACTTGGTGCGGGTGGATACCCCGGTGACGCCACCGCCTCCCATTCCACGACGCCTCCTGCGTGGAAAGTCCGCCTGGCAGGCGTCGAGTCCCAACCCACTTCCACTTTCGGCTGGCGGACAGGAAGGCGCCCACGGCACGGGCACGGTGTTTGTTTATCCGCAGCCAACAAACGTGACCGCAGAGGCAGTGGCTCGGGGATCAGGCGATGGGCAGGGCGGAGGAGGTGGTCTGCAATCAGCGCTGCTTGTTGACATAGCCACACGTCCGGCGTCCGGATATGCGGATGCCGATGGGATTTCCGATGACGACCGCATGAGTCTGGAGAACTCCGTGTTCGACGAGTCGCTAACCTCCACGCCCGTCAAGGTCGCCGGCTATCTGGCCGGACGCTACTCCGGCTTGAGCCACATGGCGAAGCGGGCCCAACGCTCCTCCAGCAGCACCGTGGACTCCGCCTACGGCTCATCGCTGGGCGGGCACAGTGAACGTTTTGCCAGCAGTTCGACTAGCGTGGACTTTCGCAGTCGCTTCTCCTCGGTGGACACCCAGTCCTCCCTCGATGAGAAACCGCTTTCCAGCTCGATTGACTCACCTTTGGCCAGGGACACCAGGGATGCGTACAGGGAGCGTACCATGCTCAACGATGCCATGCACAAGTTGAACAACAATAACACCAGCCTGGGCTTGGCCCTCTACCCGGCCAGTAATAACAACAACAGCAGTATCAGCAGCAGCGGAGGAGCTGATGGCACTAAGTTACCAGTGGTTCCTGCTCGCAAGCAGCCCCCACCTCCGAAGGGGAGTGGCAACAGCAAAGACTCAATCAGCGACACCCAGTCACAGAGCTCCAAGGAACCCAGCAGCGTCTCGGCCTCGGCCTCCACTTCGTCCGCCGCGTCTGCAGGATCTAGCACGATCTCCAGCGGCACCATGTCATCCATGTCTGGGCCAAGCTTAGCCGTTGCCCCGGTTACTGACTCTAATAACAAACGTCCAGGGCCTCCAGAGCCACCTATACGACAGGCTAATGTCTTTGATCAGATGGAGTCAGGTTCACGGGGTCATCCGCCGCCACCATTGACTGTGAGAAATAAGTTGGCTCGCAATAAGCCTCCACCAATCACATATCCTCGGATGCAGCAACGTCAGGATTCCACTCTGTCCAGCGATAGCTACTCAATTAGCTCTAGTCCGGGCTACAACTCTAAGCTGATGGAAGCCCCATTGCTGGGATCTCAGCAGGTGGGCCGCAAAACTAATGCTCCTGGCTCAGCCCAGCGACAGACTCCTCTCATGGATTTGGCCCCAACACGCTTTTTGAGCGGCGGCGGAGGAAGTGGAAGTGGCAAGCAGCCGCCAGCAGTGCCACCGCCCAGGGGGAAAATCAACTTCCGTCAGGACTCTACCATCTCCAGCGACAGTTTCAGTCAGACGTCCAGCCCAGGCTACAATCCCAAGCTCATGGAAGCGCCGCTGCTACCTTCATTGTCCGCCAAGCGACTCTGCAGTGGTAAGTTGAAATCCATCCATACTGCGCAGTGTCACTGGATTACATTGCCCTTTCAGCACCAGCTCCGATTGTATGCCGGCAGGGAGTGCAGCACGAGCCCATCGAGGAGTTGGAACCACCACAGACGATATCGCCGCTCCATAAGACAGCTGGTCCGCCGAGCAGCCTGCAGACCATCGTGCGCTTCCAGAATGGAGCTCCGCACACCATGTCCTTGCAGCATCAGGTAAAATCCAAGTCCAGTTTAAAGCATAAGTTCCGTTGCTCATATCTTGTCCACTTTTTTAGATTATCAACCGGCGCAAGAGCTCCAATCCGTACATCACCAACGGCCGCTTGAAGTTCCGTCTGTTCCAGATCCTAATCAACGCCTTTGCCCTGCTGGCCATCGCCGGGGGTCTGGCTGCCTACTTTAATGCCTATCCCACTATTAAGTTCGTGAACAAGACCATCATCAACACGATCCATGTGGAGGACACCACAAGTTTCGGCAAGAATCCAGCCCCGGGCACTTGCCTGCCCATCATTGTGCGCTTTTGCCAGGGTCCCCAGATCCCCTACAACTACACCGTGTTCCCCAACTATATCGGTCACTTTGGACAGCTGGAGACGCAGACGGTTATTATTGGACTATATCTTGTCGAAATTCCATTAACTTAAATCCATTGCAGGACTTGGACTCCTATGAGGCTCTCGTGGATGTCAGATGTTACGAGCTGGTGTCCCTCTTTCTCTGCACTCTTTTTGTGCCCAAGTGCGGGCAAAGTGGGTAAGTTATCTTGTCGTCGTGTTCGTAGTAATATATATTTTACATTCTAATCTTATTAAATAAACTTAATATCTGTTTAAAGCGCCACTGTGCCTCCTTGTAAGACCCTTTGCACGGAGACTATGCGCCGTTGTGGCTTCTTTTTCGACGTGTTTGGACTGAGTCTGCCCGAGTACCTGAACTGCAAGCTCTTCAAGGACTTTCCAAGTTCCGAGGACTGCGTGGGAGTGGATGAGGTCCGTGAGGTTATGAAAGCCGCCACGCATCCCAAGTGCGATGGTTTCCAGTGCGATCAGAATCGTTGTCTGCCGCAGGAGTACGTGTGCGATGGACATCTGGACTGCATGGATCAAGCGGACGAGGCCAGGTGCGAAAGATGTGGTCCGGACGAGATCTACTGCGGCGACAGCCAGTGCATCGGTACCAAGCACATATGCGATGGGATCATTGACTGTCCTTACGGCCAGGATGAGCGAAATTGCTGTGAGTTCAGAGTTCTTAATCCCTAATATGACCTAACTATCTGGAAATCACCACCAGTGAGGCTGAGTGAGCGGAATGGCGATGTGGGCACTGGTGTTCTTGAGGTCTATCGCATAGGTCAGAGGCAGTGGATGCCCGCTTGTGTAAAGAACTGGGATCGGGCAGTCTCACCCAGTGCCGTGTGCTCCATTCTGGGCTACTCGGCCGTGAATGCTACCAGTGTCCTGACCCAACGGACTCATCGCCCGCTGCTAGCCTCAGTGAATGTGTCCACCGACATATGGAAGATGTACGCGAAGAGAAAGTCCACCTTGATGCAAGAGTTTGCGAACTGCAAGAAGTCGGAGGATTATCCAATGGCAGAACTTACATGCTCCAATTATGGTGAAGAGGAGTCCTTTTTAAGGATCCGTTATGGAGAACTCATTAACTTATTATTTCAGAGTGCGGACGAGTTAAGCGGGGCAGGCATAAACCGTCGAGGCGCATCATAGGAGGAACCCAAGCTAGTCCCGGCAACTGGCCATTCCTGGCTGCCATTTTGGGTGGGCCAGAGAAGATCTTCTATTGCGCTGGAGTCCTGATATCTGATCAATGGGTGCTCACAGCCTCTCACTGCGTTGGAAAGTAAGTTGAGACTTGGAAATGATAATAGTTTAGATACTAATACTCCTGCTTCCCTGATAGCTATAGCGTGATAGACATGGAGGACTGGACTATTCAGCTGGGAGTGACGCGTCGCAACTCCTTCACCTACTCGGGTCAAAAGGTTAAAGTTAAGGCTGTCATTCCACATCCGCAGTACAACATGGCTATTGCCCACGACAATGACATAGCCCTCTTTCAGGTGAGGTTATCATATAAAATTATTCTATTGTAGATTCTAATACCGTTGGATTCACTTGCAGCTGGCCACGCGCGTTGCCTTCCATGAGCACCTGTTACCTGTATGCTTGCCGCCACCGAGTGTGAGAAATCTACATCCTGGCACCCTGTGCACCGTCATCGGCTGGGGCAAGCGGGAGGACAAGGATCGTGAGCATACTTATTGTGATTCTTGGTTAACAATAAAAATATTAATATAATATTGCCTGACCCACAGCCAAGTCCACGTACGAGTTTATAGTAAACGAAGTCCAGGTGCCCATCATCACGCGTAACCAATGCGACGAGTGGCTGGACAACTTGACAGTGTCAGAGGGAATGGTCTGTGCCGGATTCGATGACGGAGGCAAGGATGCCTGTCAGGTGAATACAATTAACCCTTACCTTGACCAGATCAATATATAATTACATGCAAACCAATTCTTAGGGCGACTCGGGTGGTCCACTGCTGTGTCCGTACCCGGGGGAAAAAGATCGCTGGTTTGTTGGCGGCATCGTGTCCTGGGGCATTATGTGTGCGCATCCCCGGCTGCCGGGTGTCTATGCAAACGTGGTGCAGTATGTACCCTGGATACAAGAGCAGATCGCGAAACACTCCCGTCCCATCAACGAGGATCGGGTTAACAAGTACGACCTGCATCCAGGTGGACCCGATATCTTGTCCAAAATAGCCACAGACCCGATGCGTGAGGGTAAGCCCCACCATTATACACACTCCAGGTCGTCGTCCAAAAACTAATTCTGAGAATTCTCGATGAGAGCCAGAGTCAAGTTACACTGGAACAGAGCATATCCATATCCACGAAACGATTGCACAAAGTACTCAAAAACAAACAGAACCGATGGATCCTGTAGGATGCATACATATATTTTGCTACTAAACTTAGGGTATTAGCCAGCCGGCTAAAACCGAATTGGGCAACATAATCATGTGTCAATTTGCCGAATTTATTTGTCAATTTTTTTACCAAGAGATTTTTATGAACCTAAAACCCAAGGAAATTAATAACCCAGACAAGCGGAAAAATTACCCCGAAAATGGGTGCAACTATATGTCAATACATATTGCAAACGCGATTTATATATTTACACTTAAAAAGAAAGTAACCGTCATTGTACCCGATATCTAACCAATTGATAATTGTGTCTAAATACCCCGAAACCCGGACAATAATTCAATTTTGTAGCTGAATTTTGTGTTGAAAGGTTCCGGCTAGGACTAAACCTATATTATACTAAGTATTACTCCGCAGGAAAAACCTATGATTAATGAAAATGAATTCAGAAAAATATTGTGAAGTATAAATAGTAGAATCACAGCTATTGAGTGTTGACAATTAAAACAGGAAATAAGCGAATCAAATGTAGAAAATGTGTAACTATAACTAAACCAAAGAAAACAAGGAAAAATTGCTGATCTTGGGCATTTGAAGGACGTAGCAGTAAGCTCTTCTCCAAACATGCTGTCTTACAACAGAGAATCTATCGAACAATAAGAAAGTGCAGTTGACAATAATGAGAAATGCACAATAAGCAACAAATACAAATAAATGCATCTAGCTATAAGTCATGAAAATAATATGTAACTACAATGCGTGGGTTTCAGCTTTAAAGAACACTAAATGGAGGGTATAAGGAATAATGACAGATGTCAGACAGGATTAGATGGAATATACTTATACACATAGCATACTGTTTATGCGGTAAACTACAGAAGGTATACACGCTTCGGTAGTGGATATGTCAATGTAACTTAATATTTAGAACTATTTACACGCCAACGCAACTCGTTTGTCACGTCCCGCTCCCTATTCCCTGAACCCACTTAGACTGGCTGCTTTAGTAGAAGCTCAAGATAACGCCCTGATTTCTATCCCCATTTCCCCCATTTATCTATAACCCGGGTGTGCCATTCAGACTTTGTAGGCGCAACTACTTTGCAGAGGAATCGCACGAATATAAATGTATAATACGCGTAACTAAAGACTCAAAATTGGTTGTTTCAACACACAAAATACACAGACACACACTTGAGCTTCGCGACGTGTACAGCTTTGATATTGTTTTCGGGTCGAAACGGAACCGGAAGCGGAAGCGGAAGCTAAAGATAGACCGGTATTGTCTGGACCTCGATGTTTTTTACTTATCGTTTCTAGCTAAAAACCTGTTGAAATGCTTTAGACAAGAGATTGCAAATTGTATAACCGATCACTAGATACTAGATCTAGTTGGACATATTATGCCTACCTATATATATATGCATGTTTTGTACAATCAGTTTACAAGTGGAAAGTATTATTAGTCTTAACGGGGGGTTAAATGAAGCGCATATTACACAAGGCACACGATGTTTTAAGAGGAACATTAACACGAAAACCAATATGTAACTGAAATATATACAAGAAATATACATATAACGGATACATATATTCTATATATATATTGTAGTGGTAGCTATTAAGCAGATGTGATGGTGTCTAAATTTATACATGCATATTATCAAGCAAAAAGTGGATGACGGAAAGCTTAGATTATACTCGAGACAAATCCGTGGGCTGTTGTAGATCGAGCATACTAACTATAATGACACACTACAGCGGACAGATCCTGGACAATACATACTTATAAAGACATACCCATATCATAGAAATTATGCTTACTTTGATATTGTGCACTGCATGAACATAGATATATCGGGTGTGTTTCTGAAATAAAATAGGTGTCTAAAATCAGGAAATAAAAGATTCTAAGCATCAGAAGCATCAAATCACTTGATAGTTCAGGAACACCTCGGTTAGATAAGGTTTGTGTTTGAACTCAGGCGAGACTCCTTAGCTGTTGCCTTGGACAGTAAGCCACTCTTTCACCCTTTCAGTTTTCTGGGGTTCACTCTCCTTGTGCATTTACGATCAGACGGATCATGGCGAGCTATTTTTATACACCCCATGCTCCAGGCTACTATCAAAACGCTTAGCTTTATGTACATTTAGTCTAAATCGAACACAACCCATATATTATACATATTGTAGATGTAAAAATGCTTAGCATTGGCGAGTGGAGTGAGTGAAATAATTTACATGTGGCATGTTTTGCAGAATAGATAATTACTAAGTATAATATGCATACAATCAACTCGCAAACTAAAAATCGCACAAGACCCATATCCTAGTTGAATTTCTGCGCTTAATGTGGGGACTGCCCCGAAAAAAGGATTCGATTCAGTTCCGCATGCTCCATGTGCTTGAGAGGACACCACATAAACACAAGCCCCTAAAAATGAAACCAAAGAAACCAACAAATTGTAGCGAAACGTTATGTGTAAAATGTAGCAAAATCCAAAAACCAGAAGCTGATTAACAAACTAGTTGAATTTACATGTGTCGCGAAAATAATGAAGCATAGTCTATATGTACTCACGTATCAGAATATTATATGTAAATGTTTAAAGATGATCATTTGATGAGAAGCACTTGTTATTTATGCACAGACGGAACTTTGTGAAGAATTTACAAGAACAAACTTGACAATAAAAGACAAAACTGAATTTTTTCCTGTGAGCTAGACAAGCGCATCGGAGGCATTGAGAATTTATGAAAAGTTTTACATTCAGATTTTGAAGTTTTGACGCGAATCAGAGAATATTGTTGAACATTTATTTTGAAAAACAAACAATGAAAGAATAACCACGACAATAAGGCAGACATTTGGCCAATGTCCGACAATAACTGGGAAAGTGCAGTATCCCAAATGTAACTACATAAACTACACGCAGACACGTATAACCAACTAAATGCTAAAAGCAACATGTCATACAATACATGATATATACTTACACACATATATTATATAAATGTTGGAAAATAAATGTATAAAACCATATTCGATTGTAAATTTCTTTTAATTTCTTTTAATAGTTGATTTCCCCAGGAACTTTACTTGGCTTTTTAAATTTTGTCAACACTTTGCGCCTAACTAATAAATTCTGCCTATTGCTATAGATTTTAACATTGGTAAATGCATATTCACTTGAGGTAGCTCTTAACCACTTCGCGCATGTCCTTGATGACCTGCCTCTGATCGGACGCTCCCACTACGGCCGTTCCAGAGACGATCATGTTTGCTCCGGCCTTGGCGCAGCACGCGATGGTCTTCGGTCCTACTCCTCCGTCCACCTCAATGTCCAGGTTAGGGTAGTTCTCTCGCAGCCACTCCACCTTCGGCATCATATCAGCCATGAACGATTGTCCACCGAAACCGGGCTCCACGGTCATTACCAGCACAACGTCGGCAATGCTCACGTACTTCTCCAGATCTTTTACCTTTAAAGCAAAAGCAACAAGTGGATATTTTCTTTGAGTTTTTAACAAAATTATCATGAACATATTTTTTAACGAAATATAAGAGAACCTCAGGTACAAATATATTACAAAGCTTTGATTCCAAAGTCATAGAAAAAATTATAAACTGATTCTAGACTTCTGCACGCCTTTCCTAACTATCCTTTATACATTAAATAAGGATTACCTCAACATAACCTCGACTCACCTCAGTTCCCGGCTTGATGGCCAGGCCGACCTTCATTCCGGCTTCTTGAATAAGTCGGCTGACTTTGCTAATATCCTCCGGCTTCACCGGCTCGATGTGGAACGTATAGAGATTAACACCCGCATCGGCCATGGGCTCTATCCACTGCTCCGGATTCTGAACCATCATGTGGGTCTCGAAAAATGCCGTCTAATTGGAATTATGGAGTACGTTATTGGATATTTGGATCTCGGGACCGCAATCTCACCTTGATCTTGTTGCGCAAGCTCTTGACCATGGGATGACCGAAGGTGAGATTGGGCACGAAGGTGCCGTCCATCACGTCCAGGTGCAGGTAGTCGGCTCCATTGTCCAAAAGCTTTTGGGACTCCTGAGCTAGGTTGGACAAATCTGCATTGAGAATGCTGGGACCGATCTTGGCTTGAACGGACATCTTGGTGGAACAGCTACTGAGCAGGCGGAGCACGGCGCGTTTTGCGGACGCCGTCTTGCTGACTTAAGGTCACACAGAGGGGAGCTGGAGCTCGGAACATTTGAAAAGCGACACGATAACTTTAGAGATGGCAGCGTGAATTTGGGGAGTTTCATTTTTTATTTTTCTTTTTGACAACGTCACCAAAATATTGATAATAAATAAAAACGCACAAAATAAATAGTACAATTTAATGATGTACTTTAACCATTTCTTTTAAAGCCAACACGATTTGCACTCCCATCTCAAGCTATAAAACGCATACTGCCGCGTTGCAGTGTGAATGGCCATATAAAAGGGGTACTCGTGAATAAATCCACTTTATTTAAATTTGTTCAACTTTGTGCTTAAAATACTTCAGTATGAGAATGTTTTGATAGAGTCGTAGGAGTAGCCTACAATTCGTCCTTTTGCGCATGAATACCCGGGTATTCCTTGTTCTCGATGGTAACGCCCTTGCAACGATCCTGTTCGATGAGGAAATCCTTGGCCTCCCAGGCTTGGGTACCATCCTTGAAAAGGAAAATAGCGCGGTCATCATCAACCATGTAGCGCTCTGCCTGGATGTGATTGTTCCAGAGACTGGTCTGCCATAGCTTGGTAATGTCTTCGGCTTCCTTTCTGGTTGGTTTACCGGTTACCGAGACAAATGTCATTAGCGTCCGCCCTTTTTTGGATACCTTAAGTAAGTCCTCGGGGTTCTTGCTGTCCAGATTCGAGAGATCTAACTTGGGCTGCGGTCGCAGGTGCTCAGGCAGCTCATCCGGCTCCAGGGGCTCTTCATCCTCCTATACATATGAAACGTTATAGGGGCATATGAAATACATTTTTTTCTCCCACCTCCCATTGATCCAGCAGACGCTCCAAGTCGGCCTCGCTGTAGTCGCGTATGTCCTTCTTTGCCCACGCCGGTTTATCCTCCTCTTTAAACTTCTTGGCCAGGACCAGCGGTGCCAGAGCCAGGAGTAACAAAATAATTCGTGGTTGCATGTTGTTTTATAAAATTTTACTCAGTTTACACGACCAAACACGTCACCTAACGATTTGCCATTCGCATGGAAACGCGACCAAACAGCTGATGGACGCAGGACAGGTGGCGAATGACACAACAGCTGTTAGTTCCGGGCGAACATTCAACGAATACGCGTCGCACGGGAGTTTCTCTTTGTTATTGCGTGGAAATGCCGCTGGTAAATGTAAATAGGTGTAGTCTATAGAGATAAGCCCAGCGGATGCACACGTGCATAAGTTGGAGAAACGAGGTGATTAATACCAACTTGTATGGCCACCTTTGCCTATTGTTATTATATTTTTTTTAACAATGGGCCTTGTGGATTGTGCCAAAACATTCGAAATGCGTTCTCCGATGACATCATCGACATTGTTTGCCTAATCTGCTTCTCCGTTCCATCTGTTTGGTTTCTGTGTTTATGTACATTATTTTAGAAAGACTTTAGGCCACACAACGTACGCAAGAGTGATTAAAACACGGCCAAATCAAGTGGAATTAAAAACATCGAAGAAAAATCAATAGGAGCAGCTACTAGGACAGGATGGTGTTCGAGGCGGTGGTGGCGGATGTCCTGAACAAGGTCCTCGGCGACTACATCGTGAACTTGGATCGCAACCAGCTGAAAATAGGCATTTGGGGAGGTGAGTTCCAGATCCCCCGGGATGTATGACACAATTATGCTTTACCCTCACGCAAGTCCATCATTTTATCGAATGTAGTAGTTACCGATGTGTAGTGGCCCATCTGCACGCAAGCAGAGGGAACAGTAAGAGTGATGACCTTATCCTTGGCGAATTACAATTAGTGACCTAATTCTGTCGCAGCAAACGAGCCGTATCGCAAGTTTATGAGAACCCAATTTGCAAGTTCTCATGAATTCTTGGGAAAGAGCAAATAAAACAGGCTACATTGGGATGGGTGGGACAACTGTTGCATCTCGCATCTCTTGTGGTTTCTCTCTCTCCGTCTCCTCTCAGCTCATTTCCTCTCTGCTTATTTATCTTTCATATACAAATATGCTTATGTCGGCTGGCTGTGTGAGAACGTAAACAATTTTTCCATCTTTTATCTAAAAGTACTCACATTACTTCTGCCTGCCAATGCGATGGCATTTTACATATCAAACTCTTTATAAATAGGGTGTGAACCCCCGAGGCACAAGATCACCACAAAAATATCAAGTTTACGATCTTAATAATATACGACGAGCCAAATAAACGGGTTTGTTTGAAGATATGTGGCACAGGTCGGGAGTGACATTCGGCGACAAGCCTGTTTTATTTCGGCTGAGCTTGAACTTGGGTGACATAATGCTGGTCCGACAGTCCACAAATTGATGTTAAACTTGAAAAACTTCGAGCTTAATTAGCATTTGATTTTATGCCTCTAAAATCACAATTTGATCACTTTTGCTTGACTTCTTGAGTAATATTTATGAATGAATAGAAAGACATTCATTGTGAAGGATACACACTTCATGCTTCGTCGCTGAAGCTGATTATGAATATATATCGCAATGATAATGCATTTTATAGAATAGCCTAACTTGGGCAGCATTTTAATAAAATATTTCTTTATCCACAAAGCATGAAGTTCATTGTTTTTTTTTTTTTATAATTATATGATCTCATCAAAACTATCTATTATATAGTAATCACTTTATAATGTAAAGAATCTTTTAGTTGTTTTACTCATGATTTATATATATTTTTTGTGTCCAATTTAAATTCAAGTTGTAAATTATTTAAAAAGTATTGCTATAAACCTAATTAGCTGATCTACTCAACATTAAACGAAAAATTCTATGGAAATAAATTCATGATTGTATATACATATGTATTGTCGGTGCTCGTCGTATTTAATTCTCTTAGTGATTCATATTTGTTTTCATTTTGCAATTAACAAGCTAAATATAAATATTTCACCGATTGCAAACATACTCGGGTTTACTAATGCTATCTACCTTAATCGGTTGTTACAGTGCCGCTATCAGAGTTACTTATATTAAGTGTTATATCGAGTGTTGATAATTGAAAAGCACTTGTAGAATTATGATTATTTGATAAATATCATGTCAGTGAAAGCCAGACAAGTTCTTATCAGTAGAAATCACCTTGCCCTGGGAGTTGCATAAACTGAATGGGGTTGCTTGGTCGTTAGACTATTGACCCACATGCGTAATTCAATATAAATTCACCGTTTTGCGCCGCTCATTTTGCATTCCAAGCATAACAAACACTTAACAACCAAAAATGCCGCATGCCCAAAATGCCAGACGCTAGTAAACAATATTGATGTATTGGCGCGGCTGTTGCTCATTCCATTTACTCAATACAGAGCTTCTCGAATCAATAAGTCGTAGCCTTCGTCGTATAGAATGTTTTTATTATACATTCCCCTCGTAATTTATCAGTAATTAATCAATGAGCATTTGCTTCTTCTGCTGCAAATGACTGATTACCGACTCCGATAAGACTAATGGAGTCAAATTCTATCTTTGTTTCGCAGGCGATGTGGTCTTGCAGAACCTCAAGATACGGGAAAATGCCCTGGACGATTTGGACCTACCCGTGCAGCTTATCTATGGATATTTGGGTAAATGGATCATGAATAACAACTGAAATCAAAGGAATTTTTTAATGAAAATGTTGTTAATTCCAGGTAAATTAGTACTGAAGATCCCCTGGAAGAATCTGTACAGCCAGCCGGTAATTGTCAATATTGAGGATCTTTACGTCCTTGTATCGCCCAACAACAATGTCCAGTACAATGCCGAAAAAGAGGCCAAGTATGAGATGGATCTCAAGACGGCGGCACTGGATGCCTTGGAAGCAGCTCGCAAAAAGGAGTTGGAAAAGGGTGAGCAGAAATTGTTGTTTGTACTAGTAATCTTAAACAATATTTATGTTCTAATTCAGATCAGGCAAAGCATGATGCTGGGTTTGCCGAAAAGCTAACGGCGCAAATCGTGAACAATCTGCAGGTGCAAATAACCAACGTTCACCTGCGATACGAGGACACCACCACAACGGGAAGTCCCTTCTCCTTCGGTATCTCCCTGCATGAGCTAGAGCTCTACACCACCAATAACGACTGGGAGAAATGCTACATGGCCCAACAGGCCTCACAGGTCTTCAAAATAGCGAATCTCTCCTGCCTTTCAGCCTATCTAAACTGTGGCGGACACCTGTACTCTAACGACAAGTCTGCGCTGGCAATGCAGTTCCAAACGAATATTGCTTGCAAGACATCACAACCCAACTACAATTACGGTTTGTCCTTTAGATTATTTAAGTTAAAAGCACCATCTTATATTATTTTTTTTGATTGCAGTGCTGGGACCCATTTCTTGCAATGCCAAGTTGAAGCTGAACATGAACCCGGAGTTTGATGATCCGCCCTTTGAAAGGCCTAAGATTGATCTCACTCTGGAGATGGCAAAGCTAAACGTGGGAATAACCAACACACAGTTTGACAATCTAATGAAACTTGGAGATGCTATGAATCGGCAACAGTTGGGCATCCCTTACCGGAAATATCGTCCTTATAACTTGTGTAAATATAAATAATCTCATTAATATATCATATATTTTAATGATGTAATATCAAATAGCCTACAAGGGTCATGCCAAAGAATGGTGGCACTTTGCTATAACATCTATTTTAGAAGAGGAAGTAAGGAAACCTCGACTGAGCTGGACTTGGGAACACATGAAGAAGCATCGCGAATGCTGCAACACGTATGCACAGGTGATTTTAATGATTTGAGCAAAGAGAACTTGGGTCTATATTAAGCCTATTGACATTACAGAAATACAAGGAGCAGTGCCTGAACAAAAAACCACCAGCCGTGCTAATAGAAACCTGCCGTTTGCTGGAAAAAGAACTGGACATATTTAACTTGCTGTTAATTCGGCAAAGGGTCAATATCGAGATAGCCAAGCAGAGGGAGGCAGTGCCCGAGCAAAAGTCAGGCTGGTTCAGCGGTTGGGGATGGGGTGGCGGAGCGAAGAAAGAGGAACAGACCGCTGGTCAAAAGCTAGGCAAGTAACTCTTTGTTTTCTTTGAACTGATCTTTTAATTCATCTTTTTTCCAGTTGAAAAATTTGAAGCTGCAATGACGGGCGAAGAGAAAGAGAAAATGTACAGGGCAATTGGTTACCAAGAGAACACCAAGCCGACAGATCTTCCTGATCACTACGAGGCCATCAAGATGAACTTTAAATTAGTAGCTCTGGAAGTCGGGCTGTACAAGGATGACCATAGTATTTCAACATCATCCCATGACTACCATGTCCTGCCCTCTCTGGTCCTTCTCAACTTCTCAATGGCTACTGCGTCTATTACCCAGCGACCAGCTGCCGAAGCCATTAGCATTACGGCTGGCATGAAGGAGCTAAAGGTGACTGGTCTAAAACGAAACGAATATATACCTTCGTTGGTGGAGTCAAAGATTACTGACGAATTTAACCTCCTGGACGTATTCTTCGAGACAAATCCACTGGACAAGTTGTGCAATCAGCGAGTTAAGGTTGTGGCGCGTCCTCTGCAGATTGTGTATGATGCTCCGACTATCCTAGCCCTGATTAACGCTTTCCAGCCGCCAGGTGATGTCACACTCTCCAAGTTTGAGGATGCGGCCAGTTCGCAAATATCCAACTTTAAGGAGCGCTCGGCCACTGGAATGCAGTACATGATCGACAAAAAATCAGTGCTAGATGTGGACATCTTGCTAATGCCAAATATTCTGGTAGTTCCCCATAAAGGAGTTTATGAGGAGGATAGAACACCCTTGCTAGTTCTGAGCATGGGACAGGTGCACGTCTTCAGCCAGCCGCGTAAGGAAGAGACCAGGCTGCAGAATCTTTTCACTGCCGGCGAAGACAAGAGCGATATCCTTAAGACGGTAATGGAAAATGCCTATGACAGGTTTACAGTCGAATTAAACGACGTTCAGATGATGGTGGTTCGAGCTGGGGAGCCGTGGCGTCTTGCGCTTAGAGAAGCCAACTCAACGGAGATGCACGTTTTGAGACCCGTCTCTCTGAAGGTAATTGCCGCACTCTGTGTTGTTGATAACGACCCTCGATTACCTAAAGTAAAGGTGGACATCGACCTACCAGCGATCCTAGTCAATGTTTCGGAAGATCGCGTTTTTCTTGCCATAAAGGTGGCCACGAGCATTCCCCTTCCGGAACAAAATCAACCGGGGCAGAGATTAACACAGTCCAACTCGCGCAGCTCAATGTCTATATCAAACTTCATTAACAAAGAAGTGAAAAAAATTAGCTCTGTGTCATCATCAGGCCCTATCGGCAAGGACAATTCCCTGGAAGAGGTCATACAGTACACCAATTTGGATGTAAACTTCTCTTTGGGAGAGATATACTTCGTCTTGATGCAGTCCAGTAAGCGAAGCCTGACTACCTCCGATATATCAATCGAGTACCACACCCCTGAAGGGGAACATCATCCTTCTCAAATTGATGATTTAACTGAGGAGCCTATTGAACGACCACCGCGATCGCCACCTCAACAGATCCTCTCCATCGACATCTGCCGTCTAGAGGCCCATTTCGTTTCAAGAACTTTCGAGTCTGTGGCTTCAGTCAAGTAAGTATAATAAAATAAGAAATGAAGACCTTTTTTTTAAGGTTTATTAAAATTCAGGCTTGGAGACATCAACTTGCGACAGTACGGTTGCGCAGATGGCGACGAGGAGGTGCTAGACGTTATCCACACACCGAAAAAGGAGAACAGCTCCAACTATCTGTTTACCGTTTCTTGCACACTTGCAGACAAGACGTCGCCAGAGTTTAGCACCAAGTATAACTCCACTGAGCAGCTGGTCGTGGCGAATTTTGAGGTGCTTCAGGTAGTGCTGCACCAAGAGTGCTTACAGCGGCTTTTGGAAGTTGCAAACAAATTCCAGAGAAATCTGGACGTTGTTCTTTCATCTGGCCGACCGCGAGATCGGATGGGTTCTATTGGCGGAGGCGATGGTATCAAACGGAAACTTAATGTTATACTTGAGGATACAGAGGAAATAATGACCACCAACCAGATGAAGCGCCGAAGGAAAGTGCGCCGCGGTCGTGTTGTTGAGACTGTGAAGGTCAGAGTTATCGCAAATCTGGACGAAGTCAGTTTGTTGCTCACCACCCAAAGCCGTCCTTTAGCCGAGATGAATGTTAAGAAATTTGTTTCCAGTCTAATTATCAAGTCATCTTACACAGAAGTCAATATTGGTCTTAAAGACATTCAGGTGGTGGACCTGAATCCTCACACCATCCACAAGAACGTATGTGGTTCTGACTGCGCCCAAGTTCAAAATTTAATAGTATTGTTTTCCACAGATTCTAAGTATTGTTGGCAAGGACGCCTTTAACTGTCAGGTTGTGCTCTACAATAAAGAAGAGACCCTGGACTACAACTCCGATGACATGAAGATTACTGTAGACATTGGCTGCATGAAGATCATTTTCCTTAATTGGTTTGTGGCGGGTGTCATGGTAAGATTATTACTATACATATTATATTATTTATAATATTATAATATTTTCTAATAAATCGGTTGGCCTTGCAGAACTTCCTTAACAACTTTTCAGAGGCCCAGGCGACTATATCGAAAGCTAGTGCTGCAGCTGCAGAGACAGCACGCCAGAAAGCTATGGATGCTTACGAAACGGCTACTCGCATGAAACTAAATGTCCGTATTAAGGCGCCGATTATCATCATACCAATTAGCTCCCAGGACTCTAATGCTTTGTCGCTAGATTTGGGTCTGCTGGAATTGACGAACAATACTGTGGAAATGGCGGTGGACAACGAGGAACGAATGGCAGTTATAGACGAAATAAAGTTAAAAATATGCGATGTTAAGATCTCCAAAGTTGTCATACTGGATGGCAGCGAATCGGTTGTTGATGGTAAAAAAAATGTTGTCCTTCTTTTAACTATTAATATATATATTAATCTACCTAGAATTGGACGCTGTCGTCGGCTACTGTTCCAAATTTAATATGATGAATCCAATGAGTTGCACCTTATCGGTAACTCGCAATTTGTCGTACACCTGGTACAGGGATGTGCCTGAACTTAATCTTTCTGGTCGCTTAAAGTCCATTGAGGTAAGACTTAATCCAATCAATCTGAGTTAGGACTAAGACTTTTATTCAACTTTCAGCTCACTCTGTTCTCGGATGATTATGCTCTGGTCATGATGATTTTGAATCGCAATTTAAGCGAGGGTTTAGATGAGTTTCCTCCAAGCGAAGAACCACCCCCGGAACCGACTAACCGCGCAGAGAGTCGACGTCACTCCCATGGTGAACGCGTATCTCGGACCATAGAGGCTATTCCGAAAAGAGAGAAGATTCACGAATCGATTAAGTTTAATCTTCAGTTTGACGGTGTGATAATAAATTTAATGGAGGGTAAGTAGTTTAACAGTTAATATGCTTACTTCACAAAGTAACAAGTTATGCATCCAGGTGAAGACGCAGGACTTGCTAGATTTGGTATATATTTCTTATCCGTCAAGGGAACAAAATTGGACAACGGCACATTAAGCACTTCGGTGGTTTTGTGCAATATCCAGATGGACGACTTGCGTCAGAACTCAAAAAGCCAGATCCGACAGTACCTAAGCCGGAAAGATTGGGTTCAGCCTAAGCTGGATGCAGATGACATTATAGATGCCTGTTACAACGAACGTAACTTTATGGTCGATGTGACAGCCATAATAAAAGAGGGCGACACATTTGGTTTGTGTTAAGTTTTCATTTGGAGTTATTCTCAAAATTTAACAAATCGTCCATTGCAGCTGAGGTCCGTGTGCGAGGCTTCGACTTGATCGTCTGCATTGACTTCATGCTCAGATTAACGGCATTCCTAAGCCTACCGCCAGAAGAAACCCCTCGTGAAACAGTCTATGTAAAAGTTAACACCATTGCGGAAACGGCAAAGGAGACACAGCACTCCGTTCGCTCCTCCGCTTTCTTGGCCGCTAATGAACTTGTTCCCATCGAAGCCACCAGTATGTGTAAAATTGAAATTTTTTTAAAACCCATTAATAAGTTATTTTTAATTTAGGCCATGCAGCCCCGAACCAAAAAATGAATCTTATACTGCACATTGACGAACCGGATATAATTTTGGTGGAAAACCTAGAAGACCTTAACACCAGTTGTATTATTTTCAATGTGAGTTGATGGATAATTTCCTTGTTATAGTACACGAGCTAATGGTTGACCCTTTCTAGGCTCAAGTTCATTTGAATTACCGCAGCATAAACGACAAGCAGATCATAAACGGCCAGATCGATGCACTTAAGATGTACATGAGCGCCTTTCACCCAGAGCGACGAGAGTTGACCCGCCATTACATTTTGCATCCATGCGTTGTTAGTCTACAGGGATCCACGCCCGAAGAAGAGGGTATGCACATCAGCCTTAAACTGAGCGACATCATTATCAACGTGTCACCAGCTACTATCGAGCTGTTAAACAAGGCGATGGTGAGCGTCACCAGTGGCAGCATGGCAAAGACGGCCAACGCCGAGGAGTCGCGAAACTATTCAAGTCTTTGGCATCAACGCCATTTCCACAGCCGCTCCTACTGGTTCACCAAAGTGGAGCAGGGCGTTGATGCCCTAGAAATTGAGAAAGCCAGCAGCCACAGCCCAGATAAGCAGAAGACGGAGAAGTGCGTTATTGAAATTCCCAGCATTACGATCGTAATCGAGTCTGGCGTGGGCTACTATACGAAGCCACTCATTTCGCTGGACACCCGAATTACTGCCGTGTTCAACAACTGGAGCCGTAATCTCACAGCTCATGGCTCGTTGACACTAAACATGGTATGATTGTTTGCTAATCACAAGTTTTATCATATCTTAAACGATATAAATCCATTCTGTTCAGAGCAGAAGATGTTTAAACGCAAAAACCTTTTAATTTATAATTTTCTTGCAGAACTATTATAACAAAGCCCTTGCCGAATGGGAGCCTATTATTGAGCTCAACGAGGTGATCGGTAGGAACGGTGTGCATGAGTATACGCCATGGGAGCTAAAGTTCGAAATGGGAACAGAGAATGTCCAAAACGAAGAAGAAGATATCGACCAGCAGGCGATGCACATGAAAATCCATTCAGCGGAGACGCTTGAGATTACGTTGAGCAAGACGTGTCTGGGATTGCTTTCCGAACTGGGAGAGGCGTTCTCTCAGGCCATCGACCAAAAGGGTCTGATCAAGCCCGACATCGTGGCTCCTTACGTGCTGGAGAACGACACTGGCTTTGATATAAATTTGAATCTACGCAAGGGTATCTTTACGCTACACGAAGTTCACCGAGGTGGCATCTCATCGGGCTTGAATAGTACCCTGCTTTTATCTGCCAATTCCGAAGAAGTCGATCCTAATGCAATAAAAACCTGCACGATTTCGACTGGCGGAAAAGCATTCCTGCAAACCAAGGACTTGAGCACCTTATCTGAAGAGGATTCCGAGGACTACACTCTTTATGTGACGGTTAGAGAAAATTTTAATCTGTAAAAGCATATCTTTTAAACTGTTTACTTGGCAGATTGGGGATATTGACAAAGAGATCGCTCTGCCCGTGTCCAAGTCCGATACGCGTTTCTTTAACTTAATGCGCAGCACTTCCAATGAGCCGTGGGGCATTATCTCTGAAGTGACACAGGAGTATGGCACTACAAAAGTCAATGTCCACGGTGTAGTCAGAGTAAGTACTTCAATGTAGACCTTGTTCAGATTTATTTATATCTTATTACTCGCAGGTTCATAATCACTTTACGACAAGTGTCAGTATTTATCGACGTAATACAGCCCCCACAGCGGAATGTTTCCAGGATATTTACATTGGTCGTGTTCGTCCCGGCGAGGTGTTCCATGTGCCTTTACACGCGATTTACGCGGACGCTAAAGAACTCTACTTCTCGATGCGTGGCTACAGAACATCGGTGCAGGGCATTTCCTGGGCTGCCAGCCCCTCGGACCTGAACTATTCGCATCCGTTACATTGCGATCCAACTAAGACTTTTGAGCCGCTCATCATCAACGCTCGGCGAAAGAAGACGGAGGTCTACTTCGAGGGCACCAACAAGTATACGTTGTTAAGCGCCTTCTACACAATTCATCTGCGTCCGCCACTCTATCTGCGAAACTCGCTGCCTATCAATATACAAGTGTCAGTGGCTGGCTGCTCGGTCCTAAAGGAGGATGGCCTGGATACCGTATCATCAATGCAGTTAGTTGATAAAGGATATAACAAAGAGGATTTCTTGGACTACGGTGAAAAGCCTGTTGACTCGGGCAATGTGCTCCACCTGCCCACTGTTCGATTGGCATCAAAGGACAATGAGGCTAAAAGCTTCCTGGTTGTGCGAGTAAGTTACTCTCAGTTATTCAAAATGAAATGTAATCAATGAGGCCTTTCTTGTTCAGCTGATTCAATATCTAGAGAAGGACTGGTCCTGTGCCACCGAGGTTGGTGACTACGCTGACGATGTCATTACTTGGACTTTTTCATCATACGACTCGGAGATGAAGGTAGACATGGATCTTTATGTAAAGTGAGTAATAATTACAATTAGTTGACCACAATTTAAAATACAATTTTAATTGATTTTTTCATTTCACAGAACGGAGAATCGACATGGCAGCATAATGCTTACGCTCTTTAGCCCCTTCTGGATGATAAATAAAACAGGAAAAATGCTCACCTATAAAACAGAGACGACCTCCGTAGAAGTTTTATACCACCCTCCCGAATATTCTGGACCCATCATGTTCACGTTCCGGGATAAGTTCTTCTTTGACAAGAAGACGGCCTCTATCCGCATTGACAACGGCCAGTGGAGTGAAAAGATTCCTCTGGATGTGGCCGGTTCAATTGGCGAGGTCACCTGCTTTGCAAACAATCAGAAATACACTGTCGGTGTGCATAACCACTTGACTCAGAATTCCTTGACCAAGCAGATCACTTTCATCCCCTTCTATATTGTGTGCAACAAGTGCCGCTTTGATATCGAGCTGCAGGAGCAAAGTCGCCCAGCAGATCCATGGCTGCACCTCGAGCCGAATCAGCTTGAACCCCTCTGGCCTAGGAACGACATCAGGAATAACCTAGTCGTGCGTGTGGATGGCAAGATGACTCCAGCCTTTGACTACACGGAGGTAATCTGCACCCTCCTAAAGCTGGAGGACAGCAAGCACGGCGGCATCAACGTAGACGTTCAGACTACGGAGGGCGGTGTATATATCACCTTTACGGACTACAAACCAGCCGATGCTCCCGGCCTGCTGATCAATCACACTGGCAGACAGGTTGTCTACTGCGAGAAGGGAACGAAGAACGAGCAAATTCTAAATGCGAGGAGCACCATAATGTATGCCTGGGATGACCCGACGGGTCCCAAAGTCCTCATATTTGGTGCTAACAAAGAGGAGACAGATCTAAAACGTGACGGAATCGGCGAAGTGGTGTAAGTAGCTCATAGTTCTAAAAGTTACAGAACTATATTCCATCTATTTCTATTTCATAGCATGCAGGACGGCCAAAAGGCTACATGGGTGTCCTTCCTAGACGGTCTGCAACGTGTGTTGCTCTTTACGGATAACGACTCTATTGCCAGTCGCACTGAGACCACTTCCTCGCTGCAGTCTATCACCCAAAGCATTGACCTGCGTATTCACGGCATTGGTCTGTCAGTAATAAATAATGAGACGGGCTTGGATATACTTTATTTGGGCATTACCAGCTCTGGAATCATATGGGAATCAAAGAAGGTGACCAAGAAGCGTTTCAAAGAGTTCACCATTACCGATAACGCCCTTATGGAGCACGAGTTTCAGAGATATCAAGTTCACAAAAGTGTTAACGATGTGCAGACCTACAAGCTGGACAACAAGTTCCCGGTAATAATACAGCATATTGTTAGTTGCCAGTTAGAGACTTAACATTACATTTTCAGATCGACTTTGAGAACATGATTCTTAAGAAAACGGTGGAGAGAAACATTAGACGCAGCTTCTATCCAGCGATTTGGGTGTCCCGAAAGTCGTCACCATTCCAGAGCCAGTTGCATGTAAAAATAAATCGTATCCAGGTGGACAACCAGTTCATGGATCCAATATTCCCCGTGGTGTTGGCACCAATTCCACCACCAAAGAGTGTGGCGAATACCACCTGTATCAAGCCGTTCATTGAGTGCAGCATGGTGCAGCGAATCATGCCTAACTCCCCTGTACGGCAGTTTAAGTACGCCAGAATCCTGATCCAAGAGTTCCACTTCAAGGTTGACTTGAATTTCCTTACGGCTATCGCAGAGATGTTTGCCAAGGAAGTGTCCGACGATACAGCAGCCAAGCAGTTCCGTCAGGACGTGGAATCGATTGAGTTGCCGCTTTCTGCTTTCTTCGAAGAGCACTCATTAGAGGAACAAAAGAGCTTCTACGATAACCTGCATTTGGGTCCACTTAAGATCCATGTTAGCTTCTCGATGGCAGGCTCGGACACAAAGGCGTTGCCTGGATTCCTTGGCTCGTTGGTGCAGGGCGTTGGTGTCACCTTAACGGACGTCAATGATGTGGTCTTCCGGTTGGCCTTCTTTGAGCGTAACTATCAGTTTTTCTCACAGAAACAGTTGGTCAATGAAATCACCTCGCACTACACTGGCCAAGCACTGAAGCAACTTTATGTGCTAGTCCTCGGCCTGGATGTCCTGGGCAATCCATATGGGCTAGTGGTTGGGCTGAAAAAGGGCGTCCAGGACTTGTTCTACGAACCGTTCCAGGTAATTTCAATTTAAGGTTCTGTAATCAATTATCTACAATTTGTATTATTTCGAAGGGTGCCATCCAAGGTCCTGGTGAATTTGCCGAGGGTTTGGTATTGGGTGTAAAATCGCTCTTCGGCCACACGGTGGGCGGAGCTGCTGGTGCCGTGTCCAAGTGAGTTTCACGTCTTATAAATTTAACGAATAATTTAAGAAAATGTTTAATCCCAAAAAAAAAAGAATAACTGGTGCTATGGGCAAGGGTTTGGCGGCGTTGACCTTTGACGAGGACTACCAGAAGAAACGGCGTCAAGGAATTCAGAACAAACCAAAGAACTTCCACGAAGGCCTGGCGCGCAGCAGCAAGGGCCTGGTGATGGTAAGACGTTATCCAAAGTAATGTTGATACCGTAATTCTAATTACTTTGCATGCGATCAGGGCTTTGTGGACGGCGTCACTGGCGTTGTAACCAAACCTGTGACTGGGGCTCGCGACAACGGAGTCGAGGGCTTCTTTAAGGGCCTAGGCAAGGGTGCAATTGGCCTGGTGGCTCGCCCAACCGCAGGTGTGGTTGACTTCGCTAGTGGCAGCTTCGAGGCTGTGAAGCGGGCGGCGGATGCAAGCGAGGATGCGAAACGCATGCGACCGCCGCGCTTCCAGCACTACGACTTCGTGCTACGACCCTATTGCTCTATGGAGGCGACAGGCAATAAGATAATGAAGTGAGTGTAGTCGAAGGGCTCCCAAAGTCGACAAGATACAGTTCTAATGGTTTCCTTTTTCTCATTATTCTTCACAGGGAAACAGACAAGGGTAAATTCGCCACCACGGATAACTTTGTTCACTGCGAGGAGATTATCCAGAAGTCCGAGTACCTGGTAGTAACCAACTACCGCCTGATGTACGTGCAACGTAACGAGATGTTCGGAGTCTGGACGGTGAGTTTCGCAGCTATTTTAACAAATGGTTCCTTTCTAAATAAACTTACACTTGCAGTCACTCTGGTCTTACCTGTGGGCAGAGATCAGCGCTGTAGCTCCCGCGGCTCGAGGTGTTCAATTTACTGTAAAGACGGATGGAAAGAAGGTCCTGGGTCTTTTCAGCAGCAAGGAGTCTCCGAGAAAATTAGTTTTAGTGGGAGATGAGCGCAAACGTGACGCTCTGATAAACATAATTGAATCTCAGCGCTCCGATCCGAATCCTCTGAAGGGCATCAACGCCTATCCGGCGAAAATATAGAAATATACCTGAATTTATTTTCCAACTGTATTATAATCCGAGCACATCCCCACGGCACCAGCAACGACATGGAAATCTACCTCGATCATCAAGATTCTGTCTGTCCAAGCACCATGCACCCAATTGGAAAACTCACACTCATGTGTCGTACCTTACGTATGTTAACAACCATTTTGTTTTGATATTAAAATTTTATGTCAAAGTTTATGTGACATCCGGAGAGTGGTTTTCACTAGCCTAGGGATTAAATCTACAATACAAAGATAAACAAGCTCTCTAGGATGTCGGATGTTGGATAGCGGATGACAGATGTGTGTCTACACCTTTTTCAGGAAGCTGCTAGGGGTCGTGGCCAGGGGCATGATTGGCTCGTAGTTGTTGCAACCATCACTTTCGCAGAAGGACGTCAGCGAGGCGAATGCGTTGGCGGCCAGCGCCTCTACGCTAAACATCGTGGACAGGTGGCCGCTGCTCTCGAACTGGTTGATGATCATGTTCACCTTGCTCTTGGCCTCCGCCTTCAGGCATGGTGACGTCGGCTGGCTGCCTGGCAGGCCCGGATCCCGATCACCAGGACTTGCGTCATATCCTTCTCCCAGTTCCGCATCCGTTAGTAGGTTCTCCTTTTCGCTTTGCTTACACTTGCCATTGTTTGGTGATCCATTGGCTGTGTTGGTATTTTTCAATCCTGTGCTCTTGTTGAGGCGACTGAGAAACCAGTTCCGGGCCAGCTTATCACAGTCCTTGCTGGCTGGACTCGACTGAGGCGTAGTCGGGGACTTGCGCTGCTTCTTCTGTTCCTTGGTGGGCGTGTGGACTGGACTGGCCAGAGGCGATAGCATTTCTGGTTCACTGCCATTCGAGTAGCTCTTCTTCACGGCTTTTTTCAGGCGATCAGGGCTGGGACCGCCCGCTGACAGCTGAGTGGAGAGCTCGCTATGCACGGTTTTTACCCTGGCCTGAAAGTCCAGTGACATGTTTCCGTGCAGACTGGAAGGCAGCGGTTGTGCCTTGATTTCTCCGCCGTTTAGCAGACCAATGGATTCAAGCTCTCCGTTAACGGAGACCATTCCGGTAGAGGTCTCCTGCAATGGCTGTGCTGGACATTTGGGCACATCGTACTCGAAACGCCGGGCCAAGGCGGTAGGACTATTGTTCTTCTCCGGTAACTTTGGCAGCACCATGGCCGAGGAGTCCATGAGGCCATAAATGGGAGAGGGTTCCTCATAAATAATATCCGCTGCAGTATAGCTGGATTTCTTCTGAACCGGTGGCGTAGGCAGTTTTCGTGGCGGTGGGCTCTTCAGGGGCGGATGGCCACTGGTATCTCCGCGGATGGCCGCCTCAATGGCGTGTATCCATTCTTTGGCATCGACTTCATTGTTGGCCTGGTAAACGAACTTCTTGTTAGGGTCGTCTGTGGTGATCTGGAAACAGATATCGCGCCGCTTGCCTTCCCCGAAGTGCTCAATCTCTATGGAGGAGCTCTTCAGGTAGAGAGTGCTGCTGGGTCGACATGAGGTCGGTCCATCGGCATAGCACAGCATCCAGTCGTTGAGGATGCCACAGTAGCACTTGCGAGTCTGGTCGAAGAACAGCCGCTTTGGAACAATCCGCTGCAGCTGTCCGTACTTGGTAGATCTTTGCAGGGACAGGTGGCCGGCAGGGAGATCGGCGTACGGACAGTCGATGATCAGCTCGTGGGTGAAGGTAATCGCCTGTTGGGCCTCATCCTCATCATGTCCCGTCCCTTGGCTTTGGCAAATCTCGTAGAGCTGCTGATGTGGTTCCTTGTCCGACGATCCCGTAACCGGTTGGTGAACGGAGCACCGATCTAGGGACCCGCTGCTGCCCAGATCAATGTATTCCCGCGAGGCGGACACTGCAATTAGAAATAATTAGTATGAGTTGTAGGCATTAAGTACAGTCGGGCTTCTGAAACTTCAAACAACTAGCAATACAAGTTTGTCTTCATTATTTCAGGTTTTAATTATAAAATGACTTTAGAAAACAGATATGTACGTAGTACTTCCTGAAGTACAACATTTAAGACTATTCTTGGATGTTATTATACAAGACTCTAGTTTCTAATTTATGCTTCGTAGAATTTTGTTGCTCGCAGTAATTAGAGAGTCTAAAGCACTATTAGGATACTAAATGGTTAGTGTCAATATTGATAGCATTGGAATTGGCGGTAAATATTGATTCATGAATATTTCGAGGTATGAATGTATTGATTATATTTTATAATATTTAAACCTTATTTAAAATTTATCTTTATTGATGTAGCGTTAATTGAATCAAGTTTATTTCTACAATTGTTTATCTAAGATATTGAAATATTGTAAATAAAAGATACCTGATAAATCAGATAAAAATAAAGATAGATTCTTGTAATCACACACTTGATTGCTACAGTATAAGAAAGTTTCAGATATGGAAGTATGACTGTATAATGTTTGTGTAATATTCCATGGAGCACTCACGGGAGTTTTTCGAAGAGGTCGGGGAAGCGAGCATCTCCAGATAGCCGCTGGGACCGGTCTCCGCGCCCACCTTGCTGTCGACGCAGTCGACCAGGCTGGTGCGGTTGTTGGTTGCCGCCTGTTCGTCTGTGCATCCCAATCCCGATCCAGATGCAGTCAGCAGAATCTCGCAGCGGGCCAACAAAGCGGCAGTTTGCTCGGCAGCAGTCATATGGAAGAGGTTTGAGGCGTTCTCGTACTCCGAGGTCTCAAGAGAGGCTCGGAAATGGGCGCGGACATCTGCAATGTAACCAGAGGAGAGGATCGTAAGTTCTAATGTTCGGTTCCAGCTTTTTAGATGGCTAAATAAGGCGGTGGCCCCATTAGCTATTAATTTTTAAACGCATCATTGGCCCTAATGGCGGGGCAGTTGAGCAAGAGTGTACATAGTTTCCAAGGGGGGCAATTAGTGGGCCAGTGGAGTGGTTGGTGGTGTCTTTTCTGCTTCTTTTTCCAATTCTGCAGCAGTAGTGACTCACTAGGCGGGAAGTTAAGTACTCCGGTTCCCAGTAAGTCGACTGACCACATACACAAAAGTGACCTCATAAAGATCTCGCTCAAGAGTCAACTGCGAATTGACCGCGGCAATTAAAAATAATTTCACTGGCCAAGAAAGTTAACTCTGGTGTCTGCGACTGTGCTGCCCTGCCCCGACCCTCTAAGCAGAAATGCCCACATCCAGAAGTATAAATTATTTAACGGTAAAGCAAAAACAGAAAAACACTGAAATTTGCAAGAAATCTTGTTAAAACTTGAGCACGCAAACCTCTGGAGAGCTGCTCTTTAAACGTAATATGTCCGAATATGGAAATGCAAAAAAATCTCCAAAAGTCGTGTTGGCCAAACCCGAACTGGAAATGCCCTTAAAAATCAACTTAGGAATTTCACTTCGTATAAGTAGCTTAATATTATGCACGAGAACTTGTGTACACAGAATTTCAATTGCTTTTTATATTAAAGGAGTGCATTTTTACCTTTTAAGTCAAAAATTAAAGGCTTAGAAACTTATTAACCCGTTTTATATTTTTAGTATTTACATATAAATTTTTACAAATTAATTACGCTTGACTTCCACAACAATTTTTTATTTTCTGCTAATAAATTCTATAACCTAAAAACTTTATTCTTTAAATTTTAGTATAATCGGAAATAGCCCTAGGGTGACATATTTAAAAATATTAAAAAGTAATTTAGTTTCAGTCTTGAGAATGCATAATCTTTTCCTGCCAAAGTAAATAAGATAAAAGGGCATTCAAATGTAATTTGTTTGTTTTTTATGCGAAATCAGCGCTTAGCCTTTAGTTCAGTACTCCGTGGAAGTAGATGAGATTAGATTAATTTTAAAAACTTTATAAGAGAAAAGACTTTTACTGAGATTATATATAATTCTAGACCGCTTTTTATGATTCATAAAAATTGCAGCCATTGATACACACAGTGGTTTAACCAGGATCACATCAATGGAAACTCCCCAGCGAGAGTTATTTGTTCGATATTTAAGTATCAACAATAAGAAAGATAGCCACCCCCTCAGCTGGGTATTACTCAAACAAAGATAAATTAAAGCAACAGTCATCGGAGGAGGGTTCGATATGCTTCCTATGCCTCTCATCTTGCCCAAAGCCAGTGAACCGAAACCTGAGAAAATTAAACTGACTAAAGAAGAGGGCAAGAGAGGAGACAGAAGATTCAGAAGAGGCTAAAACAAGCGCTTTGGGCTTAGTTTTGCGGCATGTCCAATCCTCTGTTTATTGTCTACCTTGTGGATATACATATGTACAACGACATATAAACGATTTGGGGGAACAGCAGATCGGCGGCGGTCCAACGAGGAGCCCAAATCGGTCTCGATAAAGTGTACGAAATATACGCAGAGCAGAGAAGGGCCAGAAATAACCAGAAGAGTCTGATGGTCATAAGCCAGAACCAGAACAAAAGAGTATTAAGCCCGGACGCCTGCGGAATGAGTCAATAATACTCTGGCACTGGGTTATTGTTAATGCTTGTGTGCCGGAGCTGGAGTCGGAGCTCCTCCTCCTCTATTTTGAGACGGCTTGTAATTTTTTGATGGCGCTGTTTGCCTGCCAAAATTAACAAAGTTTCTGTTGATCTATCTCACACTAACTGGCTTTAATTTTGCTTTTCTTTTTTCCAAGCTACACATAAAGAAAAAGGTGGGAACAAAATATAATTTTCATCTTGATTTAATATAGATTTTATGGTATAATGAAGTTTGTAGAAAATAACTGATTCAACATTATAAACTAATTCTGGATTTGCAGTTCAAGTTGTTTGTCATGTTTTTTGCCTGCTGAAATACTTTTATTGGATGATAACTAACCACCATTTAAATGTTTATCACCTTTGATCGTTTCTTTGTGTTTAATAAATCTATACTTACCCAACAAAAACTGTTCAATTTCGGCCCGCTTAGTAGTTGGCTTTGTATCCATGGCTTGTAGATTGTATTATTCTTGCTATTTTGTATTTTGAATTTAGCGTTCAGTGTTAATTCGAAGCGTTTTGCGCTAATGTGCGTTGAGTGCTTGTTGTGCTGCCGATGGTTTGATTTCGCGCCCGGGCTTTATTGTGGCTTCTCTCCGATGTGTATCTGTATCTGGATCTGTATAGTCATAGTCATCATCTGTATCTGGCATATTCACCAACTGCACACACAATGTTTTGCCTTAGAAATTAACAGTTTGCTGTCAAAAGTCAAAGATAGCACATTTTTATTAGATCACATGCACAACAGATACCGATGGGATGCAATATCTTTGATTGGTGAGTCGAGCGCGGAATACGACCGGAGTGCTACTGAAGGTGTTCCAGGGATTACCGGTTTGTCGTTGTGAAGCAAACACCTCCCCCGCTGTGAACCCGCTGTGGAGCTGTCCTATTAATAGATGGACCATCGATGCACCGCTATCTACATATGTATCTAAAGCCATAGCCATCTAGATATCCGTACGCGTCGAAATACAATACAATCTCTATTGCGCCTGCAGTTCTCGCTCTATTCGCTTTATTTTTACTATTGTCTACTATTTTTCGCTTTTTTTTTTTGGTTGCACGCTTCGTTTGGCGCCTCATGGAAAATCAACTGATGACGTTATGTACGAGTACGGGGTATCTAGCAGCTAAAGTATCTAGATTCGTTGGTGGGGAAACTGTTGCCTGCTGCCTGCTGGCTGAGTGTGTCTGCCATTAAATGTCATTACGAAATCCCTCCGCTAGCCCTCCAAGCGCCCCTCTGCACTTGTCTGGGTGTCTCCGTTTTTGTTTAATTTTCGTTTTTCACTTTTCCGTCGTCGTGTCTGTCATTTTGCGGTTTCCACTGTTTTGCGGCCAAGAATTGAATACAAATACGGGGTGCCCACACGCAGAGGAGCTCGGACCCGGGACCTGTGCCTCCGATTGGGCCCCTTGTTTGGGGCCAAGCCTTTTGATTGTGACTCATCTGAAAGGCGACGCGTGTCGCCACAAAGAAGCGACAGTCTGTTGCCCAAAATTGCAATTTGTTGCACAGAAAAGAAAATATTCGAAATTTTGAAACTTGAGTTTGGAAATATGTTCATATATCTAATATTTTTATATAGCCGATGTACATATTTTTATTTTTAATAGGATAACCATTAGAAATAACCATCTAATAAGGTCGAGGTTTAGGTTAAATCCTTTCAAAACTATTAAACATTTTCTATTAGCTTCTTTAAAATTTAAAATCTTCAAACGAAGTACCCAACGATGGCCTAGCTTTAATTAGCTTAGGTTTGAACTATAAGGGAGATTCGGAACTATAGAAGTTCTACTGTACTAGTAAACTGCTGACCATTTCTCTGAGCCACCACATACACCTGCTATATGTACGTGTCTAGAGTCTGCTTTTACTTTTTGGTTCTTGATTTTTTATCGTGACCATAAAACAGAAATGTAATTCAATTTGCACTGGACAGACGGACTATTTGCTTCCTTTGTGCCAGCCGTTGAAAATAAAATATTTATTGATTCAGAACATTTGCAACTTGACACCCGACACCTTTGTTTGCTATTGGTAAACGTACGGCAAATTCTCGACGGCCAGTTTTGTTCCGCGGAAAAGCCAAACAAACTTTTTGCCAGCTGTGTTGGCCGCGCAACATTTTTCCGGCCACGAAAACTGTTGGAAAAGTGTGCGCAGGCGTGTCTGACACCCCACTGCTTGCCCCGCACTTCTTAAGCACTTCCGGTCATTTTCGACGGGCCGGCTTCCTGCCGTTAGGGGCCACCAATTAAAGAATTACGAAATGCATCCACGCACAGAGTTCGATTTTGCATCCGGTTTTCCACTGCGTTCTGACAACGTTGACACCTTTTCGCTCGCGGGCGAACTTTTCATCGCCGGAGCCAAGAAGCGAGCGCGACTTTCTGGCTGGTGCGCCACCATGAATCACTCGAGCTTAACTGACTAACTTGGGGCCTCTCTGGCGGCTCCAGCTCTGGGACGCCAGCCCGATGGTCACCCGAACGCAGACGAAGTGCCCTCGGCTCTGGTTCTCTCTGCACGGCGGGAAATTATTACCATCAACTTCCGTCTGAGATCTAAAATTATTAGTATCTTTTTTTTATAGTATTAAGCAGCAGAGAACCATTAACTTATAGAACAATCCATCTCTAAGTTATTCTTATTTTTCAACATATTGCTAGTTGGTAATAATGGAAAAAAAGAAACTTTAAAGAATTTGAAACTTATTGTAAATTTGCGAAACTAATACTAGGTTCACTAATTTATTAACCATATTTTTCAATGTGTAAATCCAAATGTTCTGGCGTGCGAGTTGCTTGATTTTGCATTGCGTTTTCGGCTGAATTGACAGCCGGCCGGCTTGGTGGAGTTAGAGACGCACTCCGATTCCCAATCTCCTATTGGCAAACCCCATCCTCGCCTAAACAGTCAAATATTCTCTTGCTTTTGCCACATTTAGAGAACCGATCCCGCCGCTGATATCATATTTTAGAGAACATCATGCCCCTTTTGGCAAAAGCAAAACAGGCTGACCAACTACGGTCGAACTTCCATAGGTAGAACAACTTATGGACATTATATGTGCCATTATATACATTGTAGTGTCCCGAAATCATAGTGCTAACTCCAATATATTCGATAAAATAAGTCTATATGTGAATTTTTGGAGTTTACACATAAAATGGCTTTCTTTAATCCCGTCAAGAAAAAAATATGTAATAAATATAATATTTATATCCTGAATGTTTAAAAAAAATGACAATTTTTTATCCAAAGTTTTTAAGGATAACTTAAATAGAAAAAATATTAAACAAAGTAATAATATTTTCTAGAATGACTAAACTTTTATATTTATTTATCATTTGTATCTATGTTATATACAAGGGCTAAATGTTCCTAACATTTTCTGAGCTTGACTAAAGTTGTTTATAGATAAGCTTTACTGTAAAACCAGTAATCTTCTAATGTGGCAGGCAGATGTTGTTGCCACAGCTGCCGAGAAATCAGAGAGTCTTCTTCGCACAAATTCGAAGTTAAAGTCAATATGGGACCGGAGCCTTCTCCTGTGCGTGTGTGCTCTTTGTGCAATTGGCGGCAGATAAAGCGAGCCCGAGAGCTGTCCGAGAGCCCGATCGACTGCCCTTTTTGGGAGCAGCTTTGAAGGACGCGATCATGGAACGCTATGGCAAACAACTCAATTTTAATTAAATGTTGCGCTCCGAGAAATAAATTAAGCATGCTGGCCATGTTGGCTGCGCAATATCTGGACAACCTTGGGTAGCGTCTCGGGCAGCAGTGATAAGTGCATAGCCGTTGCGTGACTCGACCCAGAAGACCGGGCGGCTGGATAACAGGTTCCCACCTGGGTAGGCTTTATCAACCGGCACAAAGAGCCTGATTCTAGTATTGTGCTAACGCTTAATTATGTGCCACAACAAGTATTTTCATTCAGCCGAGCCACAATCGTTGTACTTTAATGCATTGTCGTAGTGATTTTAGCAGCTACTTCAGAAACGCTTGAAGGCGATTCTGCTGCGATTTGCTAGCGTCTTTAAACGCGCTCGATTTTAGCTGGGCGGCCAGTTGTAGCAGTGCGTTTTGCTTCTGGGTCTTGGACTGAGTTTTGGCAACGGCGGGCGCTGGTTGCGCTGGCTTCTTCAGTTTCTTCTTCGACGTCTGATTGGGGTTTTGGGAAGCTATACCAACGGGTTGGGAAGCTTTGTTGGTTGGCTGCTGCTGTTGTTGCTGGGGCGTTTTTTGCAGCTGCGGAATTTTCAGGCCTGCATTGATATCTTTATTCGGCGCCTGTGACTTCTTCTTTTTGGCCTTCTTTTTGTTTTGGACCGCTGCCGCAGGTTGTGTGGTTGCCATTGTCTCCTCCGTGGCTTTGACTTTGGCGCGCTTTCGGCCCTTCTCCAGCGGCAGCATTGTCTTGTGCTGGCAAACTTCGCAGTCTACGCCCTGTGGAAAGAGATTCAACTTTGGTAAGCGATGCAGAAATACATAATTTATGTTTTAAGTCAGTGTTTAGAAACAGCTTTACTAAACATGTTAAATTTTAAAAATGTTGTTGTAAGCAATACTCTGGGTAAGAGCTATAAAGGCTTACAAATACTTAGAAACCATGCTTGCAAAATAAATCTAATCTTCCAACTTCTCAAATCAATATATGTAGTTTTTAATGGTTACCAATTTATAATTCTTAAAATTTCTTTACTTATGTAAAATGTAAGATGTGATATTTCACATATATATACACACACATCATATTTACTAATTATTCAATTATTCATTAATATCAATCTTGATTGTTTTTTTTTATTCAATTGAAAACTTTTTATATCGCGTTAATTTATCAATTGAAAACTAATTTTACCCAACTGATATATCTTCTACCTAAATAACTACCTACACACGTCTGATTAGCTTCTGGCACTTACCATTTGGCTGGCCATGCGCTTCTTCAGCCACTTTGCCCGTTTCCTGGCTCCAATGCTCATCTCGCCCCTTGTCTGTTTGGCCTTCACGGTTTCCAGCTGGGCGATGAGTCTCCGGTTCTTGGCACTCTGCCTTAGCCTTTGCGGCTGGAGGTGGAGTTGGTAGCGACCGTCGGTCCACTGGTTGCCGCAGCGGGAGCACATGCGTGCCGGTCCGAAGCTGTCCTCAGGCAACTGGACATTGCGCTTAGCCAGCTTTCGGCAGGTGGTTCTAGGTTCATAGGGGATAACAAATGTTGTAGTGGGTGTTGCAGGAATTACAGGACAACTTACATGTAATGCGACTTAAGGAGCCTTTGAGTGTGGGTTTGGTCAGTCAGTTTGGAAGCACAGTTCCACAGTAAATCCAGCGTCTTTTGGTCGCCCATGGCTAAAGGATAAAGATTGCAAAATTAATAATTAAGTTTTTTAGATTAAAATTATAAATACATTTTTAGCTGCAATTATAAATTTTAAATTTACACTTTACCTTGTTGCCTTGTATTTTTGTTTATTATTTCAATGCTGCCGAAAATTATCTTATAATTTTCTTATGTATGTACTCTTTTAACAGGAAATGAATTGCGGTCCAAAAAGTTATAATCTTCGATTATTTGTTTTTCAATTTTTTATACATAAATCATTGAAACAAATAGAAAATGGGATTTTTAATCGTAAGAAGATTTCGGAATTCAACGAATAACAAAGTTGAAAAATTTTTATAGTTAATAACTAATAGAATTTATTTTATATTTTCTTAAGCTTAATAATTTTATAATTATAATTTTTTGGATTATAATATTTTCTATGGCTATATCTCAAGCCAAAATAAACAGCACTGATGGCGCAACGTGTGGCGCTCAACAGATGAAAACTCAGATTTCCTAAGTTTAGTCCAATAGATAGTTTCAACTTACCAACAGATCCTTATTTCGTACAGAGTATTATCCTTATAAAGTAAACTTTTAATCGTAAATTAAAACATAAACTAAAACAATTTGTTTTGCACGCCGTGGAAAATGTGGAACAGCTGTTTTCTCGCTCGGTGCCGAGAATAAACCGGTAAAAATGTTGAACCGACAAAACCGATTGCAGAGCTGCCACCCTGCATAAATCGACAGGCCCAAGGAATTCACCACACGCACCAAAATGTGGTATTTCTTCGTGGTCAGTTGAGGGTCCCATGGTATTTGCGCGTCGTTTTGAAATTATTCAACACATCTGAAAAGCCAACCGCCGAAAATAGCAGAAGCGACGCGCACAATTTCGAATGCAAACGGACGCGCAGCCCGCAAGTGATATAAAATAAACATTAGCAGTCGTCGAAAGTCGCCAACGTGGAGTGCTGAGCAGTACAGTAAATTCAATTTTCTAGTGCGCGCAATTACAATTCGCATTTGCATTAGCAGCAGCTGCAGCAACAACAACAATGGACCCGTTTACTCAGGTACGATGCCAATTCGCACACAACGAAGCCCTTTGTCTCGTTCGTTGTCTATGTATTGGTGACTGCATCCGCCGATTTTCAATGCCATTTTCCATTTTCCCATGCAGCACATGCTCGAGAAGGCGGAACAGCGCAGTCGCGCCCTCGGAATCAGCAACGCTAGCAAATTTCCACTCTCCGAGTGCAGCGTATCGAGCTCCACCACCTCTTCTAGCGATGCAGGAGTCCTGGCTCAGAGGAGTCGCTCGCCAGGAGTCCAGAGCACGGCCAGTGCCGGCGGCAAGGTGGTGGTTCTGGACAAGGCCACGTTGGAGGCGTCGCCGTCCAAGCCTCTGCGTCACTATACAGCGGTCAACAAGGAGAACTTGGACATGGGCATTGAGATCAACATAACCACGGACAAGCCAATTGGGGTAAGTTGCCGACTTTTGAGTTCTCCCTCCCCTTTTGCTCACCAGAGCTGGTTCTCCTCCAGGTGCAAGTTGAGATCCAAGAGCAGGAGGCGACCGATGATGAGGATGAAGATACTGGTGCTGACAAACCTTTGTTAGAGGCGGGGCCAGTAAATCAGCCGTTGGCCAGGTTGAGAGATACGTCCCGCAGCAGACTACAGCGCATGGGTGCCCTGTACTCCAACACTGACGACTTATCCTCGCCCATACATCGCACCGAGGGGCAATTCCATGTGACGACGGGTGAGGAAGAGGACAGCGGAAATCGAAGCAGTAGGCAACCGAAGCAGAGATTGGGAAAACTGGCCGCCCTCGCGGACACAATCAATCAGTGGGAGGATGACACGTCGCACCACGAAGTGCACAGACCCCTTGAAGCTCCCCCACCGAAACCGCATTTGTCCAGTCGGAGGCCGGACAAGGCTCCAGCTCCACAGCCACCCCAGAAAGACGAAGTTGATAAGGCCGCCAAAACCAAGCAGCTGAATTGGGATCCTAAGGTATTGAGCTCTCTGGAGGCACAAGGTTTTCAGCGCCGCGAATCTTCGACCATTAAACACACCTATGATTATGCCAAACAGGGAGAAGCGGCGTCAGCTGGCAAACAGGAAAATACGGCAACAGCAGCCAAGCCGCCAGTGCCGGAGAAATCGACAACGGTCAGTCAGGTGGCCAAAAACTTCGCATCTTCTGTTCCGGCGTCGAAGCCCCCAGCACCAGCGCCTGCAGTTAGTGTAAAGTCTGGTTTGGTTTCCGGCCGAGCCGCAATTTTTGAGAACAAAGGAGCTGGTGGGCAGACGCAAGGCAGTCAACGCAACCAGAAGGATCCCTGCGAACTGTCGCTAAAGGAGCGCATGAAGCTTTTCGAGACAGGCAATAACAAGGCTATGCTGCCAATGGCACCAATAGGTTCTGCTCCCAGTATTAGCCAAATTCGGGCAGAGGAAGTGAAACGTAAGTATAGCAGTTCTTTAAGAGTTATTTTACACTTGTTCAATGCCAATTTTCCTAAACAGAGCATTTGGCGGCAGTGCATCCGGTGACAGCTGCCGCTGCTACTACTGTAGTTGCAGCGCCCAAGCCGAAGCCAGAAAGCAAACTGCGCGACAAGGTTGCCGCTTTGGTGGCAAATGCTCAGTCAAGTGCAGAAACTCGCATTAAGGACATTGATCGTCAAAGGCAAGAGGACATGCAGATTATTTCGAATCGCTTTAATAAGCAAAAGGAGCTCTTTGACATTCAACCGGCTGTCAGTTCCGCACCCGCTCCAGCTCGAGCTCCCGCGCCTGCTCCTCCTCGAGTTCCCGCGCCACCCTCCAGCAAAGTAGTGCGGCCCATGCCGCCACCTCCACCACCGCCTATCGCTGGTTTCTCACCCGCTTTAGCCACTACCAAGAGACGTTCACGTAAGAAATAAGCCAACGGCTGTCTTCCAGGAACTTGTAGCTGACACTTCCGCAATTTCAGCTGGTGATGCCCCCATCACTGACGACGATTCGAAACGGGCTCGTAAGCATTCCGATCGCCTGTATCCCGCTCTGTCAGACCTCGATTCAAGCGGTGACAACTGCTGTGCCACCGAAACAGCCTCCGCCACGGACGACAGCCATGAAGTGGATGAAGAGGAGATCGAAAGGTGCGCTGACAAATGTTACTCCTGCTTGCTATTCTTGCTATGCATTGAGTAGCAATTTAAGACTGATAGGCCTAAGACGCTTAGCTTTAAACCCCCAACCCCTAGACAAGACCAATAATAAAATTGCTTTCTTAACTAACCGCTTATCTTTGATTCGTGCAGTTGCATGGATGAGTCGGAGGACCAGTCGCAGACTGAGGACAGCAGCGCCGGCATGTGCAATGGCAGTCTGGGCCGTGAGATAATGAGCGCAGTGCAGCGCAATGAGGAGGAGATGCAGCAGCAGCAGCCTAATAAGAAGGTGAGTACAGGTAGAAATCTAAAAACACAGCGGGCGGTCTCCATTAATACTTTTTCTCACCTATTCAGACCGTGCGCTATGCCGACCAGGATATGTACTACGACGACAGCTCTTTGAACTCGTCGCAGGTATCTGCCGGCATCGATGACTATTTGGATGAAGCACTGGTAGAGGATTACGGCAGCACCCAGGATGATCAAAGCGACAGTGGCGACGAACACAATGCCAGTCGGCTGTCCTTGGGTGTAAGTATTCAAAATCAATTTATATCAAAGAACCTAAATAAAACTATTAAATTCAAATTGAATTACATTTGCAGAGCAAAGGAACCACGCCCTCAACTAGCTTTTCCTTCCGAAAGAATCCAGGCTCCATGTGCACACCTATAGAAGAGCATCAAGAGATGTTGGACCTTCAGACGCCGCTGTTAAGTGGTGCCCAGCCTGTCAAGTCTGAATTGAGCGTAAACCAAGACAATGACAACCTAGTTACTCTAGTGCATACGGTCAGCTTCTATCGCCGCCAGCAGAGTGCTAATGTAAGTTATCTTAAGATTTCCTTTATTACAGTTCTAACTAAAATTAAATTGTTCATAGGGCTCCAATTCCACACCAGTGCGTAAGATCTGTCGAGAGCAACAAGTGATGCGTTCAGCCCTTGCAGGCGATTGTCATGCTAAGCACAGACTGGAGTACGATTCCCCTCAGCAGAGTGAGAACCTAGGAGCAGTTTCGAGTGCCATGGATGACCAGAACGATGAAGACGATGATGAGTTCCAAAATGCTCGGGAAATAAACGAAGCAGCGCAAGCACAGGACAAGATCAAGAAGTTATTGAGCGAGGTGTGCAAGCAGCAGCAGGTTATTGGACAAGCCAGTCAGGCGCTTAACCTTTGTGCGGCAACCGTTGAGTTTTCCGGTTCCACAGAATCTGTTGAGGGAGAGCGGTATCTTTTATTGGCAAGTAAGTATTTGCTTTTATTCCATTTGTTAAATATGTTAATGTTCTCTTTGGGAAAACGAATTTGTTATTTACATTTCAAACTAATTTTGCAAGTTTGGTTTACTAGACCTGTATCAGTTCCCATATCAAATTTAGCTGACATTTTATATGCTTGCAGCCCATCGTCGTCAGGCCTGCTTGGATGAGGTCCAGCGATTGAGAGTCGAGAATAGCATCCGCCCCGTGGGTGCACCAAAAGAAAAGGGGCTGTTGACGGTGAAAGACATAACCATTCCCCTGCGGCAGGAGTACGTGCGTAAAATGGCCTCCAACAACATCAATGGCCATCATCTCGTGTGCTTGCTGAAGTACAACGAGCACGTGCTGGCCACCAAGACAGTACCCACGATGCCTGGTCTGTTGTCTGTCAAGTTTCCCGATGTCCTGCAACTAAACAATGTGTATGCCGATTTTAGGGTAAGCTTTATAAAACTTAATTTAGTTTTACCCATATTGATTGGATCAAAATTCGCCTCCAGATCACGCTGGAAATCTATGGCATGCTAGCCCAGCGAGATCAGCTGCCTCATGAGCTGAAGTACCATATCAACGTAAACAAGAAGGGCGGCGTGAAGACGCCAAAGAAGAAGGGCGGCGAAAACCGGCTGGTGATGCCACCTGTACAGAGTCCGGCGGGGCCGCATGTGGTACGAACACCGCAGCTGGTGCAATACGGCTTTGCCATCTTTTCGTTGCGAGAAATTCAACGTACTACATGGACGCTGACCCAGGTGCTTGGCGTTAGTCCTCTGGAAGGTGTGGTTCACATGAAAGTGAATTGCGAGCTTTCCGTGAGCGTGGAACACAAGGGATTCCTTACCATGTTTGAGGACATCTCCGGCTTTGGGGCATGGCATCGGCGATGGTGCTATCTGAACGGCTCCGTAATTAACTACTGGAAGTATCCGGACGATGAGAAGCGCAAGACGCCCATGGGCAGTGTTGATCTGAATGCTTGTAGTTCCCAGAAGGTGACCACTGCACCGCGCGACATTTGCGCACGGCTCAACACCATGCTCTTGGAGTGCGAACGACCGGCGCTGGATACGGACCAGGAGTCGCTGATAATCGTGCCCAATGGTCGCACAACCACAGTGCGACATCTGCTCTCCGCTGATACGAAGGAGGAACGCGAGGAATGGTGCGCCTACTTGAACAAGGCGCTGACGTTGCTGCGCGCCTGGGGAAACTCCCATTGACCCGCTGACCCACTGCAATTCTGTCAGCAGCATGGACACTGACACTGACACCAAACGGTCGGGTTGTTTAAAGTTTTTTCTTTTTAAGTTACTTCATTTACTATTTGCGTTTGTCTTGATTATGTTATATGTTTCGGACTTAAATTATTCGTATTCCGTTTTCTAGTGGGACACGTTCGTGTTCATTTAAATCGACAAAGTATTGTTTGAATATCTTTTTATATATGTACATTGCAAGTAGGATGTCTCGCTTAATATATAATATATAATAATAATAATATTGTGTAAATCCCAGTAAAAGGCTGCCGCCATTTATACACTGAATATTTTATATTTTATTGAATACTTTTATACACGTACACATTTACATTCACATATATCGTTTGCAAGAACTCGTGGCTATGAAGAAGTGGCTACGTGGTTTCCGCGTGTTAACTATCTTTATATCTTTGTATTTCTGACCATTCGGAATCTAACAAGTGAGAGTTAAAGCTTGCGTGTTATCACGACGCCGGCTGTTCTAGTGCCAAACTCCGCTTCGGCACCAGGTTGCTCCGTATCCGTAGCCGTATCCGCATCCGTTTCGGTTGAACGGCTCGTGCGCGGTTTTTCTGTACTGTGTAGGTGGTTCATGTCAGGTAGTTCAGTGTGTCTGCTTTGTCTTCTTTGGCCATTTGAATTGACTCTACTCGTAGTTTGGAGATAACTTCCTTACGTATGTACTCGTATGTCACTTGGCCGTCGGCCTAAAGGCTATCTACAAAAGTGGAATACGCATTGCCGTCGGCGGAGTGTTCAGTGTGGGATTCCTCTAGTTCACAACACTATCAAATGTATAGATATATATATATATATATATAGTTTTGGTATAGGTATATATTTTGACTTGAATCTGCTGTTAGTTGTAAATTCTCCAAAATTATTACAGTTTGCCAGATATGCAGGATATACTTGTGCTTTGTACAACAGTAGCGCTCTCGCTCTGGATCGGGTCCGGAATACAATTATATATATTATATACACATTCAGTGGCGAAGGAGGAGGGAACAATTGAAGACGAGAGCCGCTACTGTGCGGTAATGCAATCGCTGGATTCGGATACACTGCCTCAAACTGCTTTGGATATTCCGCTAAGCAATCAAATTGTCAACGTTCGCTAGAATATTACGGGTATAATACTGAAGGATATTTCCATATATGTAACACTTCTCTGTTCTGTACTCGTGTGGTTGTGGTTGTTGGTTTTGTTGTTGTTGGTGCAGTTGCAACGCAAATATAAAGCTGAATTTCGATGCAAGTCTTGGGGTTGCTGAATTTAGATTCATCTAACCTAAGCACTAAACCTTAATCGGTGGCCAATATAAAATTGAAAAAATAATTGCCTAAGCTTACTCATATTCGTGTTAGTGTTCGTGTGTGTTAGTGTGTTTGTTAGAGTGTGTGTGTTGCTATGCACCTTTAATGAACATTTTAAAATTCAACACTTAAGGCTACAACGGAATGTACAGTAAACAATTAAATAAATTAAACGGTAAAACGATATGCGTAGAATACTATACATAAAAGACAGTCACCGGGCCGCCGCGAGTTCCCTACGGGATGGCAGCCCCACTGGCGGGCACCTGGGCGTTCTGGCGCCGCAGATCCGACTGGGTGATGGCCGTAATAATTGTGCCTACAATCAGCATCACCGCCATGGTTATGTTGGCGGCTATGTCGCCGAATGTGGTGAACAGCTCCGAGTAGAAGAGCGTGAAGCAGATGCCAAAGGTCTGGGCGGAGGCGTTCAGCAGTCCGGATGAGGTGCCCTCCGGCTCTGGGAACGTCAGTTCGGCCCCAAACTCAAAGCCCACCGGCAGGTAGCCAGTCATGAAAAAGCTGCAAAGGAGTTAAGTTAACAGAAACAACTTATTCGTAAACGTTAAAAACATTAAATTAAACTATAAATATTTTATTATATAAAGAAATTTAAATGACATTTAATGTTTAAAGAATCTAAAAGATATAAGATAGACTTACCCCAGTAGCGACGCCGTTAGGTAGACCACTGCGATGTGTCCTGTGTCCAGGGTGAAGGTGAAGATCCACATGCCCACCATGGACAGCGCGTAGACCGCCAGCGTCGTTTCCCTGGATGGATGGTTTAATTACATTGAGTACAGCTCATTAACCATCGAGAGCCCCTTATTCAATTAATAACAACTTCTGCAGCTGCCGTGCTAAAACTTTCTCAAGCATCTTACTCCCACGAGCAACTGGGCCACACGGCGTATGCGTAATGAGTTTCAAACATGTTGCGGAAGGCCCTTCAGCTGTTTATTGTTGTACTTACTTGAACTTGTGCGTCTTATCCAGCACAATGCCCGATACCACGGAGCCCAGCATTCCGGCCAGCACAATACTAAGGCCAATACGTCCGGCGTCCACCTCATGGCCAGGATAATACTTCAGCACCACCTGCGAACAAATCCCAGCAATTAGCCTCCATTAACCGCTCATTAATCGGGTGAAGAGTTGAGCTCATACCGGATTCAGGAGCGTGGAAATGGCGTAGAACACGCCTACATTGATGCCGTAGGAGAGCAGCAGGAAGATGAAGTTTCGGTTGGTCATCAGGTTCTTCAGCGACTGCATGAAACTGACTTGCTCCTCTCCGGAACTCTCCAAAAGTTGTGCTGCCTCCTGGGCGGCGGATGGTGGAGTGGGCGGCTTGTCCTGGAAAACTAAAGCCAGGTGAGACATATTAACGGATTATCACTTTTGTTTTTGAAAAGTTTCTTCCATAAACTTAAAGATTTTATGTGGAACATTTTTAAGAAAGAAAACATTTTTATTTAAAAGTACATAAGTGTTATGTCTTGTCAACGCCTCATATTTATATTTTAACTTTTTAAAGGTTATTTTCTTTGAACACTTTACGACAGAAGCTAATAGGACTATTCAGATTAATATCTATTTAGATAAAACTTTTAACTTAAAAGTATTACCTACAGACCGTACAACTTTGACATTTAAATAGATACTAAAAAGGCCATTTGGTTATGTTATTTTGATTTAAATCTATTTAAGTTCAATACTATTAAAGCTTAAAGAGCAAAATTAAATCATATTAAAGGCATTCACTTACATAGCACCATGAGGACGAGCAGGATGCTGGTGAGGCCAGCCACCAAGTAGAACATCATCTGCAGATCACTGCCCACCGTCTCCAGATCCGGCGAATTCGGCACCAGCATGGGTGGCAGCACAAAGCCAACAGCCACGCCCAGCTGGAAGAAAGGAAGAGGGCGGATTTCTCGATTGTACACAAGTTGCTCAAAGCTGAATCTGTTTCCGGTTCCGCTACTGCCTCGGATGCCGCCGCTATTTTTGCTCCGCTTCCGGACTCTCACTCTCTGCCACTCTCACCCCGCCCCGACCCATGGACTGATGTTATTCACGCTGCAACTGTGAAATTGATTTATAGTGGGCCTGGCCCCGGCCAGATAGATATATATATATATTCCTGCTCCTGTCCCGGATCCCTTCAGTAACTGCTCTTTCTCTTCTCTGTCGCCGTTGTGTTTTTGTTTTCGTCAAAGTTTGTGGCGCTGTTTTACGGAAAAAAATAGATGTACACCCCGGGCCCGGCTGTGACAGCTCCGCTTTTTCTGCACACGCCAATGCACAAAGTTGAGCCATGCAATTTTTAGTTATTTTCCTTGATTTTTTGTGCAAGACTGATAGGGTATCATGTGGATTATGTAACGGATGGAAAACAGGTATATCTCCATTACAAAGTCCACTGACAAGCAAGTCCACCCTCAAGCAATTTGAAATTATTTAATGCCATTAAATTCGATAAACAAATACATTTTAAAGGCATATTTCATAGGGTATCTATCAGTTTATTTTTACAAATATTGTTGCCATTTTATTTATCACTTTTTTCGCGATGCTATAAATTGGTTTTAGTGGCAGTGGCGGTATTTAGGGCCAAGTGACATTTGACAGTCAGGAAAATAAATTGGACCATAAAAGCCTTTTTTAGTAAAAAAAAAAGATTTAACCAAAACTCGGCTAATGGTTAGTTTAAAAACACAAGTTAAAGCAGTTTGGGGATTTCATGCAAGCCACATATCGGGTTTATTCAATTAATGAAAGCCTCTCGGGAATGTTTCTATTTTAATTGAACTGGAACACCTGCCTTTTGTCTCGCAAATAATCAGGTGAGACCCAATTGTTTTCATTTAAGCAAACAAAGAGAATGTCAGCCGGTCGAACGGTTCAGCTTCACACACAATAAACCAAGCGGAGCTTTTCTCTTTTGCAATAACTTTCGGTTTGTCCAAACAAAGGTGCGCAGTCCTGGAGAGAGGGGAAAACTCAATTCCCGCTGAAGTGAAATGAAAACCTTTGGCTCTTTCGTGACCAAACAGACCAACAGATACCAACTGAGGAGCTGCAGGTGGTCCCAGCTCCGGATTGGGACACCCATTTTATGGAGCACGCAAACAGAATCGGGTTTTCCCTTTGCCATCTTTACTTAAGGAGATTGTATTTTCGGTTGGTAGTTGGCCGTTTGATTTTATAGCAGCTCAACTATCGAAGGATATAGATTATCCTGTATAAACTGATTTTTTCCCATCAATTGGGGTTTACCTTGAGGAATCTCGCGGAGATAACATGAGGAAGATTACAGTTGCAGTCAGTGGGGCTTTCGACACGGAAAACCAATTATGGAAATGTATATACTTTCTAGGTAGATAAACAAACCTCGTAAAAATAGTTTCAAACCTAAATTTCTTTAAATTCTTTTATTATTCTTCTTTAAGTGAGAATCTGATGCCCATGAAACAGTTTCAATTAAATAAAATTCAGTTATGAATTGCAAATCAAACAAGGTTACATATATAGCCTTTCCCGCCATATTTCCCATAAAATATAAAATAATAAATGCCAAGGATCCAGTTCATAGGCGCCAATAAATTTAAAATAATTCCGCTTGATTCGGCAATGAAACTGGGGATTGGTATAATCGAGTAAAAACAGAAATGTGATTTTGAAATACCCGGGCAATATGAGCCTGAGTATATTCATAGAATTGCAACCATTTGCATAAATGTATTCGAGAGATGGGCCATAAACCAGGCAGATGCCAGGAGCTCATCTCCATTCCCATTGCCCTTCCTTTGTTCCGGCTATTTGGACTTTTACGAGGTAACCCAAAAGGACATTCGAGTGGGACACTCGGCTGCAGTCTGAGCCAGTCTCTCCATGGTATCAAGAATAAATATTTGAGCCGACTGGAGATGTAGACGGTGACGGGCTCAGAGAATCGAGCGTCTGAGCCTCGTTTGGACTGCCGTTCCGCCGGAATGCTCGCGTGCGACCCTGGAGAATGTTATTTTCGACTTGGCGGCACAACTCGTTCCGGCCGTGTTTACATGACCATCCGGAACCAAAAAAAAAAAACCAAGAGCAAGTAACAGAAATAAAAAAAAACGAGGGAGAAAAGAAACTGTGTTTGCTCAGCACTCTGGCAACAATGCTCCTCCGCCAAATCCGCTTCAGCTCGGCTCAGCCAGTCAGAAATCAGAGATTTGGGGGCGGTGAATGGTGGGTGGCTGCAAGAGCGTGTGGTGCGTCGTCCTTGCCAGATAAGGCTGCCAAGGCGATTGAGCTGGGTGGCTGGGTGGCGTTAGCATTCAATGTCACTCGGTATGTGGGCCATCTACGTGGCCCCATGCTGCGTTTTTTATGAAGGCTCTTTTTTTCGGGCACAAGTTCGGTTTGGCATTTCGACAAGAGATTACCCGGGCTGGCTTTAAGCCCTTCGCCCTCCTAACCCAATGCCACTCCCCGTCAACGTTCGCATCATCATCTCGTCGCCTTCGTCATCATCACGTAGCCCCACATTGTCACATCCCATTGTGACTTCCTACCTGGGACAAGCGGAAATTATAAGCCTTTTCATCTGCACTCGAGTGAAAGGCAAATATGACACACAGGTGCCGTTAGGATGCAATGTGTCTTGCCGGGACGTCATGTGGATGTGGAGGCAAAAGGTGGCTGTGGATATTTGAGCCCCATATTTGCACTTTCAGTCCTCCACTTCTGCTCTCCTGTCGCCCTATGCGCTCGTAAATCAACATAAAGAGCAAACTGTTCCACATCCCATTGCCCTCCATTTCCCCATTCACAGACCCCCCCCCATTTTCCACTCTCCATTTCCCAGAGCCATTGTCATTCATCACCGCCGCACCTGACACTGTTGGCTAATGGCTAAGCAAGCGGCCTAATTGTTTTGCGGTGTTTAAGCCCATAACCTGTCCGATGCAAAAATTGCATTCACAATGCGATGCCGTGACATGAGCATGTTCAATTTTGGCCCAATTTTGGCTTAAACTTAAATCCCTTATTCCTTATTCCTTATTGCTTTAAAAACTGCTAAAATCATTGAAAAACAATAATTTGTTATTCATAAATGGCGTGGCTTGTGAATAATGAATCTTTCATTTAAAAATCCCATTTAATTGAACAGTAATAACATATTTAAAATAAGTAAAGCTTAATTTTTAAAATGTAAAAATCATCTATCAGAATATTTATTTATTTAAGTGCATGAATAATTTTGACCCAGCGTTGGTTTTGATTATAAATAAATAATCTCCTTCATTAAAAACTGCTAAAACTTAGTATACAAATTTTAATGTTCCTGTGCAGGTTTAATTTTTGGGACAAAATTGATTTAAATTTAAAATTATTCTTTAAATTAATTATCTTGTTAAGTTCCAAACAGTTTAGATTCACCCACAATAGAAGAGAATACTTTGAAGTTAATTATTATAAAATAGGGATTTCGGGACTCTTAAGCCTTCTAAAAAGGTCATTAATTATACCATAAACTTTATAGACGTCTTCCCAAGGAAATTGTCTCACCTATAAAAGTGATTTATTGCTTTTCTGCTTCCTGTTTTTCCACTATTTAAGAGTTCTTTTAATGCTAATTCCTTTGTATAATAAAATTCAATTAGCTCCGAAGATAAATTAACTCTAAAAAGTGCAGTGAGCGACTGCAAACATTTTCCCATTTCCGCCTCAAATTAGCAAAAACCCTTTTAAGGTAAGACAATCTCACAACAGCTAATGGCTTAATGGACCTTAATTCGAGGAAACAAGCGAATAAACAAATTTTCCCTGACACATTCCAAATTGGTTTATGGTTAATGAAAATGTCTCCGCCATTGGCTTACGGAATTTTGCGGTCTTTCATTCTCGTACAGAACATTCCCGTAAAAGTCAAATAATCAACTGGTCGGTCGGCCGCAATCTCGAGTTGTGCACTTGCAACCGCATAATGCATGTCACCTCACCTCATCCGACCTCATCCAGCCTCCTCCCAACGGTGACATTTCAATTGTCCAGCCCCATTGGACTACGGCGACCGAAGGTATCCAGGCAATCACTTAAGCTCCGGAGAATTTCGGAGAGGTCATTTCGTTTGTTTGTCGCAGCTGAGCAGCTGAATAAATTGAACCTCTTGCCGCTGGCCAGAGATGCGGATACAGTGCGCCAAATTGAATCCACTCAAAGAACCTTCCGCATGCATTACCATTGGGAGCCATTGAGGCAGAAAAGGGGGCGTGGCACCGGTCACCGGGCACGGGTTGACCCTGACGTTGTCAGTTTTGTTTAACTTGTGCGCCAGTTCGCAACTCTTTTGGGCAATTTCATGATTGCCTGGCCAGGATTCACAGGGCAGCCGAAGCACAAAAATGCCGGAGCAAGCCACTTCCGCCCCACCGGAAGTGGGCTTGTCCCACGTCCGCATTCGGCCTTGCCCGACTTACTGCATCAATCTAGCAAAAAGGGGCGGGCCACTGCCTTTTCTGTGTTAATGCAAATTCAACGGCTCACTAACTCACAAGACAATGTTCGTAACGGCTGACATGGCAGATTTCCCATCAATAACGACTGCAACATGGAAGCTGGATGCATATGGATGCAAAGACCAGACCAACTCACCTGGTTGCCAAAGACTCCCACGCTGGTGGCCGAGGATACCTGGTCGGGACCGAACCAAACGGCAGCCAGACGGGCAGGAAGCGACAGGATGCACACCTGTGCCAAAGCAACGATCGACTGGCCAATGAAGCTCACATAGAAGAGCGACGGATCCACCGAGAAGACCTTGATCCAGGCACCCACACATGTGCCCACAATGCCAACTAGGGCGGTAATGCGCAGACCCTGTTAATGACACACAAAAGTTAAACAATGGCGGGCAATTAATAATGGAATTGCTAGAGGAACAATGGATCCATGAGTACAACTAAGAAAAGTGGTTTAAAAACTCAAAAATTAAGTTGAAATTCCCCTCTATTTAGTCTATAAGAATATGTAATGGTGAACTAATCACTCAGATTCCGATAGCCAAAAGTATTGCATATTCTTATTAGAAAAACTTTTGTCTTTTCTTGGGTGGAAACTAATATGTTGACGTTACTAAAATGTTATTCCTAAAGATAAATCATAACTAAACATTTCTAAGTCTTAAACTAATTTCAAATTCATGCCTCACAGTGCCGCAACTTACCACTTTATCCAAGAACCAACTGCCAGGGAATATGAGTGGTATGTACAGGATCATATAAATCATGGACGTCCAGTCCACCCACTTATCACTGATGCCATAGTAACTGCGGGACAGAACAGAGAAGGCGGAGGCGCGATTAGAAGGGGCAATTCCCATGGCGAGGATGCAGTTGTCAACGAACGGGAAGTTAATTTATTCAGCGCCATTCATTAGGCCCCCCCGACCACAGTCAAGTTGTTTAATGAGCTTTATGAAAACTTTTAACGAAATATGATGCACGATTTGCCGGAATCGCAGGACCTTCCCTCGCAGCCCGAACACTCACCGTGTTATTATGTTGTTGATGATGGTGTATTGTATCCATTGCATGGCATTCGAGGATGAATAGAACACAAAGAGAATGAGCACCGCCCAGCGTCGGGCGTAGACTTTGTAGCCTGAAAAATAGGAATAGAATGCGAGCCAGGTGAAAGCCACTTCAAAATGTTCGTGGAACGGCACAAGGCTTCTTATCCTGCCACGGAGCACCATCACCCACACCATTACCCCATGTAGCTGCACCGGATTAACTGGATTAGGGGGCAGGATTACACTACTCACTCACTCACTCACTTACTACTTACTACTTATAAGGGGCTAAAGGCTAAGGCCTTTTCCGAAGCTAATATCCATGCAAATGATTCCGCCCATCCATACACCCACGCCCCATTATCATAATAAGTTGATCCGCCCTTTCTGTTTCGTTAGTGATTGCCTGGCCTTGGAGGGATTTTTGGTACTTCTCTCAAGGTCGAACTTAAAGGCTTCCAAAGTCAAAAGTTAGTCTGTTCTTTCGTTATACAGACAAGGATTTAGGTCCTTGTTGCCCATAAGTATCCAAATAGGTCTTACCTTTCTTAATCAGACTTAAAGTTTCTGCAAAAACATTTAATTCAAATTTAATTGGTATTTATAAGGCACTAGGAACTAACTTTACTAGTCATACTAATGGCGTTTAATTTTGAATAATGGTTGCTTGAGTTCTATTAAACTGAAGTCTTCTGAATAAAGTCTGTATATTAACTTAGATAGCTTAATTTTGCTTTGATACCTTTAACTAATTTTCCCTGATAAGCTTACGGCAAACTTAAAAGTTTAACTAGTAATTTAACAATTAACTTAAATATTTTAGTACTGCTTGAAATGCATTTAACTTATATTTAACATTTCTGTTTAACTTTGTAAGTAGCTCAATTATTTCTAATAGCTGATTTAATCATGATTGATCTCTTGGGCTTTGCTAATAACGCTCATTATAAAACAAAAACGTGCAATCCAAACTATCTTTTTTCGCTTTGACCCAAATTGAACTTAAATAAGGACACAAACTTCGATGCAAATGAAGTGGAAAACTTTGGCTTTAAAGGAAAATAAGTGCACTCCTGACATTCGCTTTTATTTCGCTCATTTGTGCGCACTTTCAGTTTTCCCAAAGGAGCCATTTGCGTGCGATGAAAAACTAGCAAATATTTATGATTAAAATGTTTGATCACAAATAAAACCGTGAAATTACAAACAACGGTAAGCGAGGTGCTGTTTGCCTTTCGAATTAAATGGCTTATTTAAGCGCATTCGACTGTATATCATATATAGTGTATAGTATATGGCATGCATTGGATTGTGTGTATTATATAGGCTTTTGATTCTATTTATATCCATCCCTTTTTTGTTCCAATTTGTGACAATCCAGAAGCGACGTCACTAACTTTTCGGCTTGCATGGCATTGAAAGTACAAAACGCTTTGATGCCGTTCTTTATTTGTATTTTTCAGTTAAAGCACGTGTATGCACAAACACATACATAGCTACAATGGCCGGGCATATGTTTACTGTGCACTGTGAGAAATCGAACTAGTATTGGGATAGGAAATTAATAAATCGCAAGAATAGTCCCAATTAAGCTTGTACTTCTTTATTCCTATTTTTTAATAGCAGATAGCTTTCCAATATTTTAGTTTCTTAAGTAAATAGTAGTAAAATACACTGTAAAATATTTCAAGTCTTAGTAGTTATTTCTCTCAGTGCCTGCAGGTAGGTTTGCATTTAAGTGAATGTGCGGCTGCGGCTTTGGCAGGCTTTTGCCAAGTGCATTTGTGTCTGGTTGTGTGGTGCTCGGATTGCACTGCATACAAGTGCCCGCCACCGTTGCACACCCCTTAACACACACACACACACAAGCCCATACACCCAAACACCCATCCTTCCAAAGACACACACACCACAATCACAAACACAGCGATACTATTGCCTACCTTGAGGTGCAGTTAAGCCAAAATGGTCGTTCATGTCTGACATGCAAAGTGCAGTTGCAGGTGCACACTCACACACATTCATAGCGGTAAGGTAACTACTCGTGGCATGGAATGCAAACTATGCATGTGTTTAAGTAATACAACATTGCTGCCACATTGTCTCAGCTGAGCGAGCAGACTGCGGAACTCGGTGGATTGAGCATAGATTGCAATCGCAAACATTTATACAGTTGTCATTTAAATAAACCTAAAATAATATTATTAAATGGTCTTTGAATTTGGTTAATACTTTCTGAATAGCTTTGAGGTGGAACATAAATATCAATCTCATGTTGCCAGCTCAAACACTTGTCTCCATTTTGCTTCAATCTTGATTGAAGTCATATCAGTTCCATGGAAATCAAATACTACATCACCCCACCAAAAGATATTTTTGTAAATTTCAAGTACCTTTCTTGACCACTATAGATTGAACTATTTCGATTAGAATACTATCCGAATTATTAATCTTATAAAAGTTTAATACACAGATAGTGATTCTCTTACTTAAAAATGTTCTTCTTTTCTAGTCAGTCCATGTTGCCACCCAAATCCTTTTAGCCATATGACTTAAAGTTGTTATGATTGGTTAGTATCTTACATTAAAGAGAATAGTTTTAGAGTCCAGAGGTACACGCTGAAGATTGATCTAGCTTGAGTTAGTTTACTTGGTTAGTTTAGTGAATGAGTTTATTGTCTTAGTAAAACATCAACAAAAATATACTGTTTAGTAATGTGAAAGATTTGGAAAGCAACTTTGTGTATTCTTCTTTTAAAAACATGACTTTATATCACTCCAAATTAGTTAGTTAAATATTGCAGATTGTTATTTCCAATTGGGATAACCACGGCCTTTAATATATTAGTATCTTAGTTAGTTAGTTTTAAGATAAATGTAGAGATTTACAGTTTCAGAAAAGCCGATATCAAAGTAAAAATAATCATAAATAAATTACCTTCGGCTGGGGCGTTCTGTGCTCCGGCTGCCTTGGCCGCCTTGCCCTCCTTTTCCTTGGGCGTGATCATGTCTGTGGACTTGCTGGTGGCTATGAAGGTATCGCTGTTCTCGGCAGCTCCACTGGCACTGTGCTTCAGATCCATCCAGTGGGTGGAGGTGGGTGGTGGTTGGTGTTGGTGCAGCTAGCAGCTATCAGGTAGCAGCTGGGACAGGTGTAAATTCTGGGCGGTTGTGCTGTGGCAGCGATTGCCGTGCTCGGTGGTGTCGTTGGATAGCTGTGGTGGTTTGCTCGCTGTTCTCTTCGGTGGCAATCAGAATCACTCGGGGCAGTCGTGGTTGCTCAAAGTTGATTTTCGAAAAGAGTTCTGCAAGCAGACAGAAATTTCAATTCAATTAAATAGTTACATCACTCAACGAGTTCAGTTTGGAAATTTAGCTAACCATGGCGAATTTGCATAGAACATGCATGTAGTTTGTGGTCGTCGAAAGTAACATAATAATATTGTGGTTTACTAACCAGCGTCGTTTATGGATTAGCGTGGATTAATATTGCTAATGAGGTTATTGTATGCTGACCCTGAACTTGGAAACATTCCAGTTTATATCTCACAAAAGACAGAGATATAGTTTACAAGGTGAGATTAGTTTGAGCTAGAACAGCTGCTTAAATAGCATTGAAACTCAAACAGAACTCATTGGGAGAATGCATTTCGTTCCACTTGATAAACAGACTTGAGGTTAGTTGATTAGTTAACACAACAATAAATGATTTAATGATCTATTGCTCTATAATAATTGCACATAAATCATCAAAATTTACCTACATTAATCATGGTTTTGTGCCTAATATAGATTTAATTTTAGTAGTTAACCACTGTTAATAAGACAAACGAGCAAAAAGTGAGCCATCAATTGTGAAAAATACCCTTTAATGGCAGGCACTGTAAATAATTGCTGACCCCTTTCAGATCTGATTTCAGACTCCACCGAAATGCCGTGGTTTTTGGGTGAACCAAAGCAACTTAAAAGCCGATATTAATACGCCTTAATTAGCTTGTTGACTGGGGCGATTACACGCGAATTTCCATTTACTGCTGTTGTGACATTGCAATTTGCTTTAATAAAGCCATTGAATTGAATCAAATTTAAGCACGGAATTCACCCTCACGGCCACTTGTTGCTCTGCCTCCGGATTTTGGTACCCGGATTTCTAGATTTTTCAGCATCAGCATCAGCATCAGCTTTTAGCTTTTAGCTTTAGCTTCAGCTTTAGCTGCGGATTTGGCCTCAGCTTGGGGCTTTGGCAAAATGCAATCAGCGCAGTTGACTGACTTTGACTGAATGTGCCGCCAAATAAATTGAGTGGATTGCCAAATTGGAATGCCGGATTCCGGTTTGGATTCCGATTTGCATTTGGGTCGCTATTTCTGTGTTTTATTTTCACTGATAGTTTTCGCCGCCTCATTTGGCACGTGCATTGCTGCTATTGCTGCCATTGCCATGGTATAATGTCATTAGCTGCAATGAGATGAAACTGTTTTTTGCGCCAAGAGACATGTCGTGTGCCACCAAAAAAAGGTTTTTCCCTCCATTTCCATATCGGCTAATTAGATCGCTCGTTTTGGCGCTGATAACAAATGCCAGCCAATTGAATTTCAAATGGTTAATCACTGCATTTAAATCATTTTGCCTCATAATGAGCGCCCATGGAGATGGGATGGATGGGGAGATTCCGCCATTAAGATTCTAATTCGCACAGGCGAAGGCTGCTCATCGAGCAGAGATAATTGCTGGCTTTCGAAGACCTCGATTGTGTGGATTTTTCTCAACTAGTTACTTCTGATCGCAATGAGTCGAAGGAATTTGTATTGTTTTTATTTCTGTCGAACACTTAAGATTAGCGTCATAGTTTGTGGTTGCCCAACCCAATCGGCGGGAGGTTGCTCTTCGTCAAGATAAATACTCGTAAATGGAGTGGGTATTTCGCTCGAAGTCGATGAGTATATGACATTGATAACAAGGTGATAAGATGGATTCTAGACGCCGGCAACACGAAAAAAACGAATCTGACTTAAATAAACACAAAATTTCACAAAGGTACAGACTGTAGGGTATTTAGAGCTTTAGGTCAATTCGATTTGATTGTGGTTCACTTTCAGAGGCTTAACTGCTGCAATTATGATCAGAAAAACTGAAATTAATCTGTTATTTCTTACAGTTTTTTAAACAAACTAAATTTTATATTAAAAGCTGATCAAATAAATAATAAACAAAGGGATTTAATTAACCAAATTCAATATTAAAATGTTAACCAACAATCTAGTGATGTTTTACGCCTTCTAAGCTGTATTATATTTGGTTCATTTCAAAAATATATCGAATCTGTTATTATTAGATTTTGTTGCGTAAGGTCATAAACTCTTTTTCCATCTCTTTTTCAGTGATATTTTTAAAATGTGCATCAAGGCATAAAGTTTATCAGCAAGAATTTTATGCACACAAGAAAATTGAAAAAATACTTTTAAATTTCTTCTAATTTAGATTAAATCTCCCTTTTTAATCATAAATCAAATATTAATATGAATCCATTTAAGTGATAAGCAATTTATACACTCTTAATGCTGCAGTCTTTTCAAATTTTCATAATTATCTCACTCGCTAGTTTATTCAACGTTAAAACACTAAATTACGATTAGTAATTAATCTTTACTTTATGTTATGAATATTTTTTCACTTGTCACATAACATTTATCACTTATCACTTAATTTAATATTTCACCCGGACTGATACTGATTAATATCGATGACTAATTAGTGCTTATCTGCATTATAATTTAAGTTTTTACAGAGTCTGGAATCTTGAATTTGTATTAAAGTTTTCCTCAGTGCAGTTACAAATGCAGTGATTCCGAATCAACGTAAATAACTTCCCGAACTGGGTGGCATCGGAAATTGGCTTTCAACCACCCACGTGAACCAATAACACGCACGTACATTTTAAATGGGGATTATCACGGGGCCAATAGCCGAAAACGATGGGGTTTCACGGTGGGTCAAGTCAAACCTCGTTCGTTGCTAAAAGCCACTCTTCACCCACTTTGGCACTCTTGCTTGGCACGTTCTTCGCGGGGCAACCACTGGGCACGGAGTAGTGGGCTCCGAGCAGCTGATGAAGACGGTACTGAGCCGCCGGAGAGTAGACCTACGGAGCACGCAATCGCGAACGGACAAAGTGGTACTGAAAACTGAAACTGATTCCGAAAAGCGCTCAACTCTCCGCCATAAACAGCGATGTTGATTTGCAAAACGCTTTCGGCTCGTTCACTTGTTATTGCTGCAAACAGCTGATTTTGGGTTCGCCGCGATGACAACAAAGTAATCCAAACACACTCACTTCGAGTGCCCTACGGCCGAGGAGCCTCTGTGATAAATGGTTAGGAACTGTTTGGCAGTCTTTGACTAGCATTTGATTGTTTTACGAGTGACTCGTAACGCTTTTAGAGCAGTCAGTTTGGTTTTATTGTTGTTTTCCTTTCCGATTATCGCCGAATCGAGTGACAAATATTGAAACACGTTTGCCAGACCTGAGTTGTAAAGTTTTTAGTCCACCGGTTGACCCGCTTTTGGCAGGCACTGTGGGGATGTACGTCTGTGCCAAGCGCACGGACACTCATTTCTGGTATCGCGTCTGAGCACAAATCCAGCTGTCGTGAATCAGCGTACAGGCAACACCAGCTTGATTGAAACCTTTCTTTTGATTAATGGGGTTAAGATTGTAACTATCTAAATCTTTTTGAAGTCGATAAGCATTTAAGCGATTGATTTTCATGAAAAACTTAACTGCATTAACTTATTAATGATAGTCAAAGATAAATATCTAAAGGGACTTGGTCGCTGTTAAGGCTGTTCCAATAATAAATAAACCATTTTTAATACATACACTTAAGAGTGCTTATAGAATATAAATTAATTAGGAATTTGGTATTCAAGACCATAACTTGGCAATACCTTGGATAATAGAAAACTATAATAAATTGTGTAAGTCTATTGAAAAGGTAAAGTGCCTTAAAGTTTTTTATAAAGTAAAATCATTTTCCTAATCAACTAATTCCAGTTTTCCCTACTTATTAGGAAATTAAAAAAGGATTACTAGTAAATCATTCAATTTAATCCAGTCCTAGTAGCGGTCTAAAATATTTCAAGGCCTAACTTACTTTAAATACATTTAGCTGTGGCTAATTAATTATTCAAGAGTTTTAAATGCCCGATTTCCGCAGTTCACCTTAACGCTGTCCCCCTGTACTGGGGACACAATTGCATTTGCAATCCATTTTAAATTTTCTGTTATTTGTTTAGCACTACTCCGCCCCTACGTCTAGCTGCCCTCCTTTTTTACCGAGCGAAGCACGTGTATTTCTGGCTTCCCACCTCGAAACCCCTCGCTCCACTCCTTCCGTCCAACCGGTCTCTTCATACTTTTTATTTTGCTGTTTTTGTGGCTTTTATTGAATAATTTGCCTGCGGGAACTTCCACTTCCCTGGTCGGGCCCTCCGGTCTCTTTTCGTATTCCAGACGTCGGATCTGGCGGATCCGGCGGTGGTCGCAGCGTGGTGGCGACGCCATCGCACTGGCTGGGGGGTCATTATTCGATTAAGGCAAATTATTATGTTTTATTATTTATAATGCAAATATCAGCACAGACACGGCCAGCCGGTGGTCAGAGATTTAGCCGCGGGGTGGGGCGAAAGTGCTTTCATTTGTTTCGAGTGCCTTTCATCGGGCCATGCACTAAGGGAAAAAACTAGAGTTTGCTAGCTAGAGTTCTTGTCTATCATATACTTTTATATTATATTTGATTAGAAATGGTATGATTCCCATTCCCAAAAATTCTAAACCTGTTTTGTCAATGTTTTTTATTTGAGTCACTTCATTGTTTAAACGAACTTTCATGAATGAAGCTTTAAATTTTTTATTTTCTAGTTCTAAGTATATTTTAAGGGGTGATAAGTCAAGTTCACAAAACAGCAAAAAGTCATTAACAAAAATAATTTTTACAAATTAGTCTTAAAAAGTTTTTAACGAACTCTATAATTTCTTATATAGATGAAAAGGAATTCCTCATGGCAAAGTAGGTTTGCGATTTAAAATAATACGTAGAAACTATCCTTAAAAGAGCTTAAAGATCCCCCTTGGTCCGTGGATGAAGGCTTATTGACTTGTGTAACGTTTCTTCCGACCCAAACTTAATTACCAAACTTTTTCTGGTAAGGGAAGTATTTTGAATGTCACCAGTTGTTTTAATTATTTAGTTTACGAGGAAGGTATATTTGTAAGTGACCCAAAATGTATTTTATTTATTTATTTATTTATTTGACAGCTTTATTTACTAACAGCTCATTACAAATTACTTGCTAGCAGAGGGCGTGATCTATAACAGCTGTAGGGCATAACCTCGTCCCAAAATATATTAATAATCTATTTATCTGTGTAGAAAAAACATTTTCAAACTTTTTCTTTTCTTTGAATTTGATAGAACGGAATATTTATAAAAACTTTTAAATCTTAAAACGTCATAGAATATAATTTACATTTTTGGCAGTGGAATAGATTTCATAGATTCCAGACATATCGCCACTCTGCACTTTGTCACTCGGCCTGCGAATATTTTGCGAGGCTCTCATCTGTTTCTACAACTCATTCGCCGATAATGAGCTCGTAATTCAAGTGCTGATAAGAAATGAACATGACATTAGGCCGATTAGTGTATTAGGGTAGAATTACTATTATTAACCGATAGCAACCCGTGTTGTGGGTTTGTAAATCCCGTTGATCGGATGATTTCCACTGATTTTCCTGTCATGTGGAGTGGTCACGATTCAGTGGCTTTAGCTTTTTACGAGTACGGTAAACGTTAATTAAAAAGTCAGTTTATTCATTTAGTTAATATTAGTGTTTACTTAAAGCCTTTACTCGAGAAATCTTAAGCAAGCATTAAAGTTGAGATTTCTAACTCGTGTTGGGATAACAATAAGGTAATATAAATGTAAAGTACCCACTAAAAAGTAAGCTAGGCTTAATCAAATAATGTTTTTTTTTTAGATTTTCTACTAAAAACAACTGAGTTGGCTTATACCTTGAATCCACCTGAGTCCAAGCTACACGTTAAATTATTCAAAGACAGCGAACATGGCGTTATCCTGTAATTATTCGTGGGATAAACGCGGAAAACGTAGCTGCGAACGGGCTAACAAGTTATTTGAATTCCGCACAAAGCTCGAGTCAATCTATTATTCTGCTGGCGATCTAGCAACAAAAACGAATGATATGGCCAACTGTGAACGTAGAAGTCCGTGTGGATTTGCCGGGTCGGAGTTCACCCCGTTGCACCTCGTTTTTCCCAACAAGGCGCGAATGCGAGCCACGGTCTTTGGCGGAATCAACAACCGTATACGCTACTAATGGATTCTCGCTGTGCCACCCGCCCGTAATCCTTTTAAGTCCCACCTCCTAAGCCAATAGCACCCCCCATTTCCACACCCACTTCCACCTTATCCACTTGAGAAGTGTGCAAAGCAGCGCCCGAGGGCCGATTGCAACATTTCTCATGCGCAACGCTGGAAACAATTGCATTCGAGTTGCGCCAGCTTTTGTCTTGATTTCACTTTAGCCGGGCAGCTGAATTCGAAATGCAATTTGTAGCTGACAAGTGGCCGGCGGACACAATGAATCGCAAATTCCAACGCAATCCTCGCGCCAATTAGGCAAAGGACCCAGGGAAAGGGAAATATTTATGCACCCAATTTGAACGTGAACGCGTACGAGGTCCTCGGGCCATTTGTGGCCAAGCTCATCTAATGGCCAACTCCAAATCATAATCATAATCAAGGGGGGTGGGCTAGGGGATCCATTCCTGAGAGGAATACGTTTTCACGCTTCCTTGAAGCGTAAGTGACAGGAAGAATCATGGGGCCATATTAAGGGCCTACAGTGAAAATGCTGTAGGCTAAGCTCGATGTTCCGAAATGTTAAATTGAGTTTGGTGGTTTTATAGAATATCTTGTACTATCTTGAATATTTCTAATTTGCTAATTTATATTTTCATCAGACCTGTTTAGTGTCATATTATAATTTCTAAAAATAATCCCTTGTCTATACAATTTTCGCTCTTAGAATTCACAACACTTAATTCGTTTAATACCATTGGCGTTTTATTTTTTCAAAGTGCGGGATATTAATGACTTGGGAAACTCGTCCCTATTTGTATTTGCGTGAATGCTTTGAGGGATAAGTGGTATCCTGGCTCTTTATGTGGATGCCTCGCTTCAGTGGCTCACCGTCGGGCGGCTCATTAATGCGTCCTTGGTGGTGGGGCAGGCACAGCATTTGTCAGGCCCTTCTTAATCCTCGGCAAATCGCGTAATTATATACGTGCACAATACCACACACACACAGAGAGGGAGAGCCAGCAAACATCCGACTGCCTCCTAACTGCGATATAATTTCCGCAACATTTATTTATTAATTAAAAAATTTGTGCCATTGACGACGGGGGCTTACGGGTAAGCTAGATAAATTACCATAAATTGTATTTTATTGCCCAACTTCTATGTAAATCACAAAGAGAATAGGCGACGAGCTTTTGCAGTGGGCCGCAAAGTACCGAAAATGTGTAGCATACTTCGCAGCGCATTGCGAATTTCCCATTATCAGGCGAAAAGTTTTGGCCGCAGCAGCTGGAGCGGTTCTTGTACCCTTTTTTATGCCTGATGCCTCGGCCACATGCTGCGGTCCATTTTACAAAAGCGGAGGGTTGGGCATTTTCCTCAATTATGCAATTTTCGCTTGGTATCTGCGATTAGTGTGCAGTTTTGTTCGGCTTTCTGCGGCCAGATGCGTTTTTAATTGCATCAAAGACGACTTCCGTTCCTGGACACCCTGCCCAGCATGGACACCCTAGACTTTCTGGCCTTGTCAGTTTCCTAATTGGACATTTGTAATTAACTTCACTGGCAGTCACTGGCGTTTGGGTTTTTTGTTCAGTCCGCTTTCCACTTGGCTCATTTCTCACCATGCAGTTGGCATTTAATGCAGTTGACTCTTATTCCTCAGTCCCCCGGTGTTTTTACTGGGTTATTTATGTATCGCTCGTTACTTTTCGGCGGACTCTTATTTATCGACTGCCCCGAGGAGGTGGACAAGGTCGGATTTAGTTTTTTCAAGCCAACGGTGGGTGGCTAACCCACTGACAAATGGCTGGCAACAGAGGGGTTTAATTGCGTTGGGCGAATGTCTCCCGTTTGTCATAATTAACCCAACTATAGTGCACAGCAAGTGCATTCTGTGGCCAAATGCCGAGTTTAGCATTCATTTGTACTGGCCACCAGGAAGTGGCCTACTTTCTGCCCGAACCAAATCAATAATTTGCTCTATGCCGCTCTATTCCCCCATTAAAGTTGCATGTCTTCGGCTCTGGCGCATTTCTCGAGCACTCAATTACGTGTCGCAAAGGTCCTCCTACTCGTCGGCTCACCTCAATTCTCTTCTATTTTGAGGAACATCCTTGAAATGTGGCAATTGACCTATACGATAAATAGTTTGCGGTTGACTGGGTTTAGTGATAAATGCAATCTGTTATGTCTAACAATCGACCGACGGCATGTATTGCCGTCTGAAATGCGCCAGTTGGGGGGTTCTTTGTCAATGCTGGGAACTTCCCTGAGCAGTTTAGATACGATTCATAACTTCTGATTGCCTCATTTTTTGTGGTTGGAAATAAGTAGCAGTTTTTGTCAATTGTATATTTTGAGGCCAACGAAAGATTTTATGTAGAACTTTCCATTTGATAATGTTTATTTTTTTAAAGCATTTCTATGTACGACTTTGAACAAGAAGTGAAGAATAATTATACATTTATCATTAATTATTAAAAAACTATCTCATAAGTAAAAAGGCGCCTTGAATTAGTGTTAAGTCAACTAATTTATAATAACTACTTTATAGTTCGAATAAAATTTGGGAATAAAGGGTGTTAAATACAAATAATCATTGAATATTGTTTTTTATTTAACCCAATGCTTAGCTACTTATTGTTAATCATAGCCCATTTATCTCCCAAGTTTTGTTTTGAAGAAACAAAACAGACAAGAAGAAATAACACTTTATATTTAAATTTATGCCAAATTTAATTTAGGTCAAAGAATATCTCTAATTTGGTAATGCTTTTTAAGGATTAAGTTGCGATTCTTTAATTGCTAAGAAACTTTCCCCAAAGCGTTTTACTTTTCAGATGCAATGCCATGGGGTAAGAAACTTAAGTAAGTGCTGAACTTAAAACTATCCAAATTCGTTATGGCTTTGGGGAATATAAAGCAATTTATAAAGAAACTTCACATTGGACTTTGAATGCCTGAAACAAAGCCACTCTTATTTAGGATTCAAGATGTCAATTAATTTTGTTTAGAAAGAGTTTCGGAGGCATGCAATGTGAGCCCCGGCACCTGCGCCTTCACCTGCACCTGCTTTAATTTTGTTTTGAATGCCAAGCAGTTTACTTGATATCCTGCCTGATTAAAGGTGAGAATAGATGACCCTGGGCAAAGTGCCTATTAAAGCTAAAGCCGTAATGAGCTTAAGCATTCAATGCTTTGGTTCTGGCTCTTCGGTGGGCCTGCGTCTGTGTGAGAGTGCTTCAGTTCAAAAACCTCCGAAACATTACGTCACAAGCTCGAATCCACACAGACGGGGTGGCGCACACACACACACACACACACTGCATACACCACACCGCACACAGTGGCACACATTGAAAAGTGCTGCGGGCCAGACACCAACACACTGACACTGTGGTGTGGCATAGTATTCATGGCGTGGCACGGCTATGTGGCTGCTGCTCTCGCACATCTTTGCCGGAGCTTTGGACAGGGGCAGCTGTGTGGGTTAAGAGCGGGAACAGGGGTTAAGGGCTCGGATGATGTCTCTGCGTCTGTGTTTTGCAATTGTCTAGCTCTGCTTTTGGGGTTGACTCGGCATTGCCGCTTGCCGTTTGGGCTGGGGCAACAAGGAAAGTATAAAAATGTGAAGACACCTGGACCCGGATCTGGGCAACACTTCTGTCTGTTGTTCCACTCGTTTTTAGCAGGCGGAAAAATCAATTTATGGATTTTAGTTTCGTTCGCATTTGTTTTTATTTTCGTTGGCCTCATCTCGCTTTGACACGTTCGCGCCCCTTGAGCCTTTCAGTGCGTCTGGCAGCTTGTTGATGCCACAAGCAGCGAGGCAAAGGAAATCCTTCAGAAGTAAAGGTCCCTGCTCGGGAGCCACACTCGGCATCGCACTCACAACTCGCAATTAAAGCAATTTCTTTTAATTGCAATCAAATGAGACGAAAACGCTTGCTTCATTACTTACCCTTCGTGGCGTCCTTCGCTCCTCACTCTTCACTATTCCCTCGCAGGATGCAGGATATAGCCGGATATCTTTGGTTGGCGCGCTAAAATGAGTTATCGTTGTTCGCAGTGGTTCCTTGGACTGCAGATGCGTTTGTGTTGGTTTTGTGAATGGAACAAAAGGGCGAGAAACGGTATTAATTTATTAGAAGGGGCAAGGAAACTTCTGCAATTCACGGCACCATCAACTCGCTTTGGCTCTGGGCTAAACCCACACGTACTTGGGCACTTTAAATATTTGCTTTGCACTGCAAAAAGTTCCCTCCTTTTCTGCGGATACTGCTGCTGGTGCTACTGCCTCGGTTCTCGCTTCTCTAAGAGCCAACACTTTGGGGAGGAATCGCTGAACAGGACTACTGGAATCCTATTGCCTCGGTCCCTTATATACGACATGCGCTTGCGATCCACTCGCGGTAATCAGCTGGCAAGGATTCTGTGGATGCTGGCTGCTCTCCGGACTCGCCACTGCGCAGGTACAAACAAGAAGCGTTGGCAGCCAGCCAACCGAAATATAATTAATATTTAGTGGTAGTTCTGGGAAATAATTTAATTACATTTACAATAATATTAATTCATTTCATCAGCGCATAAATAATGCCGCCGCCTGAAAGTGTGCAAAGTTTTCTGTCAAAAGTTGTCGCGGAATTAGGGTGGCTCGTGTTGAATGGCGGGAAGTTAAGTCAGCCACTTGTTGCTTTCACGCTTTTTGAAGTTTGAGGCCAGAGTTAAACATAAGTTTACGAAGTTTTTCTAAGTAAATACGATTTGTCTTCAGCTTAAGTTTGGTTGTGTACTTGAGGCGTATACTTAATATGCGTAAAACTATGCTTGAAGTTTCTATAATGTCATTTAAATTGTAATTTTTAAGAAAATCTCACAAGGTATTATTAACGGCTTAGAATATTCTAAATCATAATAGTTAATTAAGCAATGACATTCAAAACACGTGAATATTTTAATTGAAATAATATAATTCATAATCATAAGTTAGAATTTAAAAACATACATTATGCAGTATGCACTACGATTTAAATTAATCCTTTTTATAGAAAATCAATTTTAATTTTTTCTAACATTCTTAAACAGTCACTATCTAGGCCTCCAAACAAGGCCATTAGCCTTGATCTTTTAATTGAAGATCAGAAATCAATTAAAATTATTTCCAAATAAATTCTTAAGACCTACTTCTCAGACCTGGAAAGTTTGGCAATTTGCATAAAATCATAAAATTATCCATTTGATTGATGCAAACGAATTACTCCGCTTGGCCCTGGCCATCGAAAGTGGTTGGTGGCGGTTGATGAAATGCTTTCACCGATCGAAGCGCCAGCCAATTTAATTGGCCACTGAATAAACTTCATTGATGTGGAAGATCGGTCCCACGTTTCGACCATAAACAACCGAATCCACGGGACATAAACAATGGCATGCGAGTTGGCTAACACACCTCTTCGCCCATCATTCACCTCATTCACCCATTCGCGCATTCATTGATGGTTATCTTAACGGTTTCCAGAGGTTCTGCGAATTTTATCTACCGGGATGATGGCGAGGAATTTTGATGTGAATGTTGAGCAGAACGGAAAGTCATCTGGTAATGCCCCATGTGTTTACCCTTCCTGTTCTTACTGGCGTATCAATAGCAGAACTGAAAGATTGCGAAAAATGAGCGAGCTAAAGGTGTTGAGCAAAATGCCAAAGCTAAAAGTTACAGTAGAACACTGGAAAAATGTACTAGCATATGGACGAG